CCATGGTCACAGGCTTCATCCGCCTGTGATTTTTGAAAGGGTCCCCGCTTCGCCGTAGCGGAAAAGACCCGTTTCCCGTGGAGCTGGTCCCTCCAGATCAGAGGGAATCCGCCATTACCGATGGCGCCACCCCAGAAGTCTACATTTCCCAGGATTATGGGGGGGGGGGAGCCATGACTCTTTAAAATGGTGTGATACTGCTTTAATTTTATAGTACATACAGGGGCCAAATTTAAGTCTGCCTGTCACAATAACATTTAAAACAATTGTCATCAAAGTACATATAATTACTCCGAAAAGAGTATTTTAGAAGTTCTCTTTCAGAACAGCAGTTTGCACTTTTCAGAATTTCAATTCCAGATTGATTAATTTGTTCAGGCAAATTTGTGCAGTGTTTCATTTCAGTTTAGTTGTGCAGGAAACTTCGCAGTTTGAATGAGCTTGAGGTCAGTGCTAATAGAAAATTCCTAAACTTTGAGAGCTGTGGATCGTCACTTTGAGGAAGGGAGAGCCTGGAAATTCTAATAAGAGGGCTTTTGGGAGATGAGACAAGTGGTCCCACAAGATGTGTGTGTGTGTGTGTGTGTGTGTGTGTGTGTAATTTTTGCCTTTGATTTGCTGAGAGCAAGGGTCTGTTTAATCCCAAAGGTGATGGATTTGATGTACTGTTTCATCTTCCAATAAGAAAATGTGTATCTTGTTATAGATTTGGGAGTGGGACCCCACCCAAACCCTGGAAATTAATAAATGGTAGGATTTTGATTATGTGGGATATGAAGGGAGAAATACCAGCTGAAGGAATTCCTGGGCTAGCCTATGCAAAAAAACCGACCTGGCCAAACTAGAGCCATTAAGAAACAATAAACAGGCATTGGCAATGCAAGAGAACTGTACTTCCTCCTTGTGTGAACAGAGACTGGAGATTTGGAAGGTTGCCAGAGAAACTGGATGTGAGGTGACAGGAAAAGAGAGGTTTTTAGCAAGGTGTTCTGGGAGGAAGAAGGAAGAAGAAATACTGGGATCCATCTTGGGCAGGCTGGCTGAAGGCTGGCTGGAAGAGATGCTTTGGATTTCAGGGCTGCACTGCTGCTCCTCTTGAAATGATCCTGCTGCAAGATCTGAACATGTAAGACCATGCAGCCTGAACATGTAAAAAGGTGAATAAACTATATTTCTTAAAGCTACAACAGTCTCCACTGTGTCTCAGTTCTCCAAAGGACCACAGACCCTAGGTGAGTGCCTGGAACCCCCTGGGATCTTGCTATTGCTTGGCAGAGAGATGGGGAGGCACCCAACTTTTGTTAACAATATTTTTAAAAGCTACTGAGCCAAGACTCAACCCCGGCCCCTGTTCTGAATGCAACGGCTAAGCCCTGGATTAACAACAAGGAGTCAGCACGGACAAAGGGCTCGTTTCTCACCAGGGATAAGAACAGCCAGACTCCACGCCCATCTCTCTGACTTAGCCATCAAGACAACTCCAAAGCTGCTCTCTGATCAGCTGGGATCTGGCCTTCTCGGCTGAATCTACTTCACAGGGTTGTTCTTAGGCTGGAACAGACTTTCAGAAAGGCTGAGCAGGTGGTCCCATTTAACAAATCAATGTCTCTCGGGGGCTGCGGACTAAAAGGCTCTCGAGCTGAAAGCAAGCACCTTCCAAACAAGCCTCTCACTCTTAATTAAGGAGTAGGACGACTGGAATTGCCCAGTGGGAACAGGGCACCGGTTGAAACAGCCTGCGTCAATAGCCCCTCTCTCTCTCTCTCTCTCTCTCTCTCTCTCTCTCTCTCTCTCTCTCTTCCATGCCTGGCTTGTTGAAAGCACACATTTACAGATTGGGTCCCTCGCTTCAATGCCTGCTCTAACAGGAAACCATTCCAAAATTTTGCAGAGTTCATTAAAGGAAGGAAGATGAAGACACCATCTTTCCTTGACTGTGAAAAAGATCTTCCCTTTGCCCCAAGTTGGCTGACTATAGCAACTCCTTAACTTTTCCTTTTCTTTGTCCTTAAAAATACAACAACAACAAGAAGAACAACAACAACAGCCCCCCACCCTTTGGAGCAAGGGGAGCAAAAAGTGTTCCTGGAGCAGCGACTGAGGACATCAGAAGAGATTAACATAGAAGTCAGCCGAAGACTGGCGCGAAATCAGAAAAGACGAGTGGAGGGGGAAGAGCAAGTTTGCAGCAGCCACTGAGGATGGGAGATCAAGGTCCCATCTGGAAGGGCGAGAGGCCAAAGGCACAGAGCAGATGGAAGCTGGTGGCGACAGCTGGTGGAGACACGCTTTCATGTGTAAAGTTTGCTCCACAGAGACTCTGGCACTCTGGTTTTGAAGGCATCCTTCTGCTAACAGTCCCTCCCTGTTACTGTGCGCTCAGGAAACGGCCTGGCCTGGTGCAGCTCTCAGGGCTGGTGCTTAATGACAACAGGGGGCCCTTTTAAAAACATTGCAGTGCACGTCTCCATTGGCCAGGGTTCAGTGGCGTTTGGGAGAAGAGATCTTCAGCAGCAGAGATCAACCTTCTGGGAGTTGTGACGCTGTGTGCAGAAACAGTCGATCCTAAGTCACCTTCCTTTCTCTTACGAACGCAGTTATTGTATTATTTTTATGCAGAACAGACTCAAGCACTGGATGAGCATTGCGCGAGGCAGAAATGGCTGCCAGCCCTGGCAGGCTGTAGCTGTGTGCAGCCAAGTCCCTGTATGATCTTGCAGCCAGGGAGAGATACACAAAGAAAACGAAGCTGCAGCTTCGAAAAGGTCCAAACTGGCACGAGTTAAGCGCTCATAATCACGAAGGATCAAAGTGAAAGGCCTTCTTTCGACTTACTTCATTATTTGAGAGTCTATGACTCATCTTGGTGCTGTTCTCTCCAGTTTCCTCTCTGTACTCATGAGGCCTGGAAATATGACCATTCTGCGATTAGACTGCAAAAAATCACAACCCCGTACAACTTCAACTTCCCCAAAAGCAGCTGCTCGCTCTCTCTCTCTCTCTCTCTCTCTCTGTGTGTGTGATGACAGACCAGAACTAGAATTCGGTAAATGGTGCAGAGTTTTGGTAGTCTCATCTTTCAATCAGAACACCCATCACATAGTTTGCTGGACAGTGGTTATGAATGAAAAAACATACAGGTGCAGAATGAAACATCTCTTTGGCTCCTGTTCTCTATAAAGTCCTCCTCTGCTGGCAATCCAGCCTTCTCTGTCTACTTCCCTTTCTCCAGCCTTCTTCTGCTAAGCACCAAGATCCCAGCTTCTATAAAACACAAATATGACAGTTTCTCGCAGAAGTGAAAGACTTTGGGCCTTACAGCTTCTGAGTGTAGACACATTTAACCAGTTCTCTCCACACAGAAATCTACATAGATGGGAGTGAGAAGGGTTCCTGTGTTAACCTTGTCCCCTATGTGGATTTATTTTATAATTTTGCACAGAGGGAAATTCAGGACATACATACCTGCATTCTGAAGTAGTACCTGCAGAACACAGGTTTACAACATTAGCAACAAGCTTGAGAAAACAGATTAAATTCAGCATATCTACAAAAACTGGGAAGGGGGAGGAAGAGACAGGATGACAAATGATGCTTTATTTGCATACCTTAATACCTAGTTAGGATTTCTTGATCAGAGACTGCTAACTCCCACTTTTAGAGATTAGGAAGGCAGCAACTTGCTCAGAGTTTAGTGAGCGCATAGCAAAGGTTGGCTTGCAGCCCCAACCCCAGCATTCAAATCCAAGTCTTCAAGCTATGGTTGCAGCCCCATGCATGCTTAGCTAGGGAGTAAGCCCCAGTAAACACATTGGGACTTATTTCTGAGTCAACATATATAAGATGGCTCTGTCAATTGGCTCCCTGAAGAAAAGGGCTTTTCAGTGAAGTACAGTGGTACCTCGGGTTACAGACGCTTCAGGTTACAGACTCCGCTAACTCAGAAATAGTACCTCAGGTTAAGAACTTTGCTTCAGGATGAGAACAGAAATTGTGCTCCGGCGGCGTGGCAGCAGCAGGAGGCCCCATTAACTAAAGTGGTGCTTCAGGGTAAGAACAGTTTCAGGTTAAGAACGGACCTCCGGAACGAATTAAGTTCTTAACCCGAGGTACCACTGTAATGTTAACCCACAAACACCTACGCTACAACATGAACACAGTGTGTTTTCAGTTAGCTGCTACAGAACCCGTAAGGAACCTTTGGCCCTCCGGCTGCTGCTAGACTACAACTCCCAACATCCCTGGCTACTGGCCATGTTTTCTGGGGCTGATGGGAGTTGTAGTTCAGTGTCACAGAGCATGCCGGTCAGTAATCACACAGTTCAAAATTGGAGTTAACGCTTTATTAGAAAAAAACAAACCACAATCGCTAGACCCAGCTGTGTGTGAATGAGCAGAGCAATTCATTCCTGTTGCTCTTCCTCCATGGAAATCAGTTGCTGAGACAGAAAGTCCCCACCTGCCCACAGTCCCCTCTTCTCCAGGGCTTTGTCCAAGCAACTGGAGACTGCGCCTGCATGAAGCCAACCTATTCTCTGCCCTTTTCATGCCTCTTCTGGTTCTGGGAAACCATGGGGGAAGGGGAGATTGTTGCAGCAGGAGAGAGAGACACCTGTGACTCTTCACCGGCCTGATTCATATCTCCCTCTGGGCTTCCCTCCTCGGCTGCTTCAGCTCTAATTCCTGACTTCGCTCCGTCACAGATGCTCCCTGCTCACAAAACCCTGTTACCTCTTCAAGCTTCCGACAGCTCCTCTCCCCCGTCTTCTCCCTCATGGTCATCTCACCACCGCTCCCCAGGCTATGAGCCTTCTTCCCTTGGAGGTTTCCCAAGCTAGTTCCTCCCACCATTCCTCTGTATCCAACCAGCCCATGACAATCAGCAACATCTAGAGGGCCAAAGGTTCCCCACATATGAACTGGAGGACGTCCGTGTGACTCCCGCCCAAAGCCTCCAAGAGTGAAGGACCACAAGGTGACAAAAAAAGCGAGAACACAAATCTCTCTCAATCTCTCCTCCTTTTATTTATTATGAAGGGCTCCTCTCCTTTCGTCAATTGCTTCTCTTTTTTGCCGCCTGCCAACCTCAGCTTCGATTCCTGGCACAGAGGGGAGGAGGCAGTACACGTGGAAACCTTCACGTTGTTGATTTCAATTAAAACAAAACCTTTGATTTCTCTTTTAAAAAAATATTCCAAGTTTCTTGGAGCCGCACCAAACTAATGCCCTGCCCACACTCCCATAAAACCCCCTCTCCCCCAAAGCACGAGTCCATATCCGATAAGTGCTGAGGAGTAAGACAATAAGTTAACAGTTTGTTCAGGTTGAGGTTTCCAAGAGAAGGACCCACTGCTGTCTTAATGTGAGGTTTTCTTGGACGCTTTCCCGTATCTGGCATCCAGTCCAAGTCCTGCAGAGAAACAAGAGGGGAATACGGCTTTAAGAGGCTATTCTCACAGCAGATAGGTCGTTCCTGTGGGTGTGCGAGATTTTATTTACAATGAATGGGAGAGAGAAGTGCTTCTGCCTTTGCCCCTGCCGGCCAATTACTCCCCAAGAGCCATGCTGGCTCTCAGAAGGCAAAACTGGCACCTTTGACGCTTCCTGTTTGAGGCAGCCTCAAACAGGAAAGCTCCCTGCTTTTGTAGGGATGGTGAAAACGTGACTCGCGTTGTGTGCAGGCTGCTTGAGCTGACCGACCCCGTAACCGTTAAGCTCCTTCCTCCTCTCATTTCCCCCTGCACAAGTTCACACATGCAGTCATTTCATTTCCATTTGGTTTTTTTTGTCGTCTCCTCTGCAGTTTTTAAGAAATTGAATGCAAGTCCGTATATCTCTGGGTCCCCACCCCTGTCCAAGCATGCATACACCTTCCCCTTCTTTGTGGGTGGGGCCATTTGCAATCCATAGTATAAATTTAAATATAATATATATATATATATATTATATATTAGGCACCAGGAGAAAATGCTCCTCTTCAACCAGGCCTTTGGCTGATTAGTATTCCAGTCTTTTGAATGTGTCTGTGCAAAGGGGTGGGGGGTAATGTTTTGCTGTTTTGTTTTATTCATTTTCGTGCTTTTATCCTGTATTTTATTCTGTGAACTGCCCTGAGATCTTATGATGAAGGGTGGTATATCAATCAATTAATCAAATAAATAAATAAATAAATAAATAAATAAATAAATAGCATGCAGCCTCCAACTATTTTATGGAATGACACACTCTCTCTTTCTCCAAGCACAAAAATGCACATTTATGCTTATACATTATGAATATATACACACGTGGTTCACACGACTAGCACAACCAGGAGCTGAGACCTTCTCTCTGACCACAGTAGTCTATAGGACAGAAGGTCCTACAGTGGTACCTCGGGTTACATACGCTTCAGGTTCCAGACTCCGTTAACCCAGAAATAGTACCTCGGGTTAAGAACTTTGCTTCAGCATGAGAACAGAAATCGTGCTCTGGCGGCACGGCAGCAGTGGGAGGCCCCATTAGCTAAAGTGGTGCTTCAGGTTAAGAACAGTTTCAGGTTAAGAACGGACCTCCGGAATGAATTAAGTACTTAACCGAAGGTACCACTGTACAGTGGTGCCTCGCAAGACGAAATTAATCCGTTCCGCGAGAGTCTTCGTCTAGCGGTTTTTTCGTCTTGCGAAGCAACCCTATTAGCGGCTTAACGGATTAGCGCTATTAGCGGTTTAGCGGCTATTAAAGGCTTAAAGGCTTAGCGGATTAGCTGCTAAAAGGCTATTAAAGGCTTAGCGGATTAGATAAAGGGGGGGAAAAGCGAAAAAAAAATCTCAAGACTCGCAAGACATTTTCGTCTTGCGAAGCAAGCCCATAGGGAAATTCGTCCTGCGAAGCAACTCAAAACCGAAAAACCCTTTCGTCTAGCGGGTTTTCTGTCTTGCGAGGCATTCGTCTTGCAGGGCACCACTGTATTTTCATTATTCATTCTATGATAGCCTCCTTTTCTATACCAATATATATTCACGTGGCTTGTTATTAGGAACCAAAATCTGGGAAAGAGAACCATCTAGTGCTCCCTTGGGGAGCAGCCGAGGGCCTGCAGGATGCTGCAAACCTCATTCCCTGTGTTTGGAGTGTGACGTGCGTGGAAAGCAGCCTCTGCAGAGGAGCTATGAAGCATCACTGTTGCAGACCTGTCCTCTATGTAGAAAGGGTAACAGGGTGCTCTGGGGGCATCATGGTTGCGTTTGGATCCAACGCCCTCTGGCCTCTGGCCACTTTCCCTCCCATTGCTAGTAAGCGAGGGGAGGTGGGGAATGCACAAACTTGCTCCCTCCCGACTTTTTGCCCTGGCTGGTGAGAGTGCAGCAGGGCTTACATTGTGGCGGTTCCCTCTGCCCAGCAGCAGACTCTCCCCAGCAATCCTTGATTTTACAGAGCATCGTGGCAATTAAATAAAACAGCTGTGGACAAGACCCAGTTAGATGGTCCTGTCTTAAAAATGCTTTCTGAACAAAGTAAATAAGTAAATAAATAATCCCCTGTCCCCCCTGAAAAACTCACCTTAAAGCTTTTCTGCTTTCTGGGCGACATAACCAAAAACTAAAACCCAAAAAAATTTTCCCCTGGGGAATCGGCCCAGATCATTTGCTCATCAGATGACCTCCCCTACCTCTGGTGCCCACGGAAGGTGCAGGTTGGGTGCTGGTTGTGGCACTTTGTAGTCAGAAGAATGCAATTCCTGGAGAAGCTTGACATTACACAGCGCCAGGCAAATATTCCCACCCGCCTCTTAATTTGCCCAGGCCTTCCAGTGTATTTTATAATGGGTTTTACTATTGTCTTTACAGCTCTGCATGGATTTTATTGATTTTATGGCTACTGCTCCCGTGTATTTAATGCTTTATATGGAAATTTTTTATTGCCTTTTGTTATTCTAAATTGGATGCCACCCTGGGAATCTGTAAATAGATTTTTTAAAATTGATAATAAAACCATTCCCTGCCCCCTACCTCCCCAATGAATGGAGAGGAGAAAAGGATAGCATCGTCCTGCCTACAGACCCTCACAGGGAGGGACTAGCCAGGCTGCCCCTCCCAACAGGAAATGCCACTTAAAGCACCAGACTTTGCAGGACCGCTTTGGCAGTTTTGCTAGGAATTGCAGAGTTGGAAAGGACCGCAAGGGTCATCTGTTCCAACCCCCTGCAATACAGGAATCGCTTCTCCAAGGTGGGTCTCGAACCCATGACCTTGAGATTAAGAGTCCCATGCTCTACCGACTGAGCTGCTGGAAACGGAGTCAAAACTCCCCCAGAAACAAATGGAGCCGAAACTTACCAAGGAATACTAGGATGGTGCCCACCCACTGCAGGCCGGTGATCGGATTGGCAAACAGGATGACCGATGCCAAGATGGTGAAGAATTTGCGGGTGGTGGTGACGATGGAGCAGGTCAGGGGCCCAAAGTATACCACAGTCATGAAGATGAAACTCTGCAATGAGACAGGGGCAGATGCGCAGTCAGGCTGGATACAATACGATACGATACGATATGATACGATAAGGTATCTTTATTGTCACTGTCCCATACAGAACAATGAAATTGAAAAATCTACATAAGACATTCAAAAAAACCCCTAAAAACTCTGAAACCCCATTTTAAAATACAATATACTATAGAGACTCCTTATGCTGTGTTTAGAACCAGAATTGCATTTGGTTAGAAACTGTTTCTCAGGCGGCTAGTCCTGGTCTTTATAACCCTATACCTTCTTCCAGAAGGCAGAAGCTGAAAGAGATAATTTCCAGGGTGTGTACTATCCTGCACTATCTCTGCAGCTTTCTTATGGCACCTGGCAGCATAGATTTGATCTAAGGTGGGAAGAGTGCACCCAATTATTCTCTCTGCAGTCTTTACAATCCTGGACAGAATTGTTTTCTCCCTGGCCGTGCAGCTCCCAAACCATACACACAGACCATAAGTTAATACACTCTCCACAGTACAATGGTAAAATGCCATCAGCGAGGGAACAAACAACAGCAACACAGATTTTGCATCCTCCCAGGTGGTTTTGCTGCGGGACGTGCCCCTGCGCTGTCGAGTTTGCACGTGACCGGACGCAACAGTGGGTTACATGGCCCTTTCCCCTTGGAGTACTGGGAAGACGTAGTGCTGCTTTTCACCCACCTAGGCCAAAAAAGATTTGGGCAGTGTTTCCTTTTTCAGAGGCTGTGTCCTCCGCTCCCTCTTAGGGAACGTGGCAGCAGCCTTGCTGCTGAAGCAGAGAGGTCCAAGCAAAGAGGAAAAGCAGGGATGCGATTCCCACACGTTGCAAGGAGCCAAATGGGTGGCTTCTGAACCCAGCATGGGAGCAGAAAGGCAAAAGGCACTCTCTTGTTGATTTGCACGTCAGAGCAAAAGGGATCTAGGTGAAAGGGGCGAAGATGACAGAAAGCCCAGCTGCAGAACATGCAAGAGAATGGCCCCTCCGAGCACACGCAGAACGTCTTTTCTTTGCCAGCAAAGCGTCAAAGTCAGACTGCAGGGACAGGAGGAAGAGGCAGAGCCTTAAGAACACCCCACAAAATGGCCTGAGCTGCAGTCTCTGGGAACCATCTGCAGGAGTTAAAAGGTATCTGTAGTGCACAGAACCAATGGGAGAAGATACACAGATCGTCCCCTCCTGATTCACATGATGAAGGCAAAGACCCTTGCCTACCCATGTACAGGAAGATCTTTTTCATGAGCAGTGGGAAATCCTATCAGGATAACCTAGAGTTTGCTCTATGGTGGTGAAGCGCATCCTGGGAAGGGCTTCTCACTCTGGAAATAGTCCCATGAACAACCTACCCGGAAATCCATGTACTTCAAGCAGCAGACTTTATCCTACCTTTCGCCAAACGCCTTGAGAACAGAGCAAGGGTTAACACACACATCCTGGGCTGGTTAAAATGAAGAAATGCACAGAATAGCAAATGCACGCCACTCACCTGGCCCAGGGCGCTTGTCAGGCCAAAGAGGAGGATGTTGTAGATGATGCTGGGGTAACGCTCGGTGAAACTCAAGAATTCCCAAAGCTCTCCTGTAAACAAGATACCTGCAAAGGGAGGGGGCATGTTTAGAAAAATAGAATGTGCTCTCCTCTGTCTGCTTTAATCAGCAGGCGTTCAAAGTTATCTGGCTCCAACTGCTGTGATGGATCAGGCCGGCAATCTACAGGGCTAAACGGTCTCACTTGACTGGGACTGGCCAGCTGACAATATTCAACCACCGAATTCGGGTGGTTCAAAACCATAAAATACTGCCTGGGGAGAACTTTGGACCTGGAAGAAACTGTTGTCTTTGTGTGTTTTAGGCGTGCATTAGGAATATGCCAGAAAGGTAACTGCAGCTGTGTTCACACGCATCTGTACGTATTGTTTTTCTAAATATTTCTTCCCATCTTTCTTCCGTAATTAAACTTGAGGCAGTGTATGCAGGGTCCACAGATATATGTCTTCCATTCTGGCACAGACCAGAAACAGATAAACGATATAGAGAAAAATCTAAATCGCCAATAGCAGGAGTTTATAAGAATGAATCAAAGTAATTTGTGTTTGTTTGTGTGATCATAAAAGATGAAATAGAGACCATATAAAAGCATTCTGATTCTAACGGTAGTTTGGGTGTTCTCTCACATGTTTGTTTAGAATTCAGCTCTCTCCTTTTCCCCCCAACTTCAGCCACTAAGTGTCTTTAAACTTTCCTAGGCAAAACATTTATTTATGCTTACAGCTCAATCTTCCCTTCACTCAGGCAGGGGGTAAAAACAGGCAGGCGGCCCTGAAAGAGCTTGCAGGATAAGGCTACGTCTAACCAGAACAGTTACTTACACTTCACAAAGCCTAACACTCTACAGCTCCTCAGTGAAAATGAGAGAAGTGTGCTGCGGAAGAACAGGGGAGCAGGCTCTTCTTGAACAAACATATCCCTTTCCCAAGCTTTTTGGTGATATGGACATTAGCAGAGGTGCTGCTCCTGTTCATAATACCTGGAAACACATTATGGTGGAATCTCCTCCTAACTCGCCCTGAGAAAAATGCCCTCCTCTTTTTTATTTGGTATGGCGACCAGACTACAAAAAAAAGGAACTTTTTGTCATTTAGGAAGGGAGCATGCTGGGTTCCTTGAAAACACAGAAACTGGAGCCCTGATTTTTCCCTCAGTGGCTGCTGTCACGTCTTCCAAAAGGAACACCTGCCAAAATACACAGGGTTTGTGTGTGTGTGTGTGTGTGTGCGCGCGCGCGCACTGCTTAAGAGGTTACACATACAGATAAACAGCATGTAAATTATGTAAAATATATAAATAAGCTGCAAGGATTGGGATGAAATCAAAGCACTGAATCCTCTCCCATCCCCTGAAAGACACACTGCAAAGTGATTCCTTTCCGTTTCAGTCCCACCCGGTCCTTCTTCCTGTGCCCAAATGGCTGGAGACTCCCTCACAACTACTTTTAACTATGGCAGCCTTGTCTGCAGGCAATTCAGGCTCCAAGTATTTCCATCCACTTTCGACCAGCATTCTGCATCCTTGACCATCTCCTGTTCCACAAGAAAACAGGTCCTGTCTAGCTCACAGGTAAGTCTGCAACGCTGCAAGCAGTGTCTGGAAGAGGAAAAAACCAGTCCCTCCTGCTCCTTGCTCAATGAGCTACTTTTGAATTCGACGTGCCTGCCTAGCTGCTCCATGTTTTCTCATCTGCCATCACATGCAAAAGCCTCCAGCCACCTTCAGGAGAGAGAAAATGAATGGAGCAGAAACCTCCATTTTTCAGTACCAGGGAGGCCAAAGGCAGCATGTAAAGCATTCAAATTGGGCCCGCCGGGCCTCCCCACTTGGTTCGCAAGGCCATCTTGGCCAATGTCACAGGCGCTTCCCAGCCAAAGGAAAGCTGGATAGCACAGTTGGTTAGAGCATGGTGCCAATAATGCCAAGGTTGCTGGTTCAATCCTCATAAGGGACAGCTGCATTGCAGGGGGTTGGACTAGATGATCCGCGGGGTCTCTTCCAACTCTACAATTCAATGGTTCTACATAGCAGATAGTTAAGTCTTTATTGTCAAAGATAACACCGTCACTCTGGGTACCCACAAACACCAATCTAGCGTCTAGGCAGCTATTCCCAGGTCCACGCTCTATGGAGCAGTTGCAGCAACACGGGACCAATTCCCCTCCGCCGGTTTATGTACCTTCTCCCGACGGACTGTGTGCACACAGCCAGAGACCATGCCTGCGTGGAAACTTCCTCTGCTCCTCCCATTTCAACCCCCTCTTGGTTCTGGGAGACAGTGTTGAAGAGGGTAGGGAAGCCCTTGCCCCTTCACTTTCCCAACCTGCCTCCTCTTCTGACTCATCCTGTGGCTTCACCCTCCAGCTCTGAAGCTTTCCCTGCTTCTTGCCTCCTGGCTGATACAGATTCCTACAAGCCACTGTCCCCTCTCCCAAGTCAGACTGTGGCCCCGCTTCTCCCATGGCACATTCACCAGCATCCTGCCAGTCCCTGACAGCCAAGCACACCTACACCGGTAGTCAGATGCATGACATCAAGCGTGGGGCAGGTAAAGCAGAGTCAAAAGGCAGTTTCTGCAAACACTGCCCATCAGCTGGAGACTCCGCCTCCTAAAATCTCAGAGTCAAGGGACAGGAAAGGTCCCAATCACAGGGTAGCGTCACCATCCTCCCGGGACCAGCTTCTAGGCCAGGAGTGGGAAACTTTGTGGCCCTCCCTATTATTTTGGAAAGAAGTGAAAGCTGGACCATATTATATTGAAAGAAGTGAAAGCTGGACCATAAAGAAGGCTGATTGCTGAAGAATTGATGCTTTTGAATTATGGTGCTGGAGGAGACTCTTGAGAGTCCCATGGACTGCAAGAAGATCAAACCTATCCATTCTGAAGGAAATCAGCCCTGAGTGCTCACTGGAATGACAGATCCTGAAGCTGAGGCTCCAATACTTTGGCCACCTCATGAGGAGAGAAGACTCCCTGGAAAAGTCCCTGATGTTGGGAAAGATGGAGGGCACAAGGAGAAGGGGACGACAGAGGACAAGATGGTTGGAATAGTGTTCACAAAGCTACCAGCATGAGTTTGGCCAAACTGCGGGAGGCAGTGGAAGACAGAAGTGCCTGGCGTGCTCTGGTCCATGGGGTCACAAAGAGTCGGACACAACTAAATGACTAAACAACAGCAACTATTATATTGAACTACAACTCCCATCAGCCTTAGCCAGCATGGCCAATGGTCAGGGATGATGGGGGCTGTAGTCCAGGAGCACCAGGAGGGTGACAGCTTCCCCAAGGCCACCAAGAGATGACACAGTTAAGGATGTGCCGCCAGGAGGAATGGTCTGGTGTGCTGTCAAAGATTGGCATTTGAGAAAGAAGAAATAAAGCAAAAGTAAATTGCTGGCTGAACCTCACATTCAGGCTGATCACCCTTCCTCTTCCAGTCAGGAAGACCCTTCCTCACAGGTTAGATTGGCTAACAAACCCTGCAAGGCTGGTGTTTTCTGTATTTTGGGTTTTTTTGCCTGTCACTGTGGACCACGGCTTGACTCACCTGGAGAAGGAAACTGCGCAGTTTAATACTTAATAATTCGTTTGAAGACGACAGGCCAACCGGCTTCCTTTGCAGCTTCTACGGAATTCATTTTAACACACTGCCTTGTTTTAAAATAATATACAGGGGAACAATCATTCTCCAAATTACTTTGGCTGCAAGGGACTGCTCCTTTTCATTAATTATCAGCTGTTTCTCCTAAGGCAGCCTCAGCGGAGAGGTCTAACAATTGCATGGGGGGGGGGGGGAGCCAAACTGCAAAGGTTTAACTCTTGGAAGCCTAGCAGAATGTGGAAACCACCCAGGTTGCTGGAACGAGGGAGACGCCAAACGGCGGAAACAGGCTATTGCTGCCAAGCTGCAGTGGGACCCCAGGCAAAAGTGAGTTGCGTACAGGAATGGTTTTTTGGGAAGGGGAGTCCTACAGGTGACATCAGCACCACTCCATGGCCATGTGGAGAAATGCACAGCAGTCGCAACCCAAGGGAGGCAGCCGTCAACATATTCAGAATTGGAAGGGACCACGATGGTCATCTCGTCCAACCCCCTGCAATGCAGGAATATTTCACTCAACGCAGGGCTTGAACCCACAACCCTGAGATGAACAGCCTCATGCTCTACCGACTGAGCTATCCAGTTTATTTAAACTGGCTTGCTGGGCAGTCTAGCTGCCAACCAAGGAAAGGTTTGCCCTAATTCAGCAAACAGCAATTTAGGCGTGGAAACAGGTTCCTGCAGGTGAATTTACTGGACCCAGGCATATTGTGTATGAGCAGGAAGCGGGACAGACTATATCCATCAATGGGATAAGAAAATGCACACCCCCATGCCTTACATGCCACAAGGATTCTGGCGTATCCAAGGCTCGTGTACTAACCAGGCTTAGACCTTCACCCCGTTTTGCAGGTACAGCCACATGCATTTAGTCTTCGGTGCAGACGGCGCAGATCAGAGCTACTGAGGTCAAACTAGGCCGTCCTGCTTCTCCCCCCCGCTCCCTGTGCCACAAGAAAGTGCTTACCGGCTCCGAGGAACAAAGTTGACCACAGATTGACATTCAGCATCATGTGATTGGAACCAGTCTGGTAATGAGCTCTCATGTGGTCCTGAGACACTCCGGTCAGTCCATCCAAGGTCAAGGATAGCAACTAGGGTGGGTGAGAAAGGGAGAAATCACACACACATGTACGCCTGCTGAGTACGGCACGCTGGGCTGAACAAAACCTGCTTAGCAATGGGATTAGCAACACATACATTCCCCCACAAACCCAACACTCAAACACGGATATGCCAAATCTGGTTCTGCAGCGCAGAAATGGGTGGTGTTTTCCAAGAACAGTGAACTGCAGCTTTAAGGAGAGGCCAATATCCAGCCTTTAGAGTGGGAAAGCTAACACATCCAGGCAGTTACTAATGAAGATTTAAGAATCTCTGAGTCACACGCACAGCTTCCAAGACATTTATTCCTGCCTCCTTGCCTTCCATACCTGCCTTTTCTGCATCTCCCTCTGACCTCCCTAAAAGCCTCAAACAAAAAGTAGATTTGTGTTCACTGATGACAACAGCTACTCTACAAAGTGGTAAGGTGGTCTCCACTTCCACATAAGTGTATGGATTAGGGCACAGGGAGGGAAGCCCACCACCAAGTCAGGTTATGAATTTAAATCTCCCCGTCCCAATTTTCACTCTATGGGGCTACCCAACTGCCAAACAAAGTCAATTAATAAAAGACGGAGGAGCCATCTTTTTGCACCCATTATTTATTGAGTATACACATGTATGCATGAGTGTGGCCTATATGGTTGGCGACACCCGCCCTGTGCCACGCAGCTCCTGGAGGGGTGGCAAGGAGCAGCCTGGTCCTCCAGCTGAGAAAGGTGAGCCACCCTGCTTTAAAATCTGAACGCACTTTAAGAATGCGCCCCTTCTCCAAGGCAAACCCCTTGCGTCACAGCAGCTTCTTTCAGTTGTTACAGCTTCATCAGGATGCTATGCATCGGGATAGTGGGAATGTGCCTTGTTTGCCTCGCCCCCTGCCAACCCCAGCCCCTGCCACCACCCACATGTTGCTGTAGGCCCAAAGGGGGGGCTCTTCTGTACCGCCCAGGCATGCTCCCCATGCAATTTCCCAATGATTGTAGACAGCGACAGGCGCAGACTGGAAAGGCTGTGACAGAAGAGGAGGGCCCAGGGAGCAGAAAAAGGAACCAAGAACAGACAAAGGAAGAACAAAGGAAAAATCCCTTCCAAGATGGCGTTCCCACCTTTTCTATTTCGCCATGCCTAGAGCAGCTGGCTAGAACAACCTGCAGTGGAGCTGGAAGGAAGCTGAACCAGAGAGAGGGGTTGTCCCAGCCCCAGTTGTAGTCTCTCAAAGTTTTTTACTTCCTGCCAGTGGAGAGGTAGGCGGAGCCAATCCAAACAGGATTCCCCCTTCCTCCAATAGAGGAGAAAGGGGTGTTTTATAGGTGAAATGTGAGCACGATCAGAACCCATAGAAAATGACTTAGACAAGAAGTGATCGACTAGAGCGTCCCATTCAGCTTTGAGGTATTGAAGGCCTTAACACGCAGAAGCCTCTCAAGAGTCATAGAATGATGGAATTGTAGAGTTGGAAGGGACCCCAAGGATCATCTAGTCCAAGCCCCTGCAAGGCAAGACTATGCAACTGTCCCATGCAGGGATCAAACCCGCAACCTTGGCATTATCAGCACCACACTCTAACCAACGGAGCTATCCAGGCTCCTGGACAGCGAGGTGGAGCAGAACCAAAAGCTTCAGTCCAACATCTGGAGGGCCACAGGTTCCCTGCCCCGTGGCAGAGAAAACTCCCTTTGCAGTCAGCCCTCCAAGTGTGCTAATAAATTAACCGTCACCCAGTTCAGCATGGCTGACTACGCCAGCCTTGTATTTAAGCACATGCCTGGGAGCTCCAGGGCTGAAGAAATGAACCTATGCTGCCAATTCTCGTAGAAGACCAGCTCCTGTAGATATCAACAAAGGTAGGTAAAGGTAAAGGTAAAGGGGACCCCTGACCATTAGGTCCAGTCGTGACCGACTCTGGGGTAGCGGTGCTCATCTCGCTTTATTGGCCAAGGGAGCCGGTGTACAGCTTCCAGATCATGTGGCCAGCATGACTAAGCCGCTTCTGGCGAACCAGAGCAGCGCACGGAAACGCCGTTTACCTTTCCGCCAGAGTGGTACCTATTTATCTACTTGCACTTTGACGTGCTTTCGAACTGCTAGGTTGGCAGGAGCAGGGACCGAGCAACAGGAGCTCACCCCGTCGGGGGGATTCGAACCACCGACCTTCTGATCAGCAAGTCCTAGGCTCTGTGGTTTAACCCACAGCACCACCTGCGTCCCTTATCAACAAAGGTAAGTTGGATCAAACTGAGTGTTGGTGATGTTACGCTCAAGGGTTAGATATCAACAAGGATAAGTTTGATCAAACGAAGTGTCAGTGATGTTACGCTCAAGGGTTAGACAGGGTGCCGGCGTTTGTCACCTGTTTCGCCCATGAAGAGTCTCGGGCTTCTTCAGTAAATTCTCTCTCACGGTTTTGATATATTTATAAAAATTCAAGTCCATATGTTACATTTCTTCTTAGATTAAGCTATAATATTTAATTTCTTTCTTCAGGAAATTCTCTCTCAAGATTTTGGTGTATTTACATTCATTCAACTTCATATGCTAAGTTCTCTCTTGACTTAAGCATTTATTCATTTACTAAGTCGACACTCCGTTTGATCTAACTTGCCTTTGTTGATATCTACAAGAGCCTGGCTAAAGGAACCTTTAAAGACTGAATCTTCCTTTTGGACACAATCTGAATGAGTTTTCTGTTTGTGGCTTCTGTAGTAGATCTTGTACATAGCTCTCTCAATTTTTGGATTATTAATATAAGATTTAGAACGTAGAATGGTTTGTTAGTGTTTTGTGTGCCGCTTATGTGCTGGGAGCGCACTGCATGCAAGTGAGTGAGTGGACTGGCCACAGAGGGACTGAGAACTCCTTACCTCCTCTGTGCCCAGCAGAGAAACTGAGTGGGTCGCCAGAGGACAGAAGCCCCCCTTCTTGGGCATCCAGCACAGAAATGTAGCAGGCTGCTGCAAAATGTATGGACTTCACTATCTCTCCTTTGCTAGCCCCCAGTAGGCTAATAAAGGAAGGAAGTGGCAGGCTGGTAACTTGTGTGGACTTATTCTACAAGGGTGGCTTAATGCTCCAGGCATGGGTGCCCCTCCTGCTGCGTCCAGCACCAATTGAGCACCCTGCCACTGCTGCCACAGACTTACTAATGCTCAGGGGCTTACCAGCAGGAGTTCTCCATACCCAAAGAGGTGGTCGTCCCCGATGTCTCCTCCCTTTTTTGGTTTGTACATGAACAGGGCCACGCCTGTGACGATCAGCAAGACACACAGGTATTTGGACAAGGGGTACTTCTTCCTTAGCACCGTCACCCCCAGGAGCATGACTAGAAAGAAAGGAACCATGGGCAAGGTGAATCCCTGGGTGGCTCTGTTAGGAAATATAACCAACTGTTGACCTTTGCAGACTCTGCGACATCAGCTTCCATGCTGCGGCAATGTTGCTTCCCAAAGAGCAGGAGACACAGGCCAGTCTCAAGAACAGGAACTGTCACACTGAGTCCAAGTGACGCTCCAAACCTGCTGAGTCTCTGCCTGGTCCTGCGAGAATATGGCCTTGGAAACGGCCCCGGTCAAATGAACAAAAGATGCTTGCAGATCTGCATCTGGAGGGATCCCAAGGGGCTACAAAATGTGGGTTGGCATTGCCTAGCTTGGCTTTTACAGGCTCCCTTCCCTCCCAGGAATCAAACTGTGGGGAGAACCCAAAATGAATTATCCAACCCTGTTAGCACAATGGTTCTCAAACTTTCCCCCCTGGGCCACACTTCCAGAATAAATTTTGCTCGCGCCACACCAAGCTATTTATTGGTAAGAAATACACTGGAAAACAAAAAGGAACCCCTAGCAGTGCCTGATTCATAACATAGAAAACAACTACTTTATAATATGATCCTGGAGCATCCAGAAAGTATAAAACAATGCAGCTGCATAAGAACATGAATCACCCCCAAAATGTAATTATAAATGACCCTCTGGCGTGAGCCAGCCTATGCTTGGTAATCTCATTTATATCAGGTCTAATTAAATGTTTATTTGATTGTCCTGGAACTTTCCAGCCATACTTGCCATCCTCTCCTGCTGCACCATTGCGGTGCACCATTCCATGTGAGAATCACTGCATTTCTAAAAGATATGCAGATTGCCAGTTCCTACTTAAGGGCTCCATGGGTGTCTGTAGTAGCAGAAACTCTATTAGTACAGTCAAACCTCGACTCCCGAAAACCCGGAAGTAATGCTCCAGTTTTCAAACGTTTTTCGGAAGCCAAACGTCCGACGCGGCTTCCGCTTGAGTGCAGGAAGCTCCTGCAACCAGTCGGAAGCTGCGATTCGGTTGTCGAATGTTTCAGAAGCTGAACGGCTTCCGGAACAGATTACGTTCGACAACCGAGGTTTGACTGTATGCAATGTTTTTGTAAAGAAAAAAAGGTGAGAGACGTTGCATGTTCTTTGTAGTTCATGAAAAACTTTAATTAAATTTATTTTTTTAAAAAAGAAAAGAACCTGCACTGTATTAGGTGCTGTGTTTCATTAGTTATATCTTGAGCCACCTTTCCCTCCAAGCAGCTTAGAACAGTCTGTGCTATAGGAGGCTTCCAGCCCACCCTTTACTTTCAGAGGTGTATCTGGAGCCTTTAAACCACCCGCTTTGCTGCTCAGGTGTAGCTTTTGGTGAGTGGCATTAAGGGTCACTTTTAATTTGACTTGTGGTTATTTAATATTTAGCACACTTTCCGTTTTCATTCAGCTGCATCGTTTGAAAAGTGTTGCTACCTACCTATTCCTTCTGATGGATGGGACAGAATGCATCAATACCTGAAAGTGAAGCACTGGAGGGGTTGCTTTCGACACGGGAGAAATCTAGGTTCAGATTTCCACTCAGGTTGGATAGTCACTGGCTGCGCTTAGGCAAGCCATTACCTCTCTGCCTGGCCTACCACTCAGGACTGTTTGAGGATAAACATGCCATTCTAGGCTCATTAAAGAGACGGCAGGCAGCAAAGTCTCAAGAGCCTTTAAACTCCCCTCCCTGCCATTCCAGTCCTTAACTCTGACTTCTGGGGTGAAGTCTGAATCTGGGAAGCAAACGTAGCAAAACCAAGCAGCAGGCATGCAGATTTTGTCGATATGCTCAACTCAACCACAAAGTTGCTCTGCAAAGAACAAAACATGGTTCTGGTTACCAGCGCAGGGGCTACGTACCTGGAATAGGTTTACAGGACTTCCCCAGCACCTACATGGGAGAAAAGGGAGAGATTTATTTAGCCCTAACATTCCATAGCCTCACCTTTAGCAGCATCAGTCAGTGCCTGAGTCAACTCCGCCCCGGAGAAAAACTGATGCTTGAGGTGCAGAAGATACTCATTGAACAGACACGAAGAATCTCTGTTCTTTCCTTTTGCAAACTCATCACATCCGGCACCCTCTTTAAGCTTCTATACCTTAATTTTAAAAGCTCTCACATTCTGTTCTCTATCTCTACTCTATACTCTCTCCCTCCCTTCCTTCTTTGCTAACTCATTCTTCCCTCTCCACTATTACAAAATCACACCCCTCCCTTTTTTACATTGCCTGCGAAATCTTCCTGGTGGTGTTACTGGCCATTCCTGCTTGGCTTCTACATTCCTGAAGCCACGGCTTTCTCGGAATCCCAGCTCCTCCCCCACCTGCAGTGTTTAGTCTCCTGCACACATCTCCAATCTTGCTCATCCCTTTCAGCAATCCCAGAAAGGCCATGACCCCTGCTTTGGAACCATGGCCGGTGCAAAAGGCTGTCTGGGTTAAGCAAAATGCCTAGATTTGCAAGCCCAGGGAGGGCTTGCTGAAACAACTGGGCCATCACTCTCGCCTTTGTGCCACGTGTCCAGGCACCTCTCTCACAGTCTTCTGTCTCTGTCAGCACATTGCAGGAGACTCAGGGAACAGAGGATACTGTCACTTTGCTCTGGGTTGCAGAAAAGCTTTAAGCAGCATAAGCAGCTTATGCTACTTCCAACTTTACTGGAAAAGGAGCAGACAATGAAAGACCCCAGAAACCTCTGCAAGAAAAAGTGCGCATGGGCCTGTGTATGTAGCAGAGAGACGAGGGGAATCTGGGTGAATGTTGAAGTGGGGTGTATGCTGGTCTGGCTGCTTTCTTTTTAATACGGGTGTCCCCAAATCCTGGAGCAAGCCTTGTTTGGCAGATTCTAAGCACCAAACTCTTCTAAGGTAGTTACCAAAAAGGCAGGCAAAACGGTTTGTTCTACTGCTGATATCCCCCCCTTGGAGGGTCACACACTGTTGAGAGCCTCTTATTACTCCTGTCTCATTTAAGGACCATTATTTCAGAACCATCTTGGAAGAACATCACGTCTGCCACATTTATGCAGCTAGTATCCTGCTTTCAATATATTCTCTTTGTTATTCCCTGGGCTTAAGGTATCATGCATGCAGCAGTGAAAAGGTTGCCAAGCTGTGCACCAGAAAGCAGGAGACATCCCATTTCCCAGACCCTCTTCATCTCCTGCTAACCCCCTTGCTCCCACTAGCAACCTCCCCTTCTTCACCTGAGTTGGGTAGTTGACAAATTGCAGGGCAGAGTTGCTGGAGACCATGGCACCCAGGTAGGAGAGAGAGCAAGCTGCGTATAGCCAGTTCTGTGTCCGATCCACCTTGACGCTGTCAAAAAACTGGATCACTGATTGGGGGAGAAAAAGGTGAAAGAAACAGGCATGTTGGCAACAAAGCAAGAGCAGACCAACCAACGGCAGAGCTGCATGGCCCTGGCTTTCATATGCAGAAGGTGAAAAGGTTAAGGTGCTCAGGCCTCTTAACTCTAAAACCTGAACATGGAATAGAGGCAAAGCCTTGTCTAGGAGGACCACACAGGTATACATTGGTGCAAATCAGCAGCATTCTAACACTTGTTTCAAGGGGGGAGGGAACCAGAACCCTAAAAGTCTTTCGTATTGTTTCTTACAGCCAAACAAGACATTACACATGCAATTTTCTCACAATACTCTTAAAAAAGAGACAGCAGCATCAGAACCCTGTATAACTGATTACACCAGCAGCTGGGATGGTAGGCAATAGAGGGCACATAATCCTTTCCCCCTCAGCCATTTTTCCCCTGACCAAATCACCCTCCCCTAGGCTGTTTCCCCCCCATGCAGGAAATCTCTGTGGAGTATCCAGTAGGCCAATATTTTTAAAGGAGGGGAAGGAGGAAGATAAAGGGGGCTAAGTTAAGTTGCTTGATGGTAAGACTAACTCTCCCTTCCACCTGCAATGGTAGTGGTGCTGAGGAAATGGATGCACTTGAAAGAGTGTACAACTTTCTGCTACCTTTCTGAAGCCATTTTTGAATGGGGGGAAAAAGGGAAAAAAGGAACAGAGATGTCTTCTGCATGACTTTTTGCCCCTACCCTATTTTGAATTTTCAAAACCAAAAGGCATGTGGCGGGAGAGAAAGGAAAGCACACAAGCAACAGGAATTCTCATTCACCCGCTCCTCCCTTCCTCAGAGAAAGCGGATGAGGGTGATGCAGAGGTATCAAAAGGGAACTGAATTTCCTATCTGGATTGAAAACAGCCAGCCAAATCTCTGGCTGCAGGTGTTAATCAGATCAGGCCAAAGCAACTCCTTCCTGCAAAGGGTGTGCTTCAAACCTGGTGGGTTTTACAAAAAACTTTCACAAGTAAGGGATAGGCAAAGGGCTCAGAGCAGCCACATCACTAATTTCTTTGGAAATACAGTGGTGTTTAGCATATTGGGTTAGGACCCAAGAAGCTAGGGTTCAAATCCCCACTCAGTCATAGAACCACAATGGGAGAAATCAGGCCAGTCACAGTCTTTGAACCTACCATACCTCAGAGTTCTTGTGAAGATAAAATGGATAGGGGGAGAACCACACATACAATCTTGAGCTCCTTGGAGGAAAGGTGGAATAAAAAGGTTGTAATAAATAAAAAAGTACTTACACAGTTTGGCGAAAATAGCATTGATCACACATTGGATGAAGACCAAAGACAGAGCATATCTGAACTTTTCCTGCTTTGCTCCTTCCCCATATTTGCCTCTTGTACTGCAGGAAAACCAAATTGAGAGGGTAGTGTCAGTTGCAAAGGAAAAGATATCAAACGACTCAACTTATTTGCATGTGTCAGTAGCAAAGGGTAGGCATGCGCTAGTTTTATGGTGGATTGAACATCTGAGATAGGCCAAGGTACATTTACTTCTTTTCAGTGAGCCAAACGGCATCAGGATCTTTCCGCCCTTGCAGTCATGGGTAACTGAGGGGAACAAAGCACAGGAATGCAATTGCTGGGTTGCACTTGTGTCCCCGTCAGGAGAACACACAAACTGTAGCTCTTTTCAGATTTGTGTGGTTTCTTGCAGGGCCACGAGACAACAGCTGCTTTGGAAACACACTACAAGGAATAGGGAGGGCAGCCCAACTCTTGAAAGTGCTTTAACTGTGGAGGAGGTAGGGGAGACACAAGATCGAAGCCAGATAATGAGGCAGGGAGGCATAGGGAGAGGAAACACATACTCTCAAACAGCTCATAACAAGTAAAATTCAGTGGTACCTCGGGTTAAGAACTTAAATTCGTTCTGGAGGTCCATTCTTAACCTGAAACTGTTCTTAACCTGAGGTACCACTTTAGCTAATGGGGCCTCCCACTACCGCTGTCGCGTGATTTCTGTTCTCATCCTGAAGCAAAGTTCTTAACCCGAGGTACTATTTCTGGGTTAGCAGAGTTTGTAACCTGAAGCATCTGTAACCCGAGGTACCACTCTACAGGGGAATCCCTACACAGAGGGGTTCTGTTCTAAGTGGGGATTCCCCTGTTCTGCCCCCTTGCAGCACTGAAAATGACACGTGTGTCTGCAGGAACGCTTGTGCTGATCGTGCACAAGTGGGGAGGTGCCTGTATAAAAATCCAACCCATGCAAAACCTCCTCCTCAAACAGCAAGGGTAAGAAATGGAAGAGACGTAAGAAGTAAATCCACCAAACAGAAGGGAAAGCTGCCTTATACCAAGTCAGACCATTGGCTTAATCTTGCTCAGTACCATCTGCATAGAGTGACAGTGGCTCTCCAGGGTTTCAAACAGGGAATGTTCCCAGCCCTACCTGAAGATAGGTAAAGGACCCCTGACCATTAGGTCCAGTCGTGGCTGACTCTGGGGTTGCAGCGCTCATCTCACTTTATTGGCCAAGGGAGCCGGCGTACAGCTTCCGGGTCATGTGGCCAGCATGACTAAGTCGCTTCTGGCGAACCAGAGCAGCGCACGGAAACACTGTTTACCTTCCCACCGGAGTGGTACCTATTTATCTACTTGCACTTTGATGTGCTTTCGAACTGCTAGGTGGGCAGGAGCTGGGACCGAGCAACGGGAGCTCACCCCGTCACGGGAATTTGAACCGCCGACCTTCTGATCGGCAAGTCCTAGGCTCTGTGGTTTCGACCACGTCCCATAGCTTGTTTAGCTTATACGTAAATCCGGCACTGCTCCCCGCCCCCAAGTCAGTGGAGAGAGACTGGGGGTACGCTGCGAAGGTAGGAAGAAGACGTGTGCATATGGGAGGAGGAGGCGGCGGCTTTGAGGTCGCCACCAAGCAACCCCTCAAAGCCAAAGGCGCGTGTCGTGCGCGGCTTCGGGGCAACTTACATTGTCTCCTGCAGGACGCCGTACCAGAAGTAGCAGACGAAGACGCCCAGGCAGCAGAGCGGCAGACGAAACCGCTCAGGGAACAGGGCGCCGCCGCCTCCGGGCCCGCCGCTCACCCCCATGACAGGCCCTGGAACCGTTCCCGGCGCCGGCAGCCTCAGCGCCGGCAGCTCCACGCAAACATCCCTCAGCGGTGCCGCCGGCGGGGGGAAAGAGGGCCTCATAGAGGCGGCTGCGACGGCGGCCCGGAAGGACCCCCGCCGACTCCCGGCCGGGGGCTGCCCTCCGCGGCGCCTGACGAGGAGGAGGACGACGCCGTTTGAACGGGGGTCGGCCGAGCCGCGCGCGGGTCCGCTTGAGGGGGTCTTCTCTCCCGCTGCTCCGGAGCGCCCGCGTTGTTTTGTTCGCGCTTGTTTCGCGCCTCTTCAGGCGCCGCGGAAGGCAGCACCTCGGCGGGGCCTAGAAGGAAGCGGGCGGCAGGTTTAGACGTCGACAAATGCGGCTCGTCGGGAGGCGGGGCCCGCGGGGAAGGGCTTTTGCCTCGTGTCGGAGCCTTATTGCTGGTTCCGGGAGAGGCGGAGCCGCGGGGGGCAGCGGCTCGGCGGCACGGTAACGTGAGGGTTTGGGATACACGTGTCAGGGCTTCCTAAAGGACACGCGTTTGCTGCTGCAGTAAATTACTTACTGCGCTTATTTACCGCCTTCCTTCTCCCACCCACCCAAAATAATTATAATTAAGGAGGAATAAACGAAGCAGCGCCTCCACAGGTATCAATTGCAGAGTCCTGGCGGGATGCCACTTCCAGTCCCCTCTGGTATGAACGTGCCTTCAATTTTATGCACAAAAGACACACAAGCTGGTTTTTCTTACTTGCTAGCCTTCATCTTAACCTAAAATTACCCCCGTCCTCGTGGCCTTTTGGTTGAGCTGGGAGCCGACATGCCCCTTCCTAACCTCTGCTTTGATTTTCTAATGGTAAATGGCTCAAGAAACCTAGCAAATTAAATCCCTTTTAGGGAAGGTTGCCCCGATTAAATCCTGCTGTTTACAACCCAGAGTGGCCTGTTTGCTTAATTAAGAAAACTGATATGTCCCTTGATCATTAAAAAAGCCAAACAAAAACTTCAGTAGTCATGGTGACTCCCTTTGAAGCTTATATGCTGTCTCAGTTGAACACCTGGTCTTTATAGATGTTACCTGGCTCCCAAATGTCTCTCCTCTGCTTCTCCAAGTTCAGCATGCTATGCAGCCATTGTTGCCATCTACTACTGTTACTCGTCTCTGAACTCATTAGGATGGCCTTGACGTGACATGGGAAGGATGATGTGGCAGTCACAAACCTCCCATCAGCCAAAGTCCACAGCCTCCTGAATGTTCTGGCTCTTCTGCTCCTTGTAAGTTTAACATGCATTGTTACCAGTCTCTGAGCTCATTAGGATGGTCTTGACCTCATCAGGAAAGGAGATGTATACTTAAAGCCTGTATTAATTGAAATCCACAGCCTCCTAAAGTATATTATTCCCAGTTTAAGCCAAACTCTTTCACTAGAAATTAGTTAATATGTTCAACTGATGGGATAACAAGCAAATACCAACCCAAGAATATGCTACTCATCTGTAGATTTCTTGTTCTTTTTACAGAGATGCAAGTGTGTCCCACACTTCATCCAATCCCACTGACCAATCTCTACTCAGACAAGGCACAGTACAGATACCTCAGATACCGAACAATTTTATTTTTTTAATTGGTTTAAACACCAAAATCTGCAAAAGCCTCTCCAAGACAAGGCAGTGATCCTCCAAGGCTAACATTCTTCCTTAAGCTTTTGTGATACATACATTAAAATTTACAAAACTTCAAAAGTAGCTGCAAAAATACTGTTTTCAAATAGAAAATATAGTTTCCATCTCAGGTTCAAGAAAACCTTTTCAATGCAATCCAGAGGCTTAGCAAAAAGACGAGTTGCTTTCATTTCTAATACTTTGCAATCAAGGCATCACCAGGTTTAAGGCCTTTCACAGTTGTGCTGTGGGGGGTGGGGATGCGGGTGGCCTAAAATTTAAGTTTAAGTGAACCATGGGATCTTTGGAGTGTTCTGTGCATTAAAAAGTAAGGTTAAAGCTGAGCAGATCCCCCTGACTCATCAGCCAGAATTGTAGTAGTGTCAGACCTAACTGGACTGGCCAAATCATTACAATTAAAAAAAGGAAGGAAGTGGATTTGATATGCTAAGAGCTGCATTCCACCAGGGAACTTTAGACATTGTTCTGGCTTCAGCATCAGTTTCCTTTGCCAGAACTGTTGCAAGAAATCTCCTCAAGAGGTCCACTGGAAAAGATGTCTGGGGAGTGTATGAGGAGGGAGGGGGAAAAGAGAGAACATTCCCTTATTCTTACTCCATAAGGGAAGGGAGTAAGACCTCAAAAAAGGCACACAAGTTGAATTTCTGTCAATTCAACTTCTAACTGTTACAGCATGATTGGAAGAGAAAATGCTTCTTTCGAGCATTTAGCTGTGTTCCAGTAATGCTGGTCTCATAGAGTGCAGGGCAGGATGCAAAATAATCTCTAGATGTCTCATTCCCTGGAAACAGATTGCCCAGCACAACTCTTGCCCGGCAGCCATCTGCTAGAGCAGCGTACACCAGTTCCTCTGGATACATGTAAACCTTTCATCCTCCCTAGTCTGTCGAAAGCCTGAGACACATCCTTAGGATAATTCAAAACAAAACAAAACAAAACAAAACAAAACATACATGAGCTCTTGCCTCACCCAGCAAGCAAACAAGAGGAGGAAAAACCCGGTAGCTTATAGTGTGTATATTCCATCAGAGAGGATGAGGGGCTCTTTGGACATCGCAATAGCAGGACAGTGACATGAACTTGTAGGGAATTGAAGTGCTTTTAAGTACCAGGAGTCAAAAGGGGAAAAAACTACTGCGGCTGCAGAAAGGTCCAGTGGCAGTCTGCATTTTTTTAAGGCAGTTGCTGGAGGACTTGTGTCCTAGAAGTGCTCTGTTCTCTGCATTCCAAGGCACTCTTCTCCACAGGCCATGGAGGGACCACAGATTCATTTTGGGTCTGCCCCTCTGAGCTTCAGACAACCAGGGAGCTGTGGAAGAGGACGGTGTCTTCAGCCTGGTGCCGCTTCCAAGTCTCCAAGCCCAGCGGAGGAGATTTTGGGTTCTCGCCGAAGTCGTCTCCCCTCGAGTCTTTCCGCAAACTGAGGATTGGGACCGTGTGAGTGGGCTGGCAGGAGGAGAATGTGCCCGGTGGCATGGGGCTGGGAGAGGAAGAGAAGTCTCTGAACAGGAAGTCCACAGTGGGAATAAAAGGCTTCACCAGGCTGAATCGGCAAAAGGCAGAGCCAGTTGGGTTGAAGTGAACTTTGTTCTTATCGGGACAGGAGGGCAGGAAAGTCTGATCGGGGCTTGGAGGCCTGGAGAGGAAGAAACCACAAGGACAAAGAGATGAGGAATGCAAGGATTGATGCCATCAACTGGCTGAGAGTTTCGACTGGTGGTTGTAAAGATCCTTTACAGTGAGAACAGCAAGGAGGAGCGTGAAGGAAGAGAATCTTTGACATTTCTTGGTCTTGCACTTTGGGACACGGGCGGGGAATCTGTGGTCCAACAACACCTGCAGGGTCCAACTCCTATCAGCCCCAGCCATCGTGACTGATTGTTAGGAATGCTGAGGGCTGATTGGTAGGTTGGATCATGATGTTCCCCCAACCCCTGTGGGCCACTCACATGTCAATCACTTGACATCACCATGACATTACGAAAAGCATTCCTCCCTGCACCATTTGCTGTTTAACCTTTCAGCCAACAGGCTCTTATAGAAAGCCCAACTTTGGGCAGAGTTTGCTGTCACGGCCAGTCAGCTGATTGTTCTTGGCAAGTAGGGCTTGCTGTCAGTGCCAATCAGGGGTACACTTTAAGGCTCCCAGTTCTTCATTTGTCCCTCACATATGACATCAGGTGCATGGGTGTGTATTTGGGGGGAAGCAGCCTCAGGGGCTAAATTAGGACCCCCTAATTGGGACCACGGGACGCAGGTGGCGCTGTGGGTTAAACCACAGAGCCTAGGACTTGCCGATCAGAAGGTTAGCGGTTCGAATCCCCATGACGGGGTAAGCTTCCGTTGCTCGGTCCCTGCTCCTGCCAACCTAGCAGTTCGAAAACACGTCAAAGTGCAAGTAGATAAATAGGTACCGCTCTGGTGGGAAGGTAAACGGCGTTTCCGTGCGCTGCTCTGGTTCGCCAGAAGCGGCTTAGTCATGCTGGCCGCATGACCCGGAAGCTGTATGCCAGCTCCCTCGGCCAATAAAGCGAGATGAGCGCTGCAACCCCAGAGTCGGCCACGACTGGACCTAATGGTCAGGGGTCCCTTTACCTTTTTAATTTGGACCACAGACCAGAGGTTTCCCAGGGCTGATCCTGTAGGAAGTGGACTGCATCATGTAAGGCTGCAGTATCTCGGCCTGCTGTGTCCCTAGAGGCAAATATCCTTCTTACTTACGCAGCTTCCTCAAAAGCCCGGATTTTCTCACAACCCTCCGGAGGTTCCCGCTTGAACACATAGGTGTGGTTGGGACGAGGAGACAGGGCAAAGGCAAGGACTGGAGAAGTGCTGCCGTTTTCTGGCGGAAGCGGGGGAGAAAAAGAGAAAGGCTTAAATGTGACACAGACAAATGCAGAACCAGTAATGCTGTAATGCATCTATATCTGGAAGAATCGTTTGCATAATGTCCCATCCAGGTCATTGATTCTAAAGCTATTCTTGCTGTGTCTTCTGTACACTCAGCCTTATTAAAAATCCAGGGTTTTTTATCTGTATAGGCAAAATCCCTATGGAGTCACTGCTTAGATGGCATCGCTTTTATACTTTTGTTGCAAACTGCAGTGACACATAGTTTTAAACAAATTGGTGGTTGGTAAAGGTGCTTATCAATAAAGATTCACACGCAGATTCGGGGCTGTCTGTGTATCCTGTAAACAGAAGGAAAGTTTTGGGTTTGGTCAGTTTTGGAAGTCTGGCCTGCTACCTCCTGCTCTTGGGTATCTGCTTCCTGTTTCCAACTTCTCCCTTCACCACACATTCCTGGTTTTCCTTCTTACACATTCAGGGGACACTCCCAGAAACGTCTCCAATGTTTACAAGTCCTCCCTCCATCCTTTCCCCCTTCACTGGGCTCCACAAAGCATCACAGAATACAGTGGGCTTTTCCCTGCCCTTGCTGCCATAAAAAAAGAAAAGATTACAAAACTAGCAGCCAGGTCCATATGTAAAGAAGGAGAGATCATACGGTGGACGTATGGTGGGATTTTCACCATTTATCTTCATATAAGACTTGAGAAATTTGGTTTGATACAGTCGGGAGGATTCTAAATGCCCAAATAATTAGAACGGCAATTATTTAGGGATAAAAGATGTGAAATCCTGAATGAGCAGGGTCAGATTTAGAATGAAGTTCAAGCCAATTAATTAGACTGTGACCTTGTATAGGCACATCACACTCTTTGCGATCCCTAATATCCGTACTCTTCCCTTCAACTGGTTTGTGGACACTGATGATCCATGGAAAGGGAAGAGCAGGCTGGATCTCTTTATTTTAGGGTTTAATTGCTTTGAGTTAGCGATTTAGTGCAAGTCAGTAAAATGAGTTTCATGCTCCAGTGCTTGCTTTTGGTTACCCTCCCCCACAATTCCAAGGCGAGTCTATGGGCGTTGATGTGCTGTCACTGTTTTCTGGCATGATTCAATCACATTCCAGTAAATTTAGGTTGTGCAACTGAAGCCAATTAATAATAATAATAATAATAATAATAATAATAACAATTTATACCCCACTCATCTGGCTGGGTTTCCCCAGCCACTCTGGGCGGCTCCCAACAGAATATTAAAAACACGGTAAAACATCAAACATTAAAAACTTCCCTAAACAGGGCTGCCTTCAGATGTCTTCTAAAAGTCAGAGAGTTATTTATTTCCTTGACATCTGACGGGAGGGCGTTCCGCAGGGCGGGTGCCACTACCTCTGCCTGGTTCCCTGTAATCTCACTTCTCTCAGTGAGGGAACCACCAGAAGGCCCTCGGAGCTGGACCTCAGTGTCCGGGCTGAATGATGGAGGTGGAGACGCTCCTTCAGGATTGGGAGGGTCTTGCGCCAAAAACAGCAACAACAAAAACCCACTTCCCCGAAAGATCGGACTTTTTGCAGTTAAGCGTCTGGAAAATTGTGGGGAGACTTGCTTTGATGCAACGTCATCTACACAAACCAATCAGAGCGAAGGCTCATTCAATAACCAATGCCGTCTGACCTCCCTGCGAACAAATCGGGATGACTGTTCGATAAATAGTGATGCCTGGGGAGCACCCTATGCTGTCCCCTCCAGCTTCCAGGCTGTGTTCTCGTACTGTGGAGGGTGGGGGGCAAACAAGGCCTGGAAAAACCTCTTTAAAAAATGTGCAACTTTCTAAGGCTCCCAACATGCCTCTTACTAGCCCCCTTCTGGCTTACCTTTTCCCTTAGCTTCCACTGGCGGCTTATCCAGCACACTGGGGTAAAGTTCCTCTGTTGCTGCTTGGGCAGGCGTGTGTGGGGACCGCCCAAAGGCAGCTGAAGGGGACGGAGAGAGAGAGAGGCTGCTGCAGCTGCTACTGCTGTGCTCCACCCGCAGCAGTAAGGCTTCTCTGGTGCTTCTCGGCAGCGGGGCTGGGGCTCTGTGGCCATCGGGGACATCCAGGATCTAGAAGGAAGACACTTCTTAAATTAATACTGGTTCACTTAGGGCCTTTTTACCCCAGCTCTTATTTCAGGGCAGCTACTGCAAGAGGAACACGGGTGGCGCTGTGGGTTAAACCAGAGAGCCTTGGGCTTGCTGATCAGAAGGTCGGCGGTTCGAATCCCCGCGATGGGGTGAGCTCCTGTTGCTCACGTCTCTGCTCCTGCCAACCTAGCAGTTCGAAAGCACGTCAAAGTGCAAGTAGATAAATAGGTACCGCTCCGGCGGGAAGGTAAACGGCGTTTCCGTGCATTGCTCTGGTTCGTCAGAAGTGGCTCAGTCATGCTGGCTGCATGACCCGGAAGCTCCCTCAGCCAGTAAAGCAAGATGAGTGCTGCAACCCCAGAGTCGGTCACGGCTGGACCTAATGGTCAGGGGTCCCTTTACTTTACCTTTACTGCAAGATCAACGCATTTATTGGGAGGGGGGAAAAACCCAAGACCCTCTCCTGCAGCAGTGCAGGCATTTTGCTATAAACAGCTGTAGTTTGCCCTCCAGAGGAGACGTTGCACATCTGCTGTGACTCAAAGGCCAGCTATGGAGCGAGGGAAGGATGCAATGCAGCCCCAGAGTTCAAGAGAACCAAATCAAACATGTGCTTAAAGCGTGTTATGAACCTTTAGGTGTGGTCTGTTTCTAAGTCGCAGGAGACGAGGTTAGTACCGTAGGATTCCTCAAGCATTTGGAGATTTCTTTTAAAAATAAAAATAAAATCACCATAGAAAGTCAGCGGCCCTCATTGAGAACAAGGGGCTGGCTGTGGCTAGCTGCTGATGCTGTAGGTTCACCCTATCTGTTCTTTAAAACAGCCATAACTGTTTCTAGATGAGTGTTTGGAAATTTCAGTACAGAGAATTTCAGTGTACAGCTCAGGGTATGTCATGAATGGGAGCTTTGTATTCAACTAGTGGTGCAAAAGATGGCAAAAGGGGCCACAAAGGTGTGTTCTGCCCAGCAGAGTTTTGGGAACCAGCCGTAACTCACCCTGAGGAGCTCCTCATCTCCTTGCTCTTTTACAAACACTTCTTCCAGTTCTTGATTGAGACCGTCGAGGCTGTTGTGCAAACAGGGGCTGATCGGCGCAACAGTCAGGGCTGGAAAGGGTGCAGGTGGGGAAACCTGCAACAAGGACATCCAGCAATGTGGTAAAACAAGCCACCGACACCTTTTTTGCAAGGAAAGTATTCACTACAGCAATAGTTCTTTAAGAGTGTGGCGAGAATGGGAAGATTCAAGGAAAATCAAAGAAACATTTAAACATTTCAGTATAGTACAGTATAAAAAAATTCTTAATTTGCAGAATATGGATAGGTTTCTTTCCAAAATCAAGCACAGCTAGCTGTTTCTTTTAATTTTCCAATGTATTTCTTATCACTAAAGAAACTGTACTAAACATTTCAGTATAGTACAGTATAAAAAAATTCTTAATTTGCAGAATATGGATAGGTTTCTTTCCAAAATCAAGCACAGCTAGCTGTTTCTTTTAATTTTCCAATGTATTTCTTATCACCAAAGAAACTGGGTGTGGCACGAGTAAATTTTTATTCTGAAAGTTTGAGACCCACTGCTCTACAGCCAATCAGGTCCTTCCCTAATACTGAGCTTCGAATGCTCTCCTCTTTGTTTGCCCAAGGGATACTGAGAGGTCAGGGGTTGGGGACCCCGCTGACGAATTCTGCGAAACCGTAGTCAATATCCGGAATCACTGTTCAATGTTGGACATCATATTTGCTGAATACACAAAGCTTCACAGCTTGTCTTTCATCGTACAAAGTCTGGTACCTCGCTTCAGTTAAAGATTTTCAGAGACTTTGAGACTAAAGATTTCATTTTGTACTTGTTATGGTTTGAAGGAATTCTATAAAGATTATCTATTGCGTACGTACATGGTCATCGTGTTGCCTAGGCATTGCTGACACTGGGCCATGTGGGCAGGGGCTACAACATCTGGAAGGGCGCCGGTCAAGTAGGTGCATACTTAATAGGCCAGTTCCACCACTCTGGTCTAGTATGATGAAGACTCAGAGCACTGGTCCATGCAACCCGTCCCTGACCCATCTGGCAATGCGCTCTCAAAGGTCTCTCCTAAGTCCTGCTTCCTAATACCCTTCTAATCACATGCCTCTCAAACACTGAACCCTCTCCTTTTTTTGGTCCAAGGGATGCCGAGAGACCTGGATCCTGAGAAATGAACCTTGAATGCCTAGTTCAAAGGGCAGCTCAAGAACGATCACTTGAGCTTGGAGCAAGGCTCTTGACCTCCACATACACAGCAGCCAGCACAGGCCAGTAGGAAGTGTGTGTGCGCCTCCCAAATTCCTCGCACTGTTTTGGGTGGGGCTGAAGAGAATGGTTTTGCCCTCCCCCACCCTGCAAATGCAGCAGCAGAATTGAATACTTCAAACTCTTTCCCAAAAATAGCCTCGAGCTCATCTCTTGCCAACAGTCCATCGACAGCTGGACCCTGTTTTCCTCTGGCCGGATGGGGGCAAACAAAGGAGAGGGATGCGGTGCCTACCTTGGCGGGCGAGAGGACACTATGATCCCCCTGGACGGGGGAGATCTGGTCTTTCTCTTTGCTATTCCGGGCACTGAGTTTCGTTCTCTGGAGCTGCTGCTTCAGTTTGGCAATCTGGGGAATGAGAATGCAACCTGCATTTAGAAGAGGCAAAGGACCTCACAATTTCTTCTGCCCATGCGCAATGCATGACAAGCACAGGGGGCAACTTCTGCAAGGTGCCCTTCCAGTGCCGGCTTACAGCCATGGATTCGTAGAGTTGGAAGGGACCCTGAGGATCCTTTTGTCCAAATCCCTACAATGTAGGAAAATAAGCCGTTGTCCCACCATGCAGGGATCGAACCTGTGACCTTGGCATTATCAGCACCATACTCTAAGGAACTCAGCCATCTGGGATAACTTGCTGCCCAATTATCAGATCGTCTGATAGGACCAGTCTTTCCTCTAAGGAGGTGTCACCTTTTTGAGGTGTTGTCTTTTAAGCAACTGGAAGTCACACAGCTAGGCCTGGTTTTTTGCAAACACAAGCCAGGGAAGCAGCAGCAGCAACAGCTGCTCTGCTTCCTGTGGGCAATGGAGGCCTCTTGTTCGCTCTGCAGGGGGCTTCCTCTGAAATCTGTGGGGCCGTTTCTGCTGTGTTTTTTTAAAACACCCACACAAACACAGGCAACACCTAATAACCACTATTCATGGAAAAAACACACATATATATGTATGTATATGTATATATGTGTGTGTATGTACGTATGTATATATGAATAACTCGATGCATCCAATGTGTTTTACCATATAGCTTTTGCACGGGAAGAAACAAGCACTTTGAACTGTTTGAGAGAACCTACAGAAGGAGTTGGGAACATAGCTTATTCTCTAGGTGGCCTCTAATTTCCCTCACTGGAGAAGAGACACTGCCAGGTTTATTATATTTTGCCCTCAAAGATACTTATGTGAAATCCATTGGGTGCATGAAACCTTGTTTAAAAAATAAATAATAATCTTTTTTATTTTGAGCTAGTTCCAAGGCTTCTGCTAGGCACTGTAAGCAATGCTGAGTTAATGGACCACTAGCCTGACGTTGTCTGCAGAGTCTTGCCTCTTAGGGCAAATGGGGCGCTGCCCCACCCATCTCAGCCTGTCCTCAGCCAGCCCCTACTCCCTGCCTTCTTACTTACAGAAAGTGTCAGCTTACACCTCTGTATAGAACTCAACAAGGAGGATGGTAATAAAGGCAGAATCAGCTGGCTCTGGCTCCCCCTGCTGTTGGGTCCCTTGCCTTCACATAGAATCATAGAGTTGGAAGAGACCACAAGGGCCATCGAGTCCAACCCCCTGCCAAGCAGGAAACACCATCAGAGCACTCCTGACATATGGTTGTCAAGCCTCTGCTTGACGTACACCCTACCAATGCGCACCAGCCACTACTGCTTTTGGTGAGTGTGGTGCCTCCTCCCTGCCACTGCTTGTGAGGATTGCAAGCAGCATTCAGCAACAGCAGCAACAACAACTGGTTTATTACTATAAACCATCGTTTCCCAAACTTGGGCCTCCAGCTGCTTTTGGACTACAATTCCCATCATTCCTGTCTGCTGGTCCTGCTAGCTAGGAATGATGGGAGTTGTAGTCCAAGAGGAGCTGGAGACCTAAGCTTGGGAAAGCCTGCACAGGGCCTAGTGGGAAGGTACCTTATTTGACAAAACTACCTGCCGATTTGTGTTATCTGTGAAGGACGCCAATTCTGGGTTTCTGGGATGCTCAATGCAGGCCAGTGGCTGAGTTTCCTTTGCACACTGTGCAGTGCGGGAAGCATGCTTTTCGTTTGGCTTGCTAAGCAGCTCTCTCACCTCTCTGCGGTGATCCACGCTACTCCACGAGGCCGAGCGCTTATGGGCAGCGGCTTTCCCCACCTCTGCTTCGTGCCAGGACACAGGAGTCTGCAAAGAAGGGAGCAAGGCGTTCAGCAGAGCACGGCCAGTCCAAGCGAGTTCCAACACGGCAGTCTACTTTGCAAGAGTCATTCTGAAAACATGCCATTGGAGGGAGGAAGTGTCATGCCGAAGGGCTAATTTGTGGGACTTTGGAAAATGAAAAAAAAATCTATCACTTTCCTATGGGAACTAAGAGTACAACCACATTGCCATGCTACCTAGGAAACTCTGGCTGCTGCTCTCAGTGCATTTGGAATCCAGGGCAGAATGCTTGGCCGCCGTTTTCCTACACAACGACATTGGTATAAAATGTCATGGATTACACAGGCCTGGATGGAAAAAGCCCAACTAAAACTTTCAAGAAAGATTTGCGAACGACTTTCTATGCCTTCACATCTTCCTTGCAGAGTACGATAGCCAAAATTCACATAGAGCTTGTGCTCCACACAAGCTGCTTTCAGGAAAATTATGCCCAGAAGTGTTCCCAGAGGAGGAAAACCTTAACTCAAGAAGAGTGTTCATCCACATTTCAGCCAGTGAAGTCCAAGTGGAGCTCCATACTACTTCTTTTTGAGGGAGAATATGCCTCCCACTGGGGCTGGGTGATATGGGACGCGGGTGGTGCTGTGACTTAAACCACAGAGCCTAGGACTTGCCGATCAGAAGGTTGGAGGTTCGAATCCCCACGACAGAGTGAGCTCCCGTTGCTCGGTCCCTGCTCCTGCCAACCTAGCAGTTCAAAAGCAGGTCAAAGTGCAAGTAGATAAATAGGTACCGCTCCTGTGGGAAGGTAAACGGTGTCTCCGTGCACTGCTCTGGTTCTCCAGAAGCTGCTTAGTCATGCTGGCCACATGACCCGGAAGCTGTACGCCGGCTCCCTCGGCCAATAAAGCGAGATGAGTGCCGCAACCCCAGAGTCGGTCACGACTGGACCTAATGGTCAGGAGTTCCTTTACCTTTACCTTAGGGCTGGGTGATATATCATCAAAAACCGGTTTGGAGTCCGTATCGCGATTATCAGTTTCGTAATTTTCGACCTGGCAATGTATTGCAAATCTTGATGGGTGTGTGCTATGCAAAAATCACCAAGTGTGAAAAACTGAAGCCCGCCAAGGCATCTCTCGATTCCTGCAACCCCTGTTAACTCTGGTGGCTCAGCTCTCCCCTGCCTCATACAGGGGGGCAGCAAAACACAAGAGCAGGTGCCAGCAAAAATCACAACGTGAGAAAAACCACAAAGGCAACCAACACTTCTACATGGCACCATCCTTATTTCAGACATCGTGATATATCCGTGAGAACTCCGGGTATAGGACAGTATATAAATTCAATAAATAATAATAATAATATCTGTATTTTGTGATGTTTAGCTGGTGATATATCACAATGTCGTAAGCCAGATATCGCCCAGCCCTACTTCCCACATAGCCCTGCAATAATATTTCCAGCAAACTTATAGGCTTCCATGCTTGGGTCTTTATTCAGGAACCGTAGTCCATCACGTCACAATGTCTCAGGGCAATTTAACACTGCATGTACACAAAACAAACTCTTAAGAAAAATAAGCTGAATGCTACAAGCAAAATCCTAATAGATTCCAAGTAAAGATGCCAATGAAATTAGTTACTATAGGCAGAACATTATTCAAAGACTAAGGAAAAGCCTTATATTCATTTAATGACACCCAGCAGCTCTCATTCAATCTCTGTGACCTGCCTGGAAATTTATTAATATTATTTATTAAATTTATATACATTTATCAAAAGATCCCTGGGCGGTGGTACAACATTAAAACCACATCACAGAACATCGGTGATGAAAACATAATAAAAAGCATACTGATATAAAGCCTAATAATAAAATAGTCATCATCATAACAGTCCCACACTTTCACAGGCCATACATAGAGTATTTAATAACCATAGGCCTGGGTACAGAGGAATGTTTTTGCCTGGCTCCTAAAGACATGTAATGATGGTGCCAGGTGAACCTCTCTGGGGAGAGCATTCCATAGATGGGGAGCCACCACAGAAAAGACCCCTTTCTCTTGTTGCCACTCTCTGGACCTCTCTGGGATGGGGGGCATAGAGAAGGGCCTCAGGTGACAAGCGAAGGGTCTGGGTCGGTTTGTATGGCGAGAGGCGATCCTTAATGGTGAGCATTGCACTTTTCTGTTTCCTGCTATTCAAGGGGTTTGCCATGCAAGGACTGCTGGCCTATGATATCAACGGCCCTCAAGGTGGGGCTGCACAGAAGCAAAGGAAGTGGCGGTGGCAGAATTGCCTAAGTTCGGGCAAGCGCTTGCAGACAAGTGGCTTGCCAGACCCCCAGCATTCAAGCCCCCACCTTACCCCTGATTTACAGGACAAGCAAGAGGACAGGCCACCCTGTCCAACAACCCAGATGTTGGGCTGCTGGGACACGTTACGCTTCCATCTTGTTGGGCATGTTCCAAGACCAGTAGCAAATTAGCAATACTAGTGCAGAGAAAGCTATTAAGGCCCAATCACCTTGGAGCTCTGCAGTCAAGACCATGGTCTGGGGACATCTCTTTCTCCAGCTGCCAAGGCAGCAGAAGGGGCTTTTCTATTAGCCAAACCGGCCTCCCTAGAAAGGCTGTTGTAAAACAGGAAATCTGGCAGCCATTTTAAAAATGTTTTTTGTTTAAACAGCCCTGTTGAACAACCCTGGAAAGTTAGCTCGAACCGCTGCAAATCCTGACTGGTACAGGCCTTGCAAGTGGCGGAAGAGGAGTTGCAAGGGGCAGGACCCAGACATTTTGTGGAACTGTAGAATGCCAATGACTCCCCCCTTGACCCCCACTTCATGCCAGGAAAAAATGTGCCCACAAGTGTTGATGCGGAGCCAAGAGTTGCCGCCCAACCCTTCAGCAAAGCTTTTCGGGAGCAGGAGCAAATAGCAACCGCCACTCGAGGTATTTTTAAGACCTCGAGATAAACCCTTATCTTTCAAGTTACGAAGTGCCGGTCACAAGGGGGAAATTCCACCCATGCCGCCGGTGTGGGGGAGGCTAATCCACCCACCCCCCCCAAGCGCGGCAGCGACGTCTCAAAAAACTATTTGCAGGTGAAACTGCTGCACCTTGGTGCAAGCTTCCTGCCCCGGCTGCAAGAATGGCTGAGCTGCCTTGCCTGGAATCCCCACTTCATGTTGCAGCGGAAAGCCCAGAAAGCTTTGTTTTATTTTGCTTCCTTGCTGAAATGCACATCGGCCGGCAGATTTCATGCCTGTCCTGGGCTCAAGGAAAGCTGTAGGCGGCCTCCATTCCTCAAGTGTACACAAGAGCTTTGAGGAGTATATGGAACAAAACATTGCTCTAAAAAGAATATGTTGACATGCATGGATTAAGTATGTAAAGTATAAGCGAGAAGAATAAATAGAAGTGGCTATAAGAGATGTTTTGTCCAAAGAATGCAATGACAGTATTTACCGTATTTTTCGCTCTATAAGACGCACCAGACCATAAGACGCACCCAGTTTTTGGAGGGGGAAAACAAGAAAAAAATATTCTGAATCTCAGAAGCCAGAACAACAAGAGGGATTGCTGTGCAGCGAAAGCAGCAATCCCTCTTGCTGTTCTGGCTTCTGGGATAGCTGCGCAGCCTGCATTCGCTCCATAAGACGCACACACATTTCCCCTTACTTTTTAGGAGGGAAAAAGTGAGTCTTATAGAGCAAAAAATACGGTAAATCTGAGCTAAAGGAAGTCGAGTCGTGGTGGAGGGAAGTCATGGGGGTATGTAGGGTTTATGTTACAGGGAACCAGGCAGAGGACCTTCTCGGTAGTGGCACCTGCCCTGTGGAACGCCCTCCCACCAGGTGTCAAAGAGAACAACTACTAGCAGACTTTTAGAAGACATCTGAAGGCAGCCCTGTTTAGGGAAGCTTTTAATGTTTGATGCATTACTGTATTTTAATATTTTGTTGGAAGCCGCTCAGAGTGGCTGGGGAAGCCCAGCCAGATGGGTGGGACATTAATAATAATAATAATTAATAATAATAATAATGTTTACAGGGTAGGGGTACATGTATTTTCTTTAGTTTAATTTTGTGTTAGTATTTGTTTACTTGATTTTAATTTTCTGCAACATTTATTAAGAAATAAATAATAAAATAATAAATAAAATGTGCACAAGATCTGGCTAGGGGGTAGAGAGGGAATGTGCGGCAGCAGAGAACCCCCCCCCCCCAAGCTGCAGCTTTTGGTGCTGCTGCCAAGGGGGAGGCCTGGCTTCGAGCACCCTGCCCCCGCAGGCCCAGCCTTCTGCCATGAGGCAGGAAGTTTCCAAACACGTTATTCTAGTAGTGGCCAAACAGCTTCCGCCGAGCAGGAGAGAAGGGGAGGAAAGTGCTTTGAGAAGACAACCACAAGGTCTGAAACCACAAGGTCAGATAATCTGCAGGGAAGGGCGTGCCTCTTGAGTCTCATCCCCAAGGCTATAAATATAAATAAATCCTTTGTCTTCACAGCAGAAAGCGAGCCACAGCACCCACAGAAAGGCAGGGGGTTTGGGAGGCTCTGTTGAAACGTTAAACCAGCTCTTGCACACAAGAGAAAAAAAGGATTTCAGGCACTCGCTTCACCTGCGACCTGAGCTTGCGCAGTCTACCCCAAGATCCCCACGCCCCATGGGAGAGAGGCGGCGAAATGGGCGCAGCACCAGAACGGCAGGCTGCACAAAGAACGTGCCGGCCTTGGGCTAGGGAGACTCGGGTTCAAGTCCTCAGCTGGCCCAGTCAACTTTTAAGAAAGGCTCTCAACTGAGCTTATCTAAAAGGGTTGTTGCAAAGATGAAAATGGGGCAACCCCCAAGTTCCTTGGTCTGGGGCAGGTTCAGTAAGGAAGCCTTTGTGGTTGTCCAGACTGGCTGCTTGTCTTGGCTAAACCAACATTACAGTCACTGTGCAGGGGCTACCCTAGACCTGCCTTGCACAGGTGGACTTGCATAGCTCTGATCCAACCTCTTCTGTAAAGGTCATAGGTCAGGACTAGAGCAGCTACTTTTCATGCAGAAAGTCCCAGGTTCCATCCTCATCTTCTCTACCTAAGCTTGGGAAAGACCCACATCAGAAAAGCTTTGCAGGCTGCTGCCAGTCAGTGTTGGCAATACTAGATGGACTACAGGTCCAACTCAATGTAAGGAAGCTTCCCATGTACTTCTTTGGTCACCCGGATCAGCAGATGCCATAGGACTGTAGGTTCCAACATCGTAGGAGACCCAAGGCCTGGTTCTTGCAGAAGCGGTCAAATTGCAGGAAGACTCCACCGCTTCACGTACACATCAGTACTCCTGCAGGCACTCCCAGCTCCCTGCACTTGGAAGTCTAGCATGTCAGGAAGAAAGGGTTTTTCAAGTTCTCCATGGGAAGGAGTTTCATTTTTATAAAAGCCTATTCAGCAACGTGAGACTCCACACATGGTTTGAAGAGGTATGGTGCAGACACACATTTACCGCTGCACCGAAAACCAGCCCAAAGTCTGGCCAGGAGGGACAGCGTGCTTGGTGATGGTACCGCCATTTTGGAATCCTATCCCCAGGGAAACCTGCCCAGCCACTGCTTTGCAGCTTCAGGCTCCCAATTAACAGGTTTGTTTTTCCAGGATTTAATACCTCGGGGCCCAGTTATGTTGTATTTTTATAGCTTCACTGGGCTGCTTTTCCAGCTCCCGCCATGCTGTTAACTTTGCCTGATGGTGGGTTGTTGTTTTTTTATGGATCTGCCTCCTTTCCAAGCTGTTGCTACTCCGAGTACCTCTCTTAATGGATGAAACGTTGAACCCTGCAGGGAGCCACTCAAGCTAATGTACCTATTTGGTCACTGCTTGCGAGGCTGGTTTTGTAACACGCTCTCTATCTAGGCACTCCAATTAAAAAGGCTAGATTCATCTCCAGCTGAAAGGGGCCGAGGCTGTCCTTTTGTCTCAGAAGGACCATTTGTTGCTCTGCAGAAATATTTATGGGTTGCCAAGGCTTCCTCGATGGCTGGAGGCTCCCCGCTCCATCCGGGAGCACACACGCCTCGCAAGCCTCTCTTCCATCGCAAGAGCCCTCGATCTCAAAATCAGCGCATGGCACACAGCCCTGAGAAATGTTATATAAGGGTTTTGGCCCAGGGCGGCGAACTGAGCTGAAAGAGCCTCGGAGCACTGAGCCCCTTTCCAGGAGGACAGCTGCCTCTGCAACAAAAGCCAAGGAAAAGTCAAGCTTTGCCTCTAACCAGCAGAAGCACAACAGGGAAGGCCTTCCCTAGAAAGCCAGACACAAAGAGCAGGGCTTGAGACTTAGGAGAGCACTCTCACCCAGCCTGGGCATGCATGCATTTTGCAGGGAAAGGCATTTAGACTTCTAGTTTACCCGGCTCAATGTTTTCCAGCATAATTTTTTTTTGCACAATCTAAGTTAAATTTTAAAAGTCCAGCTTAAACCCTTGCACATCTGGTTTTACAAGAGGGTTGCAAAACAGTGACCGGGATATTCCCCTCCCCGGGTGCATAGCCTTGGTTTAGCTTCAGCCAAAGGGAAAGTCGGCTGGGCAATGCTGTTGCTGAACAAAATACGGTCCCCTGTGGGGCAGCACTAAGGGTTCTCAGTACAATGGTACCTCGGGTTACATACGCTTCAGGTTACAGACTCCGCTAACCCAGAAATAGTGCTTCAGGTTAAGAACTTTGCTTCAGGATGAGAACAGAAATCGTGCTCTGGCGGCGCGGCAGCAGCAGGAGGCCCCATTAGCTAAAGTAGTGCTTCAAGTTAAGAACAGCTTCAGGTTAAGAACAGACTTCCAGAACGAATGAAGTTCTTAACCCGAGGTACCACTGTACAGTCGCAGGCTGTTGGAGACAGCCCTCACTCCAAGCCCAGCAAATCCATTTCTGCTCATGGGTTGCTTTCTCCAGGTTGGGGGTATTGCTGTTTGGCCAAAAGACACAAACCACACACACACAGTTTTATTTTTAAGTACTTCCATTTCTGACTTCAGGCCCCACTTTAAAGTTCCTTAATGCTTCCTACTCTTCCTTACAACGTAGAGCCACCAAATGTGGAGACAGAATATGGGTTGTAGCGTTGGAAGGGACCCTGAGGATCTAGTCCAGGCTTCCTCAATCTCGGCCCTCCAGATGCTTTCGGCCTACAACTCCCATGATCCCTAGCTAGCAGGACCAGTGGTCAGGGATGATGGGAATTGTAGTCTCAAAGCATCTGGAGGGCCGAGGTTGAGGAAACCTGATCTAGTCCAACCTCCTGCCAATACAGGAATAGTCAGCTGTCCCATACGGGGATTGAACCCGTAACCTGATAATTAGAACTAAGAGGTTACGTTCAACTACTGGGTTGAATGCCTGGGAAGGGCACACCTGTCTTTTACCTGCCTCTCCAACCAAACAGTCCGGTAGCACCCTTTAAGAACTAACAGACATATTAAATGCTTCTGTGGAGTGTAGCAAGGATGGGGAACCTGCGGCACTCCAGATGCAGCTGGACTGCGACGCTCGTTGCCCGTCATCCAGCAACTGATGCCTCCTTAGCAACCGCCTCTCACTTCCCATCAAGCACTGTCTGCTTGACAACCGTGTGGGCTGCAAGTAAGATGAAAGCAGAGGTTCTTCAGATCACCTGCATTGCCACAGAAGCCAAACCCCGTGGTTGTGCAACACAACTGCAAAACAGCCCCTCCAGGCTAGGCCTGGGCGATATATCAATATATCGCCCAGGACCGGGATGAGGAGCAGACCACGATGTCGATTACACTCAGCGGTATATTGCTGGTGAAACTGACACCGCCTCCAAGTTCCTCTGCTAGCGACTTCCTCCAGCAAGCGCTGCTAGCGGAGGGACTCAGAAGCGGTGGCAGTTTCACCAGCGATATATCATACTGTGCAGAGGGAGGGGAAAAATCTGCATTGGTGAGGCGCCGATACAGCTTGTTCCTCCCTATGCATCTTTTAACTGCTCAGCTGAGGAGTGAGCTAACCTCAGCCGAGCAGTTAAAGGATCCGCCAGCCCAGTGCTGGCTCTCACACAAACGGGGAGAGCACCAGGGATGGCTCAGTGGGGGCTCGGGAGCCCTCCCGCGCCCCAGCTGAGCTGCACAAACAAACTGCCTTGTCCCAGTCCGCTAGGCAAGGGGCGAAGCTGCCTCAGTTCCCACGGTGAGAGCTGCGGCAATTTCAACCGTGCCTCGCAAGCGGAGGACAATGCAACTTGTTTTTCAACATCGTGGTATATTGCCCGACCGCGATGTTTGGCTGGTGATATACCGCGATGCTGAAAAACTGTTATCGCCCAGCCCTGCTCCAGGCATCTCTTGCCTGTAGCCAAGGGCCACTCCTGGGAGATGGAGGGGGAAAGTTCCCCCAAGACTTTGCATGGTGTTTACTGGGGCTGGGCACCAAGATCGCCATAGTGCAGACAGAACTGTACGGGACTTGGCAACAAATTGGAAGTTTGCAATAAGGCAGGAGACAGTGCTGGGGTGAGTAGGACTGAGAGATATCTGGTTTTCAACATTGTGATATACCAACAGCTGAACACCACGATGTTCAACTCTGGAATGTATCTTGGCTGCTTCTTCCTTCCCACCTTAGGTTCCTTTTGCCTGCCTGCCTGCGACTTTGCTGTCTGCAGGCCATTTGAACTGGCACGGTTTATCGCCAGCTCAGATTGTCTGAAACCAGTATAGTGATGTGAACACCATAATCGTTTCAGATAATTTCTCAATGCATCACTCAGCTCCATGCAGGACAAGGTGAACCTCTGACCCGATCTGGCAAAAGCTTTTCTTACGAAGCGGTTAAGTTGAGAGGGCTCGTGTAAACACATCGCTGCTGATCCCAGCCTGACCTCTGGGAACACCAGCCCAACCAGGCAACATCTCCTGCCACCTTCAGGGATCTGCCCCATCATCCCTCCATGATCTCCCACTGTCCCTGCAAAAAGGTTGCTCCAGTACCTGGGTGGATTTGTCACTCATATGCGCTACGGCAGCTCCTTCTGCATCCCGAGGCCACTGGCCCAAGAGGTACGATCCAAGGACGGTGTCTAGGGAGGAAGTGCGCCTCACCCGGGGGGGCCTGTTCCGGCAGGCCTTCTCGACCGGACCGGCCGCAGCACATGGGACACTAGCTGGAGAGGAAGGAAGAGAAACAAGTTAAGAATTCGAAGCATCACTCCTAAATCTCTTCTACCTGCAGCAGGAGCTTATCTGTAGTGTAGGGAAGTGTAGCTCTGTGAGGGGGCAAACTACAATTCCCAGGAAGCCAATTCCTTTAAATGTATGGTGCGTAGACCGGCCATATGATTTTCCTAACCTTTCTGATGCATGTGCTTCTGAATAAGCAACAAAAACTAAATCAAAAACCCCCAAAGGGAAGGAACAATTATTAGCAGATTCCCTCCGCACCCTGCCAAATCTCCCCAAAATTTTGCAAATGGATGGGGCTGCGTTTTGTTTTTGCATATGCCGTTCATATAATTTCGACACTATCTGTTCATTGCCAGAGGTGCCTTAGGTTCCCCATTTGGAGGGAACTCTGGACGTAAATTCCACACAGAATATATTGTTTTGTTTGATAAACTCAGAGGCTGTGAAAAGTAACGACGATTAACATTGGAATGATTTATGGGAACTATCGTGGAAATTATGAAAGCAGTAGAAGTATGAGATGATCAGAGCCCCCCCAACCTCAGAACATGGGAAGATACCTCCAATTATTTTTTTGTAATTTGGCATAATACTTGGACTGATTGATTATTGAATAATATGTATAATTTGGAATATTTAATATGGTTTGATTGGATTGTTAAAGTGGAAAATTTAATAAATAGTATTTTTTTTTAAAAAAAAATAGATTCCCCATTTGGATACTCCAGCTTGTTCAAAATTCAGCACCTAGAGTACTATTAATTAATTAATTAATTAATTATTAGAATTTATATACCGCCCTATACCTGGGGGTCTCAGGCTGATTCACATAATAAAATCAAAATATAAAAACACAAAACACCTAATAAAAATAAAAACAACAACCCACCAATTAAACCCCCCCCCATTTTAAAAGGGCATAGGATGTAAATCGGATCAACCAAATGTCTAGTTAAAGAGGAACGTTTTTTGCCTGGCACCTAAAGGTGCATAATGAAGGCTCCAGGCGAACTTCCCTGGGGAGAGCATTCCACAGACTATTTACCAAAGCTTGGATTTTGTTTTTTGGACTACGGCGCTCTCTGGTGTTGTGCCATCTCCGTTGACTCCCGGTTCCCAAGCACAACCCAAAGTGCTAATTTTGACCTTTAAAGCCCACACTATCCTTAAGGTTGCCTCCTCCCACTTGGATGGCATTTGACGCCCTCCTCTGTGAACCCTCGCCATCCAAGATGTGGCGGGTGGGCACGTGGAATTAAGGCCTCCTCTGCAGCGGTCCCCAGGCTTAGGAACTCTTCCCCAAGGAAAGCTCATTTGGAAGATGGTCAATGCGCCCTACTTTTTATGGAGGGCAGGTTTACAGACTCAAAAGGCTATCTGGTCCAAGCCCACTTTCAAGACCCCTAAGAAGAGAGAGCAGGAGGGGTCCTGATGTTGCCAAACAACCGTCAGCACCTTGACAGCAGACCGGATAGGCACCCTGATCAACTGGCCAAGCTTCCCCACTATAGTGAGTTGTATTAAGAGTGAAATGTACTGTATTTCTATACACAGCGCGCACACACCAGCATGCACAAATTTCATGCAAATCTGAGTCGCTCTTTTTACTCCTCTGATCCTCTCTTGATTTGCTTATAAGATGATCAGTCAAAACTCTGCTTTTGCTCGTCAGCAACTCAATTCTTTTTCCTTTTATTGCTACCGACCTCCTGTTACTTGCTGCACCGCTTTATTGCTTTCATTGCTTATTTACTGCAACCAATTTAAAATTTGTTCGACTATTTCATTATTGCTGGCCTTGGGAATTCCAGGACGCAAAGGCTGCCACGCATGGTTAATGGTTTATTGTGAACGCAACTCTCCTTACCATGTACAGCAGAGACAAGCCGGGATATCTGGCTTTAGCTTTACGATGGACCATTTGTTTAGCTCAAACAAGCCATGAGAATAAACCTTGGCTCTGTGCTGTGGTTTGTTTGGAGCAAAACACCACGATCAGACATAAAGCTAAGCCTAGAAGTGCGGCTTGCCACTCCTGTGCCCATGTTAGGGGAGAAACAAAACAGGACCCCTCGATGTGTTCACAGCATATTCCTAGCTACAGTTTACTGTGACAGGCGAACCGGGACAAAGTCAGGAAGAGCTCACTTTTCTATCTTGAAGGGCCCATGCAGTAGGTCAGCTTTCTAAACGCAGGAGCTAGCAACAAGTTTCCAAGCGTTTCTTTAAGTCCTGCTAAACCCTCTTCCTCTACAAGTCAGTTGGGAAGGGTGCACCTGTAAACAAAGCACTACTACTGCCCTTCCCCTTTAAGACAGACAGGCAGCATCGACTGTTTCCGAGCACAATTCAAAGTGTTGGTGCTGACCTTTAAAGCCCTAAACGGCCTTGGCCCAGTATACCTGAAGGAGCGTCTCCACCCCCATCATTCTGCCTGGACACTGAGGTCCAGCGCCGAGGGCCTTCTGGCAGTTCCCTCGCTGCGAGAAGTGAGGTTACAGGGAACCAGGCAGAGGGCCTTCTCAGTAGTGGCACCCGCCCTGTGGAACGCCCTCCCAGCAGATGTCAAAGAGAACAACAACTACCAGACTTTTAGAAGACAGCAGCCCTGTTTAGGGAAGCTTTTAATGTTTAATAGACTACTGTATTTTAATATTCTGTTGGAAGCCGCCCAGAGTGGCTGGGGAAACCCAGCCAGATGGGCGGGGTATAAACAATTTTATTATTATTATTATTATTATTATTTAATAGCTCAGTCGGTAGAACGTGAAACTCTTAGTCTTAGGGTTATGGGTTCGAGTCGCACGTTGGGCAAAAAGATTGGACTAGATGACCCTCGTGGGTCCCTTCCAACTCTGATTCTATGTGTGAAAAGGACTGGCTGCACCTTCCCCGGGTTTTTCCAAAGGGAAAGGGGGACTCACACCTCCTTTGCAACAGAGGCAATCTAAGCGCCTTCTGAACAAACTGCACCTGTATCCAATTTAGCGTGAGAAACACGCCCCCCCCAATCCACTGGCTTGCTCAGTGGCCTTGGGCAATTCTCTCAGCTGAACCTTCCTCACAGGCTTAGAGATGAAATATGAGATGAGATAGTGTAACACCTAGCCCTTGGGACAGACATCTAATTGCATCTTAATACATTCGCTTCCCAATTGCTTCTGTACAGGAATGCATCCCCTCCTCTTATTTTTAGACTGTACGCATGTAGGCTGGGCCTGGTGTAGGCCTCCCCAAATTATTACAAGGATCTGCAACTATTTTCTTAGTAAAATGATGGTTACTATTTCCTTGACTGTGCCGGGGCAAGTCTATTTTATGCACTTATTTCTGATGCCAACGGCTGCAGCCATATTTAGGAACAGCTGTGCTCTGTGAACATTCCTACTTCCCAGCATGGCCAGTCCCTGGTCCCCAGCATTTCTGGAAGTTGATAGGCTAAGCCTCAGTTCGGGGACCCAAGATCTCAGCTTTGCCAAGCCATAGCTTGTTGGCAGGGGAGGAACGAGACCCACAGCTCAGTTGTAAAAGCACAGACTTTGAAGGCAAAAGGTCTTAATCCCTGGCATCTCCTGGTAGGAACAGGAGAGATACCCTTCTTGGAAACAACCCTGAGCAATGATCCAACTTTATCTAAAGCCACTAGGTAGGCTTAGGCAGGCCACGGTGCCTGATCTTAAGTGTTAATCATAGCAGGTTTTATTACTGAAACCTCAAGAGCCTCTGCACTTTTGATTTCAGATGCGCGAGAGCCAGCTCACTCATTGGCAAAGGAAGCACACTGTACAGCGCTCACAAGTGCTGTTAACCACATGGGTCCTGAGCGGCATATATGTGACATTCGCCACCTCAAGAACCTTGACGGATGGATATAAAGCAAGCTGTGCCCTGAACAGTGTCGCATGCAGTTTAATCATAATGGAGACTCAAGACCCGTAGGAAGCTTTGCCTTGTGCAGAGTCAGGCCCCTTAAAAACAGAAGAGATCCGGCCATAGGCCAATCTAGTCCAGCATCACAGGGGCCAAGTAGATGCCTATGGAAAACCTGCAAGGAGGACCCGAGTGCAACTGCGCTCTCTCCACCAGTGTTAGAAACTCAGATATATAAGCTAGGTGCCAAATGGCTCCTTAAACCAAGGTTGCAGTCGCCAAAACGGAATGTCTAGTTGCCATTTGGGGGCAAGATGGCTCTAAAGTCTTTATTTTTCAAATGACTGCGATTGACCCGCAGTTAAACATCTGGATAGTTCAGTTGACAACTTGAGCTAGATTAAGAGCTTTGATAATTCAAAGAAAAGTCACTTGATCCAGAAACAGTCCACATATGTACAGTGGTGCCCCGCAAGACGAATGCCTCGCAAGACGGAAAAACCGCTAGACGAAAGGGTTTTCCGTTTTGAAGTTGCTTCGCAGGACGAATTCCCCTATGGGCTTGCTTCGCAAGACGAAAATACCTTGCGAGTCTTGAGATTTTTTTCGCTTTCCCCCTTTATCTAATCTGCTAAGCCTTTAATAGCCTTTAATAGCCTTTTAGCAGCTAATCCCCTAAGCCTTTAAGCCTTTAATAGCCGCTAAACCGCTAATAGCGCTAATAGCGCTAATCCGTCAATGGGCTTGCTTCGCAAGACGAAAAAACCGCTAGACGAAGACTCTCGCGGAACGGATTAATTTCGTCTTGCGAGGCACCACTGTATTGGCCTATTCCGACTTCTTTTCGTTAATGGCAACTGCTCCTGCTCAGGCTGCACAGAAAAAGCATTTTGGTTCCAGACGTTCATTCCGATTGTGTAGATAAATGTAACTGATAGAATCCTACAGGATGGGGTATTAGTGAGTCACAACAGTCCAAGCAGAAGACAGATTATTTCCACACACGGAGACCTGCCTCTGCATCCTATTCCTAGGCAAGCAAGGTTCATGGTCGCAGTTAAAGGACACATTCCAGCCATGCAAAACAAACACACTTAAGGAAAATGTGGCCTGTGGGAGCGGTGTGTGGCCTGGGGAAGAGCCCTGGGGGCCACACAGAGAGGCATGGAGGGCCGCATTTAGACCCCAGAAGTTGCCCATTATCCAGGCAGTGTTAGAAACTGAGATATGAAAGCTAGGAGCTAAATGGCACTTTAAACCTGGGTTATGGGTGCAGGAATGGAATGTGTAGGCACACTTTCTTTTATAACAAGAATAGAAAGCTGAAAATGAATGAACTGCAGCTAAAATATTATGCTCATTTTTCACATGGCCTAGTGCTTCCCCTGCACACACCCCTAATATTCTTAAGAGGGTCTCTTCTCCAGTCTTAAGAGTAGCTGGAAATGGAGAGGCAGAAAAGGGCCCTCCTTTCCTTCCATACTCTGCAGTTTTAATCTGAATTTGTAGGCACAGTACTGCGCTCAGAGCTCAGAAACCAAATGCTAACCAAATTCCCTGTCACAAAATGTGCCTAAACAAGGCATAGGCAAACTCTGGCCCTCCAGATGTTTGGAATTACAATTCCCATCATCCCTTACCACTGGTCCTGTTAGCTAGGGATGATGGGAATTGTAGTCCCAAACATCTGGAGGGCCGGAGTTTGCCTATGCTTGGCCTGAACCATGGGTAGGCAAACTAAGGCCCGGGGGCTGAATCCGGCTCAATCGCCTACTAAATCCAGTCCGTGGATGGTCCGGGAATCAGCGTGTTTTTACATGAGTAGAATGTGTTCTTTTATTTTAAATGCATCTCTGGGTTATTTGTGGGGCATAGGAATTCATTCTTTTTTTCAAAATATAGTCCTGCCCCCAACAAGGTCTGAGGGACAGCGGACCTGCTGAAAAAGTTTGCTGACCCCTGGCCTAGAACAATGGGAGTTTCGAACACTGCATCCAGGGTATGTTATTGCCCTGCTCTGTCCAGCTTCCCCATTTCTTGGGGGTTGCTTTTTCATATTTAGCTTTTTAAAGGCTAGACACCCCCTGGCTTGCCGGCACAGAGTGCATGCTTCCTTCTCTCACCCAACCAGTTTCTTTCGTAAAGCAAAAAGGGGGGCAGCAGCCAACCCCTTGCATCAAAGTTTTCACCCTCCCCACTTTAGTAGTAATAGCAGCAGCAGCAGCAGCAGAATACTGGGCTATTGGCAAGTAACTGGTACTAGCCTGATTAGGGAGAAGAAATGAAAACGCTGTTATCATGAGCTGCAAAGGCCCCAAGAACCGCATTGTAATACTTCAGATTTATGGAATATCTAACCACTTCACAACACATTATCGTAGCAAACTCTACAGCCCCTCCCACAGCACACGCCTGCGTTATCGATGTACTTTGGGGGGGTGTGGAAGCGCTGACACAGACCAAGTGGCACAGAGCCACCCGCAAATTTGTGGTTTGAGCCGGAGAGCTCTGAAGTGACGATTTCCTGGCTCCCAGCTCACTCTCAGCTATCACGCTCCCAGCTACCGCGTTTAAAGCAAAAGAGAAATGCCAACCCAAGCCCCAAGGCTGGAGATTGTTTGCTTTTTCATTTACAAGTAAATTAATATGCACTCGTAATAACCAAAGCCGGGACCTCCTGGTACGCTGCCAAGGAGAGATCTCTGGCAGCTCAGATTCAGAGCTCCTGACTCACAGCAGTTTAGCAGCTATTTAAGGCACCCCCTCCACCGGTTGTTGACTGAGCATCAGGCAGGCTCTATTTGAGGCGCATGCAATGCGCACTCCGTTTCAGAGCAGTCGCAAGCCAGCTAGGAAGGCTGGTTCAGCAGCCCGAAAACTCTGCCCTTTAACCCTAGAGATGTGGCCGCTCAGTGGTGAAAAGGCAGTCTGCACAAACTCACGATCCCAGGGTTGGGGTGGTCGGCTGGTAACCCCCCCCCCCATATAACTCGCACCTGATAGGCCCTGCCACGCTGAAGGCACCTGTGAAATCAGTGGCTGCGCAGACAGACAGAGAGAGAAGAGCCAAGAAAGATTGCAGTCCCAACAGCTGGCCTGGGAGCACTTCTCAGCTCCCGTCAAAGCAGCACGACCTAAAAATACACCAGAGGGAGCAAAACAATGCTCGCTGCAAGACAAAGATGGCATGCGAGAGAAGCAGAGGCAGGGTGGGGTGTCCTGTTTACAGCACAGCTCTATTATCAGCCTCGTCCATTAGGCTGGGTTCAGCCCAGCCACACCTGGCTGCATATTCTAGACTCCCATCGCTAGCTGAGCATCTCTGATCTGGGGAGTGGGGGGGACGGACGTCCAGAACAGAACAGCTCGGAGATAAATGGAACCGGCACTATCTCGGACCACCAGTCTGGCAGCTGCCTCACTTCTTCGGCTCCTCCGTCTGGGACAGCTCCTTTTTAATTACCTAGTCTTGTTTTACACACTGAAGGAAGGTGGGGGGCAGGGAATCAGTATTTTGGAAAGGAGGCAAAAAAGGGGGTTCTGCTCCTTCCTCGCCCCCCCCCCAATACTCAGCTGCATTGGCTCTCAGGAACGCATGCAACAGTCCCTTCCTAGTTCATACGACTGCAAGATGCAGAGGGTCAGAAATAAAACATCTGGATAGAATTCAGTGGGCTGATTACGTACGATCAATGCACACAATGGAATATAATACTGTTGCGTACAATACAACCAGAGCCACAGGAGCTAACGGGAGTCCCACATTACCTTCTCCGCTCGACTTCTGCACTGTTTTTCACTAGCGGTACAGCAGGTATCTGAACTGCTGCTGCTACTCATCTCAGCTTGACCCCAATGCTGGAAAGAACTCCCCATTTTTCCTGGAAGGGTGAGGTAGAAATTTAATAATAAAACTGTGTTTCTCAAACTTGGGTCTCCAGCTGCTGTTGGACTACAACTCCAATCATCCCTGACCGCTGGGGTCCTGCTAGCTAGGGATGATGGGAGTTGTAGTCCAACCAACAACACTGCAATAAAATATTCTCTTTGAATTAATGCATGGGTAGCTGAGTTCTCCGAGTGTGGGTGTGCATGCACCACTCTTCTCCAGACAGTGGTCTGAGTGCTGGAAGTGTTTCATGCTGCTGCAAAAACCAAATGTCTCATGTGTGGTCTGGTTCCATAAGTTTACCATGTGCTCAGGCATTCTTACATCATACTTATACGTGCAGCTAAGCATACACCGGTATGAATGCACGTTGCATATGAAAAGAAACCTTAAACAGAAGCAACATTTTTGTAGCCTGGAAGACCTTTCTCCTTGCAAGACCCATCAGCCTAAAGCAGTTGGAATGGCTGAGAAACTGCTCAACGCTTCTGCCTAGGCAGGCCTCACAACCTTTGGATGATCTGACAAGCGCTGCCACTGTGGTTTCCATTTATTGCAGTACGCAACTGCGGGTTGCCCTTTTCTCATAGCGCGATTGTTTAAACCAAAACCATGAGTGCAAAATAAAAGCTGCAAATTACTACAACAACCACAAGTCATAAAATAGGTTGTGGACACTAGCTACACTAAGACAAGAGTACACATACAAGGTACAACCACAATTATTAGTAGCCTTAGGGGAGCTGCCAAATATAGCACAAGTTGCCAAGTATGACCAGGTCATCTTTCTACAGTAGTTCGAAAGCATTGTATGTTTTAACTGTTAGCCACTTTTGAGTTTCTTCTGGCCGAGAGTTATTAGGATAAAAACAACAGAAGAATTATGCAGCTTTTGTTGATAGCACCCAAGAACTTTGCTATTATTATTATTATTATTATTATTATTATTATTATTATGCACTGCATTCTGCAGGGAGGCACAGGCAGCAATAGCCCCAAGTCGCAGTGCAAAACCTTCTGACAAGCAAAACCTTCTGACGAGAGTAGCACAAGGAAAAACAGCAACCTAGCAATGACCCAAAGAAAGTATTAACATTCCACGGAAACTTCCCGTGTAGAGAAGTTCTTTCAGAACCACCACAAAACGAGCACCACAAATCTTCAACACCCGCAGCAAAGGAAACATTTAGATCCCCATCTGCACTACACATTTATATAAGCAGCACCACACCCCTTTAAAAGACATGGACTTCCCCAAAAGAGTCATGGGAGCCATAGCCTTCTAAGGATGTTGTTGGGAGTTGTTAGACGACCCCTGTTCCCCCTCGCAGAACCACAATTCCCAGAGTTCCCTAGGAAGAGGGATTGATTGTTAACTACCGCTCTTGAGAATTGTAGCTCAGAGAGGAAAGGGGGGGGGGCGGATCCTAACAACAGTCAGCAGCCTTAACAAACTACCATTCCCAGGATTCCTTGGAGCAAACCATGGCTGTTTAAAGCGGTGTGCTACTGCTTTCAATGTATATATAGCACAGATGGAGCCTATTATTATTGTGAGCAGCCTGGCTGCAACAAGGAAGCGGTAGTAAACAGACCCAGACTCTGGACACTGTTGAAACTCAGGAAAATTGATACTGCCAACTCTATGCCAGCCTTGGTGCCCTCCAGGCAATTTGAGCTCCCAACAGCGTGGGCAATAGTCAAGGCTAATAGGAGAGCACCAGTTTTTTTGGGGGGTGGGGGTAGGAAGATACTCTAGATCAGTGTTTCCCAAACTTGTCTCTCCAGCTGTTTTTGGACTACAACTCCCCTACCTGGCAAGACCAGTGGGTCAGGGATGATTGTAGTTGGAAAACAGCTGGAGACCCAAGTTTGGGTAAGCCTGCTCTGGGTTCTCCCCTCCACCCAGGCACGTATCCTACTGCTTACAGTTCCACTAGGCCCAGTAGCTAAAACATCCAGCTCATAGTAGAGACACTCTTATTTTCCATTCTTTGCTAGGCAGGAGAAGAGCCAGCAGTTGTTCGCAATATAAAAGCTCTCTTCCATCAGCTCCATCCACCCACACAGACGACGCAAAGTGGAATTTTTGTCCTTCGGCATCCAAACATTTCCACCCAGCCAAGAATACGCCCAGTTTGCTCTATTTGGCAAGCAGCATCACGACTGACCAACCAACTAACCAACCAGCAACCCCCACCCTATACACACACACACACACACACACACACACACACACATCCTAACTAGCCAACATGCCAGGTGCTTCCCAAAAAAAAGGCGAAAGTTTCACAGTGGTTTCCCTCTCTGCTCTTGGACTGGTGCACTTCACCTAGGCTGCAAGGAAACTATTTGGCGGAGAAGTTCCAATGAAAACCCCCAGCGTCAGATGGATGAGTCACCTCAGTTTTTTGTAACAGCAAGTTCCTGAAAAGTGAAATATCACCACAATGTGCTGCAAGCCAGAGAGAAATGCTCCCTTTGCCCTGGTTGAGAAGGGGATGACTGCCAACTACCGCTCATGTCTGTTCCGAAGCCTCTGCTTTGCTAGTTTCCATAACCTACTTTCTTATCAGCCGATTAGCAAGCAGGGACCAGTAGATTCTGCTGCTCCGTTTTAACTGCCTAGACAATCTCTGGGCAGAAGCCTCGAGTCTTCTGGCCCAAACTACTCCCACCGATTCCATTTTGCTCCCAGAAATCCAGAGTTCTGGCACTGGACGGGTGGGAAGGAGGCAGAAGCAGCCTTCTCTCCTCCAGATAGCGGCACTGAATGGCCCAAACTGCGGCAAGCAAGAATGATCACTGGGCACACAGGGGGAAACCCTAGGTGACCACACCGTCCCCAACAGCTCTCCTGGAGCCAAAAGCAGCATGGAGAAAACAGTGGTGCTTCTTCCACCACCCTCCATTGGTTTGCCTGGGTCCAACAGTCATTTGGATTCTCCCCCTCTTAGAAATGATTCCACCAAACTGCAACTGCACCCGGCTAAATCAGCAAAAGGGATGAGATAGCCAGGACCCACAATGTCAGATCAATGCAGGGACCAGCTGCCATTCACTCTGGGCTTTTAAGAACACAGGAAGAGCCTGCTGCATCTGGCGAATGAGTCATTTAGTCCGGCGTCCTGTTCTCATAGTGGCCAACCAGCCAGTCTCCAGCAAGAAACATGGTAATGTTATGGAAAAGCTGGTGCCTGGATTTCCTTATGCCCCTCTTGTGACATGCCTCTGAGCTTGCTGTCCATTATTTCAAAGCCTTGAGTGCTTCAGCAGAGAAAGAGAGAGAGAACAGTACATTAAAGGAAGCAATTGGTAAAATTCACCAGCCAGGGCTTACACTTAAGAGTGGAGGTCAAGAGGACTAAGGTTGGCAATGCACTTTGGAATGCCTACTTTCTGAACATGTGCAGAGGTCTTCTTGAGGAGCCACAGCCCACCACCCACGTCCAGTTATTACTGGACGGAGAAGCTCGAGACATAAGCACCTTTAATGGGGAGAATAAACTATGCCAACAGCATCCCCCTGGGGTGAGGTTCTTGGGGTGGGGCAGAGAAGGATAACTCTCAAGCACACTACCTGCAAAGTGCATCCTCCTCTACCAAGACTAGCAAGATCCTGTCTGCTCAGAAGCACAACCTATGTTAGCAGTTTGTATGTCAGCTTCCACAGAACTGTTTCCATTAAGCGGTGACTAATCTCTACTGTTCCGGCACAAATGCCCCATCAGGATCTCAGCTCTGCATTTAAAGGCTGTCAGAATGCCAGATTTAAGCCATCTGTGCAGCGATGATGCCAGGCAAGACTGCTTGGCTCCCCCCACCCCACCACGATACACGAGAGGGTACTAAAGGCATAGAAACGAGCAACTTGGACCTCAAACGCAGGAAAAGTTGACATGAGATTCCCCCCAGTTTACAGAACTGAGAGGAATTAGCTGGTGGCTCACACGGCAGTTTTACTCAACTTAGACCGAAGCAAGCATCACATTTTCCAGCTTGGTAAGAGAACGAGACCAGGACTGAAATCATGGCTTTCGTTAGCATCCACTCCACAATTAAGTGCCTTCTCGGAATCAAATGCACCAGCAACAGGCAGCTGCCACTGCCACACCCTGCCCGTCTGTTTCATGTTTAGATATCTAATGGGTAAAGAAAGAGTAACTTTGCTCTTGAAGAAGAGGCCAGGAGCAGAACGACATGCTACACCAGGAGTGGGGAGTCCGTCGTCCTCCAGATGCTGCTGGACTCCAACTCCCATCAGCCCCCACCAGCAAGGCCTGGGGTGCTGAGAGATGCAGTTCAGCAACATCTGGATTCCCCCCACTGATGCTAGACACATGTGCATCTTATGGGAGCATGCCAGTGGAGATCCCTAGGGGGAAATAACCACCCACTACTACTTCAATTTAAATTACCCTGCCCTGAAACGTAGTTTTTCTTCCATAGTATTAAAAACTCAGATACAATATAAAAGCTAGGGGCCAAATCGCTCCTTAAACAGAGCTTGCAGTTGCCAAAACAGAATGTCTAGTTGCCATTTTGGGGGCACAAGAACTCAAGTCTTATTTTTCAAATGACGGACTGGCTGTGATTGATTCTCAGTTAAACATCTTGCTAGTTCAGATGACAACCTTGAGCTGGGTTGAGAACTTTATCTGGGGACAGTCCAAATATATATCATCCTATTTCTTCTGGGGGTTTTTTCCCCCTTAATGGTGACACAGACCATTCAGAATGTTAGAATATTCTTCACAACTGAGCAGGGTAGTAGGGTGGGGTAAGTGAAGACAAGCTGCAACAATGAACTGTAAGGTTGTGCACTGCTCCTGCTCAGGCTGCACAGAAAGAGCATTCTGGTTCCTGAAATTCATTCCGATTGTGCAAATAAAATATAACTGAAAGAATTCTACAGGATGGGCTATTAGTGTGTGAAAACAGTCCAGATCCAGTTATCTCCAGACATGCACCTCCAGATGGTGGAGATGCCAGGCGTCATCCTGGTGCCCAGAGATCTTCACAAGTGGCAGTCAGGTGCAAAATGCCCCTGGCTCCTGGCTAATTTCAAACACAGACACCCAAAGGAGCCGAGGGGGACTTAGCAGTAAAGTGGTGTATGCACAGAAAGGTTAAGGGCATCTGTCCTCCAATACATCATTCCAACTCTTCCTGCTTCTGTGAGATGGAGGGAGAACCTCCGCCTGCCTTTTGTTGTGTTTGCAAGAAACATGCAGTTGGGCCCCCCAATCCCAGTACCACAGTGTGTTAAGGCTGCTTATGGAGACAATGAAACCTTCCCACCCGGGAGCGCAGACACACTGCATGCAGGGCAGCACTGTGGGTGCAGCTCTGTTGCATGAGTGCTAGCATTCTTGGCCTGCTCACCTACAGCACTTTGTACCACTGCTGCCTACTTTGCACCCAAGGAGGCCCTAGGCAAGCAGCAGTAGGGGATTCTTCTGCCCCCTCCACCCCAGCCCCAAATGCATTTTATAATCAGCCAAAGGAGGCTACACCCTACGACTGGCCCCTATCCTGCAGCCGCGATGCCAGATGCACGGTGGAGGTGCCAGTGGGTCACACTCTGGACCTATGCTTCTTCTCTTGAAGGGACAAGTCCCAGCAACTGTATGGATCGAGAGACTGCAATGGCAGCCACCAGACCTCATATATAACCATCAAAAACTTGTTGCCTGGCCCTCAGCCACGACTGAGCTTGCTGCAATGCTAAAAAACCGTTCATAAACATCCTAATTGTGGAGTAAGAGAGAAAGAGACCACCATGCAATGCTGAAATCAACACTCCTGCTGAAAGTGAATTGGAAGATCAACTGAAGGGGTTTGGGGGGGGGGAGAGAAAGTGTCTCGGCATATTAGGGAAGATGGGCATATTAACCGTTTGATGCTGCAGCCAGGCCATAATTGTGCCAAACCCCGGAGTTGCTCCTCTATAATCTGGCCCTAATGTAGAACTCCACTGATTTTATTATGGTTCAGGGCTTTTGGCAGCTGAAGAGATGCGTTTGTCATCTGGCGATGGGCATCTGGTAACTGCAGAGCATTCTGCTCTCAAGTTCTCTGGAGCAACCTCCCTCAAAGCACAGGGACAGGGGAACCGCCTGGCCCAGAGAGGCTGAAGAGAAGGTACCAAGGAGGGAATATTTCACATAGGCATCAGGCACCATTTTTATCCTTGGTATTTGCAAGCAGCCTTTTGTACTATTTATAGCAGAAAGCGGTGCATATGTCTTAAATAAAACGAGGTGGCATGAGCCGTTGGTGGAAAGAGGCGCGAACAGCTGAATTTCCTAGGTGGTAAAACACACACACACACACACACACACACACAATATGAAAACTTTGGCTGAAAGCCTTTCTCTTTTTTAAAGGAGAGAATAACTTGCCTCCTTCTACTTTTGCTCCAATATATTCCAGCCAGTGTCTTGATGGGTTAGAAGATGGTAACAACCCTCTGTTGCGGTTGTGTTTGCAGGATACTGTATTAATGAAGATGGGGTGATCGTTTTAAGAAGAGGTAAATAAGAAAACGAAACGAAAAGGTGACTCAACAGGGCTTACATAACGTTGAGTTGTTTGCCCTGCGATAATAGAACATAACTGACAATACTTACCTATTGTGCATGGATTTGATTGCCAGATACAAATGTACATTTGTACTTTCCTTACTTCGCTCTTGCCTCCGTGATAAACCTTTTAGCGCCTGTTGAAACATGTGATATGAAAAAAACTCGAGCCGGGTGATGCAGTTCTGTGGCAAGAACTGTTATCAAATCATAGTGGATCTTGTCTTCCTTGGGGCCAACTTGTTATTCTACAGTTTATTTACCTGCTGCTTTTTTGGTTCAAGGGTTCAACCTATGAATACAGGTTAATCGCAACACTATTAAACAACAAAACCACAAAGCACCTACCAGCCACACAGACAGAGCTACAGAGCATTCCACCTCTCACTTAGCAGCCAAGTTAACTCATATCCCCATCCTAGCTGGTCCAATGTCTCAGTAAGTCCATCTACAACAAATCACTCCACGAAGGAGCAACCCAAAGGGACAGTCTCTTACCTTTTGGGGTTGCCCCACTGACAGCAGCCTGCTGTGTTTCCAAATGAGCAGGCTCAAGCTATGGGAGTGGCCGGGTTCTTGCTCTTGATGGGCAGGGCTGGTGGTGTTGTTTTCCAGGTGCAGCAGAGCAAGGCTGGGGAATCTAAGGTTGCTATCCATCTCCAGCCAGCAACAGTCCTTCCACTGCTACCTGCCTTCTCTTGGTAGCCGCTTTTCTGTTCATGTGCATCCAGCGTTCAAAATTTACCAGGTGCATTTTGCACCTGCCAATCAGCCACTTGAGGCCAAGTGAAGATGCCTGGGTGCCAGGACGGTGACCGACGTCTCCATCTGGAGGCGCATGCCAAGGGATCCTTGGATCGTGACCGTTTTCACACACTAGCAGCACACCCTGTAGAAGAATTCTGCTATATTTTGTCTGCACAATCAGAATTCCAGGTGCCAAAGAGCCATATTGAAAAATGTGACTTTCGAGCCGCCTGACCCCAAAAATTGCAACTAGACATTCCATTCTGGCGACTGTAACCCTAGTTTAAGGAGCCATTTGGCACCTTAAGCAAACACTGGTTGCAACACTGGTGATAATCCTCCCACGATTCCACTGCCAACCATCTCCAAATGAAAACAGGACTGAGGTTTCCTCTTCCTCCTTTCCATTCTTGTGCTCCTCAATAACTTTAGGATTGCTAACCACCTAACCGAGGGAATAACCACTACCACCACAACCTTACAATATTTTAGTGCTTCTGGGCCCGTTGCCAGGGTTGTGCGAGCACCAGGATTGGGGGCTAGCTGCCAGAGTTTGAACAGAAGCCGGAAGAATCGTTTTCACATAGTGTGTAAGGCTCAACTGTGTCATCCAACACGTGTGTAACCAAGGAGGCAGAATGATGAGCTCAGAGCTAGCTCATCATTTCTGCAGGAGCTGTGACACAAGGGGCTGCAGGGTGAATGTGCTTTCTCTGTAGCCACCCGCCGCAGGCTTCCTAAGGCTGAGGAAGGCAGGGTGGCGGCAGAGCAGCTTGGTGGCGGATGTCAAGGGGATTTTTCTCACGCCCACTTCCCTTTGCCCCAAACAGAAAGAAAAAGCACAGGCTGTGCCCACTGTATGCACCACCACAGGGAAGATTTTTGATATTATTAATTCTGCTCCATCCACCACCTCTGCCCAGGTGCCATGAGCACACACATGCTATGCAAAGCAGGCTGAGAGCTCCTTTGGGGGGAGGGAGGAGAACCCAACCACCTCTTCATGCGAGCCTATTACCTGCCTTGCCATCTCGTATTCCTTTCATTCTACCCACTCAGCCTGAAATATAAATTCGCATGCCTCCAAGGCACTGCGTGTACTTTCCCTGGCACGGCAATAACTACTTTCTGCAAATGGGAGTCATTTGTCAAGGCCCTCTGGTAACAGGGGTAGTATTTAAAAAAAATGGAACACAAAAAACACACCTCGGTCCTAACTAGTACCAGAGTCGGAACTGGATAATGAAAGAGAAAATGGGATCTAAGGGATCAGGTCTCACTGAAAACAGATGGCATTTCCCAGCCTCCTAATTTTGATAAGCAGCCTTGAGGGGATCTAAATCTTACAACGCTGCTAATGCCTTGTGGGATCTGTGTGGATCTCTGGAGCAATTCTCCGTTTTCCATTTGTTGCGCTGGTAATAGAAAACAGAAGCAGGTGTGTGTTTAAACTTGGATCTGCCACGATCTTGCAGAAACGTGCATGTGCGTGGGAGGGGGGCAATTTAAAGAGCAAAGCAGGAATGCAATATCTCCACTGCATATCCTTTTTGCTTCTCAAGTAGTAACCTCTCCCGCCCCGCTTCGCTTTTGTGGGTTTCTGCATATCTGGGTGCAAACACTCAAATCTCCTGGCATCAAGAATCATCTGACCCTGAGCTCTCAGTTCCTTATTTAAACACACTCAGCTTGTATGATGTACACAAAACACAAGTGAAATCTACACTTCTGTATTCCCCTTTGAGCTGACAAACACATGCCCTGAACTCCAGCCATTTTGCTGATAGGAATGTTGTTACATGAGGGTCGCCAGGATGCCTTTGTCCACCAGAGGGGGAAATACTTTCTCTCTAGGAAGAGTTTCTCTATGTGTGTAATGCAGGGTCTGAAAGGAATTACTAGGGAACAGAGGGTGTTTTTACAGAACACCCCCTTGCTAGGACAGAGAGATCATGGCTGTGATGTGTGTCAGCTGCTCAAAATAAGGCACTAAGGAGTTACCGGTATTCAGTCTTGTCCCACAGCACACACAGCCTTACTTTTTAACACTGGAATTCAATTCCTTCAGTTCAGATCTCACCATTCGCTCCTTTAGGTGATTCACAAAGTAAAAAAGATACGCTCATTTCAAAAGGGGAAATGGAAGAATGCTATCCTTTTTTTACTAATCAAACATCTTATTAGGATGGGTTTCAATATTTTCAAAGGAAAACATTGGCATCAATACACTAATAGATATAAAGGTACACTTATTATGAATTTAATGGAGAGCAGCTAAGCCAGAAATTGGGGCAATTTCTTATGGAGTTTGGCCATAACATTGCACTCTACTGATTTCATTGTGGTCCTGTCTTTGGCAACTGAAAATAATGCATTTGTCTACTAATGATGGGACAGCTGCTGACCTCAGAGCATCCTGACTTGCTGTGTGCTGCCTGGGGGAGTTTAGTAAGTTGTCATAAGCTGCACATGGAGCAAGAATAGACAGGCTTCTATAAGCTAGCAGCCCAGTGTTATTAATTCCCCCCAACATCATAAAACAAAATAAAGAGTTTAGCAGTTTCTCCAATAAGATGCACATCCACCAAACTGGTCAAAAGGCAACCTGTTTTAAGGCAACTCTGTTGTGATCAGATCCACCTTCACTGACATTTCTTACTGCTAGAGATAACTGCAAAGTTAAAAAAAAAGCATCCAAAAGCTGGATCAATGGTTTGATGTGACAGCTAATACAGCCTTGCAGAGCCTCAGCTACTAGATCAAACCAAAACTCCCTGAAAGAACTTCACTCAAAATGCACTGTTTCCTCAACTTATAAAAAACAACAGCACTATGAAGTGTTTTGGCGTACTCTTTGGGATAGGCCTGGAAAAACACATATATTCCTGCAAGAATACAATCTGAACGGACAACTGTTAATGCTTTATTTTCACAGTTTAGTCTCCCTCCTTAAGGGAGCTTGCATAAGGTGTTAGGTACGTATGAACTGCAACAGGTACATATGATCTGGCACTAGGTACTCACCCGAAGATTAAACAGGCATGGCTTTCTATTCTTTAAAACAGTAAGTCAAGCAAACCACAAGAGCAGTAAAGGAAGATCAGTAAGCCAAGCCAAGCTCCCCACAGAATAAGAGAAGCCCAGCTTCCCAAAGCACAAACACAGAGCGTCTATACGCCCTAGAGAAGAATTTAGAGGAGGGGAACAGCAAGAGACTGAGGCTGCCACAGGCACAGGCACATCCTTATCTCGGTTTCCAACTTCTGATCGATCCATCATGCAAATGCGCCGACAGCTTTAGCTCCTGCTTTTTGCTGTTATGTACAGGATCACCTGGATAGGCTAACCATTTTGTCTGCAAAGGAACATTGGCCACGAACTGGCTGGTGCTAAATCAAGATGACCCAGATACAGTTGCCTCCCCCCCCCCAAAAAAAAACCCTGCAGAGAAAGGAGGTGGTAGTATATCACAGCAATGGAATCAAAGTGCAGCAGAGAGGGAAAAGAGTACTATACAGTGGTGCCCCGCAAGACGAATGCCTCGCAAGACGGAAAAACCGCTAGACGAAAGGGTTTTCCGTTTTGAAGTTGCTTCGCAGGACGAATTTCCCTATGGGCTTGCTTCGCAAGACGAAAATACCTTGCGAGTCTTGAGTTTTTTTTTTCGCTTTTCCCCCCCCTGTATCTAATCTGCTACGCCTGTAATGGCGTGTAATAGTCTGTTAGCAGCTAATCCCTAAGCCTTTAAGCCTTTAATAGCCGCTAAACCGCTAATAGCGCTAATCCGACAATGGGCTTGCTTCGCAAGACGAAAAAACCGCTAGACGAAGACTCTCGTGGAACGGATTAATTTCGTCTTGCGAGGCACCACTGTAATGGGGCATCACTACTCCCCATCTCTGTCCAAGTTCTGTCCTGCCCCCCCCCATTTCCCCAGACTAAATCCTTCTCCTGTCCTACCTACATTAAGCTCCTACCATGTTCCTTAGCCATTTATCATAGCAAAGTACACCGAATACAAAGCAGAACACCCTGCTACTGCTGCCCCCATTACTTCCATATACCTCCCCAGGTGCTTGCTGCTCCCACCATTTCACAACAGAGAAGCCCTCAGCTGCTACTGCTCTTCACTGATCTCGGCCTAACTTTTCCACACCCACTGTTTGACCTGCCCTATAGCTTCCTCTGTTCCAAGACCATTTGCAAATGTTTTTACAAATCCCCACCTGTTCAAGCAGCCTCCATTTTCACAGCCCAGTAAAGTCACTAAATATTCCCTCCGAGCCCTGAACCTGCTTGGTTCCACCTGCAGCACCTGCATCAATTATTAGTCCTCTAAAAAAAAGATGCCACAACTCTTGTTTTTGTTGCAGCAGGCTACTATGGCTCCCCCTCTGGAAGCTGACCCTTTTTTTTCTTCTATGCTCCCATCCAACATTTGCCCATCCCATTTCTTCACCGTATATACGTATTTTCATACCTTCTCTCAAATAGGCATCCTAACTTGGGCCACAAGCAGAGCTCCAGCCTGCAGTGCAAGCAGCTCCAGGGAACACCCCCACCCCCCAAAACAGCACCGCCCACCTTCTTCCTCCACACCCACTTCATTTTAAACTGCTCTTTTCCGAGCCTTCTTTCAGCTGTGCAAGGTCCCTTTTTCCCCTTCAAAATAATACAACTCTGGCTGCATTCCAAAGCGTGGCCACATCATATGGCAACAATGATACTTGCAGCCTATTAATCTCCAACGTTGTGTTGTTTTAGCTTTCTCCAGCACTCAAAGCGTAGGCCTTTTTCAGGGGAGCTTTCCACCAGGCTCCCAAAGATCCCTTTTTGGTGTGGACACAGCCAACCCACGCACCAAGAGTATAATATGTAGGCAGGATTTTATGAGGGGTGTATGTGTTGGTTCATCCCAACATGCATTACATTACAGTTTCTTGATAGGAGAATCTCTCCTGGAGTTTTTGCTGCCTGTTCAACCCAGCAACTTGGGTCCCTGCAGATTGCCTGAACTCAATCATGCTTAATAAGCTTATTGTCAGCTGTAAACTGGGGGGAGGGGGGTCCCCTCATTATTCACACCCTACGCCCCCTCGACTTAACCTTTGCCCCTTCAACTCCACAGACCAATCGCCCTCAAATGAAGGGCAGCATACAAATTTAATAATTGCTCGACTATCTCAGAAACTACCTCAACCCCCCTCGCCTTCTTTGCACATTATTTTAATAGCAACGTGCACCCATTGCTTTCTCAGCCCCCCCATCCCCGAACCCATGACTTGTCCTCATGCAGCCCCTTCTCCAACATGGCTCCCCCACCTTACTTCCCCCTCTCTACTGCACCCCACCCAGCTGCTCAGCCCCCCAACAGCCCTCAAACACTTTCTACCCCCCCCCACCCCACACCTCGAACTTACCGGTTTTATTCCCCTTCCTCGCTGTTTGCTTGCTTGCTTGCTTGCCCACCTACGGCCCCTAACCTGCTGCCCCCTCAGGCGGCTACCTACCCTGTCCCCCCCCCCACCATGTAGTTAGGCCTAGCCAGGTCTCGTTTAACGGACGCCCCCGCCCCCCCCCCAGTTACCTGCCCGGCCCCCATCTCCGCCTCGACGGTGCTGCAGCTGGAAGGGGACGGTGGCCCTGAGCGGCTGCAGCCCGCCCCGGCAACACGAGGAGGTGCCTGCCGCCATGGACCAACCCCGCCACCTTCCAAGCTCCGCGGGCGAGGTGGCCGCGCCAGCAGCTTCTCGAGCGCCCGGCTGCAGACCCTCTCTCGCCGCCTTCGCCGCCGCGACTGAGCCGCCCGCGGGACGCCCCTGGCACGGGGTCCCCTTTTCAACGCGCTAGGGGCGGGACGCCGCACGGCGGATGCCGGTCATTGGCCACCGGAGTTGGGTTGGGCGGGGTCCCCGGTAAAAGACCACGCCCACGGGACCGCCCCCTCTGCCCGCTCGCCGTGCACAGAACGGAGGGCCAATGGGGAGGCTTCGGGCTTCTTGCACGCAGCGCGCGACCTCTTCCTCCTCTTCCTGCAGGTTTGCTTAAGACGGTCCCCATAGACTTGTGCTGGTAAGGCTCCTATGCAAGGTTGCTCGGCTTGGGGGTTTCTCGAGTTGTGGTGGGGTTTTGTGTGCTTGCCCCAAAGGTAGAGGCGGGAGCGAGAGAAATGCAGGGTTGGTTTTTGGGTTTTTTTAATGCAAGCTGCGATTCGACCGAGCAAAGCAGCACGCTATCTTCCCCCCCCCAAAAAAAACCCAACCAACCCCCGAAAGGAAACAGCTGGCGTTCCTTCTAAATTCACCTTTTATATCCAGCAGAAAATGGGGTTTTAACACATGGGCGTAGCCGGGGGGGGGGGGAACTGCCCCTCTAAATCAAGCAAGTAAATCAAAACACTTAACTAAAAGTACACATTAACAGATTTTTCAGTACACAAGGGGTCGAAAGAAAGACATTTAAAACAACCGTTGTTGAGACATTTCATTCCAAATCTGCTCAGAGCCAGGCAAAGGATGGTGACAGGTGGGTGTCCAGCCCCCCCCCCCAGCATAAATCCTGTCTACAGCTGTCACACGTCGCTAACCCATATGCTATCGCTGGCATGCTCTGTCCCCACCAACAGCCTCTAAATGCAGAGGCCCTGACAACACAGCCCTACCTGTAACCAATGATCTATCTCTCTCTCTGGGCCTACCTGTAACCAATGATCTAGCTCTCTCTCTGGGCCTACTAGGCATGTGACAAGATGGCAAACACAGCTCGCGGAGGAAGCACAGACGTTGCAGGAACACTGACAGAAACTAGGCCAAATTAGTGCCAAGTATACAAAGTGAATGGTGGAGTGGCAAATAGATGGGAGGCTAGGAGAGGAACTGGCTTGCACTGGTGCAAGAGACTTGGCAGTTAACTTAGATGAGATGGAGTGCAATATTGGACTGTTAAGGAGCAGAGGTTCAGCACTTCTGAAGTTTAGCAATTAAATGTCAAGGTGGGGAACATTTTTTTCCTCCTTAGTTACCGGTACTTGGAAGTCTGAACTCTCCCTGCATTCTTAAACATAATGAGGCAAAGCCTCCTTTCTGACCATTTTGCTATTACAGGTAAACGAGGAGGAGGGAGTCAAAATTCCTAAACAAGGGGAAGTTTTCCAACTGCATCCCCAAGCAAACAATGGAACAAATTAAAGGAGCTGTGCTAAAATTTGGGAGTGCAATAAGTCATGTAAAGAGCCTTCCTTCCTTATTTATTTATGCTTTATTATTTTGAAAGGCATTTTTACCTTGACTAGTCTTCTCTGGAGTGTCTGCAAAGTAGCTGATGTGGTTTGCCTATCTCTTATAGAAGCTAGAGCAGACTCCCTGAAGCCTGAAGGAGATAAGAGGCAGGGATAAAGTAGCAGCAGGTGCTCCTGTTTCTGCAAGAAAACTTCCTTGCACAGAACCTCAAGATAGATCTCCACATCCTAGGCCCGCCCCCCCTAGTTTGTAAAGAGCCAGACGGTATACAAGAAAGACTTGCCAAGTGATTCACAGGTCAGCACTGGATTTAAACCATTCTTACAGGGCCAGAGAAGTCAACACCTAGCAGATTTACTTGCACATAAATTCCTTTGAAATGGATGGGCCTTGTTTCCATACAAGTGTGCTGAACACTAAAGCCTTGAGACTGCTATGTGCATGTACTTAGATGTGACTAACCAGCCGGTTTTAAATTGTTTCAATGTCTTACAGGATTTACATTTATTTTATTTTTATAGTTTTATTCTGTTACAAGCCGCCACCCTGGACTCTATTAATGCTTGTCAGTAAACAAAATAAAAACCTACTTCAGTCTCTGGTCCTGACCAAATAAAAACAGAGGGGAAGCCATAATAGGTCTGTTACAAGACTAACTTTCATTTTGTAGCACCTTAAAAAACTAACAAATGTCTTAACATTGAAGGAACCCCAGGTCTCTGTTTTTATGTGGAAGTAAGTCCCACTCAACTTAGTGCAATTTATTTCCAAGTAAATATTCAAAAGACCAGTGTGCACAATTTATTAATGACCCAGAAATCCCTTCACCTAAAGTGGGTCCTGCAACAATTATTTAAAAAAGAAAGAAAAATGGGATAGAGAAGGGACAGTGTATGCCTATACGTTAATTCCACAGTTTGAATTACCATGGAGGAAACCACTCCACCCTCAAATCCTGGGAATTGTACTTTTGTGTAGGGGCAAAAATTCAGTGCTACAGACCTCTTCATCTTATAGCTCAATTTAAAGGTTCCAATACTGGAATATGGAACCTTTAACCTTCCAGGTATTGTTGGACTCCAACTCCCAGGAGACCGAGCCAAGATGGCCAATGTCAGGGATGACTGGAGTTGTAGTCCAGCAACATATGATGGGCACCAGGCTCCCAAGTCCTTGTTCTAGTATGTCTGTAGTGCGCATGTGCTTGAGAGGAGCTACACATCTTAAAATGTAGGTCCTAGATCTGGACATCAGAGCTACCCACTTGCAAATGATTCTTATGTTAGGTTCTTATGCCTTTGGAACAACCCCCATTGTAATTCAAATAAAAGGAAGATTGATAACTTCTGCCTATCAGGACACCATTGTAGTTTTGCCTAGGTAAGGAGATAGACCAGGGCAGCACTTGGCTTTTGTATTTTCAGAAATGAGAAATTAGCCATTTTATTTTTCTCTCTCCTAGTAGGCCTTGGTACAACCTGAAGCCTCCATATCATAGCCTCAATTGAAAGTCCAGTTGCAACCTTTATCACTAGCTTCCTCCATTTTTGTCGCCCTGATGAAGGGTTCTGGAGAACTCGAAAGCTTACCACACTATCTTGTGACATTTTGGTTGGCTTAAGAAACGTATTACCCCAGCAGTGTTTTGGATTACGTCTTAAGGACCAAAACCGCTGCTTTGCTTTTTGTGGCACCCCGGAGTATATTATAATGATGAAGATGCATTCCTTATCCTGGTTTTATGGTTAGACTGCTGACCTACTCCTTCGCACGTCCTTTCTGCACCATATCCTGTCTCCACCCACTCGCACAGTTCAGGTTTATAGTGCAGCTGAGCCATTTAACTTCATTGCATCAATGATGGTCCAAGTGCAAGAACACTGATGTTCGCATCCCACCCCCCAGCTGGCTGACACTTTCACACCAAACACGCTCAGAGCATTTAGCTCCCTTTGGGGGTTGAACCACCATAAATTTAGCATTTGCATTTTTAACGGCTTATGTCTGCATCTGGCTTTAACAAATTTCCATGTTTTAAGAGGCATAAATTCAACTTGCTGATAAGTTGTATGCCAAGTTAAGACAGTGGAGAGCTCACCCGTGGGTATGAGTTAGCTATTTATCAGTAGCACTAAGACAAGATAGGCTACTGATAGCTTGGATTTCACTATCAAAACTCTACTCATACTTAATTACAACACTTACTAAATTCCAACCTTATTACCTGTTACTGTAGTCTAGCTGTATTCAGAAACCTGGATATGGGATACATGGACTAGACCCACAAAGCATCTCAAACAGACTTACTATGCCACTGTCTGAGGAGTGCCACATAGATTTTTTTTAATTCTGCTTTGATTTTAATCTGTAAACCTCCTGCTGTGGCAAATCTTTTTAAACTGACCCAGTTGTTCATGCCCCTCCCATGCACTGGTTTTACTGTTTATGTATTGTGTTTTTTAAACTGCAATAAAAATGAGATTTTAAAATCTGGACATCACCTCAGGGACCCATTTGGGGCTAAAAAGATGGGGGTAGAAATGTTATGTGTTTGGTTGGTTCCCCCTCTTTTTTTTGAAGTTTTGAGCCAAATGCACCAACAGGGTATCTCATAGAGTGACATGAATGGTGATGACTGGGGTGACCCCAAGCTTGTTTTAAACAAGCTTGTTCTTTAACTCCTTCTTTAGTGAGAAATTGCAAGAGAGATTCCCAGGGAGTCTCTGCTTGAGCTGAAACAAAGCTGTGGGACACACATTCTATTGGCAAATAAAGGCACAATATCTCAGGGAACAGTAGGGATGGCTCAAGAGCATATGTTCTGTGAACTTCATCTAAACCTCTGAAATGAATAAGGCACTAGGAACTGAAAGTAAAGAACCTGGAACAAGCCTCAACTGCAGGGTAGTTGTGAGGACAAAGAACAGAAAGATTATAAAGCCGTACAGCATACACACTATATTTGAAGCATCTCCTGACCCCCAGCACAAGGAATTCTGGGCACTGTAGTTTGTTAAGATTTGCTGAGAATTCTGACTACTGTGCCTAGAATTCTCTGAGAGAAAGAATGTGCTTAAAGATAAGTGTGCTTGCAACTGTAGTCTGATCCTAAACAGCTAGTTAAGAGTGTGGTGCTGATAATATTGAGGTTGCAGGTTCGATCCCTGTATGGGACAGCTTCATATTCCTATGTTGCAGGGGTTTGGACTAGAACTAGATGATCCCCAGGGTTCCTTCTAACCCTACAATTTTATGAAGACTCAGAATTAAGCACTGATCTACGCATAGCTACCTGGTGGTGGGAGAACCCACTTTAATGGGGATACTTCTAACCAAACATGCTTAGGAACAGGCTACAAATCTCAAGTAAGGCTTACAACTCACATTACAGTAAAAGATTTGCATGCAGGCTTCTTAGATGTAAGCCCCACAGAACACAACGGTATTTCCTTCTGCATAAGCATGCATACAGGTAGGGGCCTGCCAAACCTGTTCTTTATAAATGTTCCAAGGCACCATATTTAATAATGATTTGTATTTTAGTTGATTAATTGACATATGAATAAAACAATATCGTTTAGTTTAGATTATGCATGCTGCTATACCATTAGAGGATTTCTGTCTTACTGTAAGGTTAAAAGCAAGGTTTTTCAGAAAACTGCACGACCTGACACTCCCCACCCCAATGTACCGTATTAACTTCTTTTTTTAAAAAATGCATTGCCCAATTAGTCAGAAGTTTTTTAGTAGAAGTTTTAAACTGATTAATCGACCTAATCAGTCAACGAGATGGAGCCTTAGATTCAGTAATTCAGCCCTTTGTAACTTCTCCAACATCCCAAGGGTTACTGAAAGAGATAATCGTGCACCTTTTCCTTACACATAGGGGAAGCACCGCCTCCGTTGCCCAAAGTAAAGATGGTTCTTCCACCACGAAAAACGCAGGCTGGGCCCCTAACCAAAGATGGCGGATCCAGCATCGGGGCGAGTGCGAACCGCACTGCACTTGAGGACGCTTGACCTCGAGTGCAGGAAACCACCAACGGTGCCCACCTCAAACATGGCCGCCCCCGCTATAAAGAGTGGAGGAGCTGCCCACAACCAAGATGGCCGCGGCACTTCACCGGCGACTGGTTCTCGGAGGCGCCAATCCCGACTCCAAGATGGCGGAGCGCCGTCGGCGTGAGGTGAGGTTTGTCTGCGTCACGTGACAGGCAGGACGGGGGTGTGTGTATCCCCGTCGTGTGTCCCGGCGGAAGAGTGAAGGGAGTCGGCTGAAAGGTCGCAGCTGGAGGGAAAGGGAAAACAAAGCGGCGCGGCCTAGCGCTGGAGAACCGGAGACACGCCAGTCACCACGGATACAGCCGGAGCCAACGCGGCGGCCGGGGCGCAGCCACCCTCGCTGCCTCCGCCGCCTCCTCCGCCGAGGATGTCGCGTAGGAAGGTGAGAGAGCGCAAACCGAGCCAAACCCCCTTCCCGTCTCCTCTCCTTTAGCTGCATAGACCGTCAGGCTCGAAAACCAGTTAAAAACGTAGGCCTTCAAGCCCCTGCATCATCTCGCGTCTTGATTGGGCGCCGCTGCCTCCCGCCGCAACTTCTATGGCCATCTTCGCCATCAGTCAAGCGCAGCCCCCACCCTCAACGGTTATTTGTTTCCCTCCACCCTTTCGGTGATTGTTGTGTCCCGCCTTCTTTCGTTGCTCATTGGCTCCGGCGCTGAAATGCCATTGGCTGCTTTCCCTATCACTTCCTACTGGCGCGGTTTTCTTTTCCCCTCCTCCCCCGTCGCTCCTGTTCCCAACGACTTCATACTTGGCTAGGTGCCTTGGGAGCGGGTGTTGAAGTAGCTGCTGATTGGCCGGGCATTCTGGCCTGAATTGGCGTCCACGGAGTCCCGCCCCTCTCTTCTTTCTCCGTTTCCCATTGGGGGACAGGGTCGCGTAAAGGTCCTCCTCCTCGCTGTTGTGATTGGAGGAGAGGGAAAATGGCACAGAGGGTTCAAAACACAGCAAGCAAGATGGACTGGGCCATGGGGATGGGTAGCAGCCATGGCTATAGTTTTGTGCCTACTTGTGTGTAAGTCCCATGGAATTCAATAGGAGTTTCTTATAAGTAAATCTTCTTACAGTCGATCTGCATGTATAAAAGGCTTGATCATTCTAGCTGCAAATCCAAGTCGTTTTTTGCAACTATCCAGTTTTAAGTACAGATAGAATTAGTTTGATTTCAGGAGAGTAGGAATTTTACACATTTTTAGAGGACTTTCCATAGTCTCTTGCAACAAAGGAAGGGAGGTTGCAATGTGAATGACAATTCACCAAGAGGTTTAATAATAGGACATGTTTCGTAGTAGCTGTATTTTGAATTGGGCTGCAGTCTTGGTTTTGAACCATCATGTCCTTTAACTTGGACAAGAAACAAGTTTTGCTACCCTGTACAAATCTAGCTTAAAAGAGCAGATTTCTAGCCCACAACATGTTAAACCTGCAGTCTGGAAGGCTCAAAGTTCCAGTCTTCATATTGCTTTTTAAAATGTATTTATTTTATGAGACACACACATGCATATACACCATGGGGGTTGACCCGATTCCTACCTGCTTAGAATCAGCACTGCTGTAGCATCTGGTCCTTCCAGGTTGTTCAGTGATCTCATTAGTCTGTATATTTAAAAAGTGCCTGTTTTGCTAAAGGTTCACAACAACAAAATATAACATTTAGCAGACCAGTTTTGTTACTTGTGCAGATTGTCTTAAAGCAATGAGTAATAACCTCATTTCATGCAAGTGGAAAGGAGGAACAAATATTGGGGGAAAGAAAGTCATGGGGAGGGGGGGAGAGAGAGAAAGAAAGAGAGAGAAGGGGTAGGATAGCCTACTTTAGGCTCTGGTCCTGACCACATTTGTCTCCAGCTGCACCCACCATGCAGCTCCACAATATATTACCCCTAGGTAAATGTGGCCCTCAACAGAAAAAAGGTTGACTGCCCCAGTCATAATCAGAAATGAATTGGGATGGCACCTGCAGCATTCAAAGGCCCACCTTCATATCTGTTTGGAGTGCTATATAAATGAAATCCTCATTCCCTGCAACTCTAGATTGTTTTCTCCCCCTTCCCTGGTATCCCTCTTGTGTCACACACATCATTACAAGTGGGGAAATAGAGTCAGAGGGGAAAAAAAATAAGTGGGAGGAATTACAATAGAAATTGGAAAGCACGATGGGGGAATTTGCTCTCATGGTCAAACTTAAGGTCCTGAAAGAATTGTGAGTCAGAGGAAGGCTATTCTTTATGCTTGTTCAGTCCTGCAGTGGAAGCCAAATTGAGATGTTTGCCTTTCCCTGCAGTGTGCTGGCTTGTCTCACATGCTTGAGTCTCTTGTAGAGCCATCTGGTCTGCAGCCCCCCTCTATGCAACACACCTGGTGTCTGCTCCTGCTCTGACTACTGAATATATTGCACCAGCTGTGTGTGAGGTGGGGTGCTTTCTGCTTGTGTACATTGATGGTGTACAATCCTTCCTTTCCCACTTACCCCCTACAGGTAGCAACAGAACAGATTTCCCTATCACTGCATTTCTGTCACCTGTTATATTTCTGCCTGCCCGAACCAGGCAGCAACTCTTGAATTTGTGGGAAGTGGCTGATGGGTCTTTCATCTGTTGCAATGTCGTGCTCCTACAAAAAGAGAATTGTTTTGTGACAGGTTCAAAATTGATGCCAGTAGTAGCAGACTGAGTTCAAGAGCCAAACTTGGCTACTCTTTCTTGCAGAGTAGAGAATAGGTTGCCATGCTTGTAGTAAGAGATGCATTGTGCTGGCAAAAAAGGAAAAAAGTTATTGGCTTTAGGCTGGCTATTTAAAAGGAGCGGCAGCTGCTTCTATAAATACAATGTTTGTTTCAGACTTGAGGAAAGCTAGTCTGGAATTCAAAGTTTATCTTAGAACTTGTTGTAAAATTCAGGAATGTTAAAATGTCAAGGGGTTGCGAAACAGAGAATTGCAGCTGTAATTAACAATATTAGAAGAACTTAAAAGAAATTGAACTGAATAATTAGTCGACTGAGGAGTTGCTGAAGAAATATAAAACAAGGATGCAGAAAAGGGGAGGTATGGGGAAGTCCGGAAAGTAAGGTTTATGAAAAAATGGTTATGAAATTATACATGTTTATATGTTTGTATGTCGGTGTATTGTGTATTGTTTTTTTTTTTTTTATTTTGTGTTTGGAAAATTAATAAAAATTTATTTAAAAAAAAAAAAAAAAAAGAGGAAAGCTAGTCTGGGTAGTAGGTTTGGGAACCTGTGGCCCTCCAGATGTTGGAGTATAAATTCCATCCTGCCTAACTGTTGGCTGTGCTGGCCAGGGCTGATGGACATTGGAATCCATCTGAAGATCAACAGGTTTCCCATCCTTGCTTCATAACTTTCAATCTTAAGTGGATTGCTGTGTGCCCCTGGATGAATTGTTCAGCTATAGCTTTTGTTCCCTGGGTTTTGAGATCTCATCCCTGTTTGGTGGCAATTGCAAAAACAGACTTTTGCTCAGAGTGTGTTGATTCCTGTGATGTGAAGATTGTGGTATACACAGACTGGGTGGAGTTGCCACTTTTTGTCCGGTCCTGTGTCTTTTTAACAACAGAAATCTAGGAGGTGAACCTTTACCACTACTTATCTTTATGCTAGGAAGAAGAATTGCCTGCACACTTGAGGCTTGCTAATGCACTGTACCATATCCTCTCCTATTGTGTTGACTGAATGTGCGTGAGACTTGGGTTACAGGCACAATATGCTTCTCCTCAGGCTGAAGACTGTTTTGAAGTTGTGGCCAGTATACAACAGAGCTCATTTCTTCTGATGGGATTGTTCCTGTTGCCTTCTAGACAAAGTTCTGGAGAGTTTGGTTTGACCTATGCAATCCCTCTTGACTGAAATCAGAGATCAGTACTGTCACCATGTCCCATTGCAATCCCATATACTAAATGAGCACTCACGTATAGTTGTATGCACGGTCTGGACAGCAAGAGCACAGAGAGAAATATTCTTGTGGCTGTGTGGAGATTCATCAGTGCTTTAGCCTAAGCGTTTTGTTCCAGTCCGTTGTAAGAGGTTTCTGTTTTGGCTTCTGCAAGCACAGTGCGCAATACTTTCTAGTTTACAATGTCCGTTTTTCTGCAACATTTTAGTTAGCGCTGCTCCTCAAGGAGCAGAACCCAGATAAATGATGTGTGTTGCTTATGTGGCTGAGTCTTTGGCCTTTCAGAGGAATGCAGGCAGCAGTTCTGACGGAACCGAAGACTCCGATTTCTCCACGGACCCAGAGCATACAGACAGTTCAGAAAGTGACGGGACGCCACGCCAGTCTGCGCGTGTGACTCGCTCTTCCGCCAGGCTCAGCCAGAGCTCCCAAGGTAGAGCGTTTGAATGTTTGGTCTTAAGCCTTATTCTAAATGGCATGAGCTGTATAATAAGCTGGTGTCTGCCCTCCTCACCCCACTCCATATGCAGGCACAGCCAAAATCTTAATTGGAGACATGCTAGCTTTAGTCCCACCCACCCCTGAAGCCCTGTAAGCCATTGCACATTCTGCGTTAACCACCTTGTGGACCTGCAACAGGTCAGTCTGTAAGAAAATGACCTCTACATAATAACACCTTTAAAACGAGCTTGAACATCAAGTGGATGATATTGATGGGTCAGTAATTAGAATTCTATCTCCCTGGAGGATTTCCAGACTTCTGTTTGGTGTATGCAAAGAAGCAGCAAGGAGAGGCATTGCAAATGTTGGGTATTCCAGTATTATTCCTATATTCCAGAGAGAGGCTGAGAGAGTGGCTCTGAGATCAGAGCTGAGTTGGGATTTGAACCCAGGATCTGCTCGCTCACATCCATAACTTACACTGGCTCTCATATACTCAAAATATGAGTTCAGTTCAAAACTGAACTTGGGCATGGAGTAGTATCAGAAAGAAGCTTATTTATTACCTTGCTGTTCTTTGCTCCTTAACTTGTGCTTTTGAAAATCCTGGCTATATTAAAATTCTTAAATCCTCAGAACGTATGTTGATGATGTTGGGAAGGCAGGCTGCACTGTGTCCTTCCATGCAGGGGGCAGATGTTTTTGCATTGTGAGTGTTGCAGATGGTTTCTCCCAATGAAACTTACGTGTGTGTGTTTCCCCACTTCCACCCCATCCTCTTAAAACTAGATTCCAGCCCGGTTCGCAACCCACCATCGTTTGGAGCAGAGGAGCCTGTTTATTCCACCCGGAGGGTAACCCGTAGCCAGCAGCAACCCACACCCGTGACTCCCAAGAAATATCCCCTTCGACAGACCCGCTCGTCAGGATCTGAAACGGAGCAAGTGGTTGACTTTTCAGATAGAGGTTTGTAAATGGCTGGGCAGGATATAGAGTGGCTAGAACTGGCACAGATCATGCTGATTTTCTTTATACCATGTTCTTCATCGGATTTCTTTACAACTTCGATGACTTCTAGGTTAGGTTGAGGGGCACTAGCTTAGCCAAGGCTGCTTTCGAAATACTAGTTGCTGTGTTGATCCCAAAGAGAGTAAAAGCACAGCTGAGATGATGCCCAGTTGAAATCGCCTTTTATCTGCCCCTCTGATTTCTTTCTGCATCTCAAGATCACCCTGGCAGTTTTGGTCAGGAGAGCAACAATACATTTCCTAGTACAGTACAGTCATACCTTGGGTTACAGCTGCGTCAGGTTGCGTTTTTTCAGGTTACGCACCCGCCGAAACCCGGATGTACCGGAATGGGTTACTTCCAGGTTTCGGCAGTCGCGCATGCGCAGAAGCGCCGCTGCGGGTTGCGAACGTGCATCCTGCACAGACCACATTCGCAACCCGAGCGTCCACTGTACAGTGGTACCTCGGGTTAAGTACTTAATTCGTTCCGGAGGTTCGTTCTTAACCTGAAACTGTTCTTAACCTGAAGCAGCACTTTAGCTAATGGGGCCTCCTGCTGCCGTCGCGCCGCCAGAGCACGATTTCTGTTCTCATCCTGAAGTAAAGTTCTTAACCCGAGGTAATATTTCTGGGTTAGCGGAGTCTGTAACCTGAAGCGTATGTAACCTGAAGCGTATGTAACCCGAGGTACCACTGTATTGCTTTTTTAGGCCTGGCATTTTGACCTACAAGGGATTCTGGGGAGGACTCCCCCTCCCCAGTTTATTGGGCTCTGCTCACTTTTGTAACATTGTGACTCTACACAGACACTAAAAACGCCGCTGACCACGATGAGTCGCCACCCCGCACGCCGACTGGGAACGCCCCGTCTTCCGAGTCCGACATCGACATCTCCAGCCCCAACATGTCTCACGATGAGAGTATCGCCAAGGATATGTCCATGAAGGATTCGGGGAGTGACCTGTCCCATCGTCCCAAACGCCGCCGATTCCACGAGAGCTACAACTTCAACATGAAATGCCCGACGCCCGGCTGCAATTCATTAGGTACTGTGGAACCTTCCATGATCTGAGATTTCATTAGCGGACTCTCCTCTTGCCCAAATCCCCCACGTGCCCTTTCTTGTTACCAGCCCTAAGGCGTGTTCCTTTGGCTCTCCACAGGACACCTGACGGGAAAACACGAGCGGCATTTCTCCATATCTGGATGCCCACTGTATCATAACCTTTCAGCGGACGAATGCAAGGTAATTTATTCTCTTGGAAAATGAGCTTGTGGCAATGGAAAGAGATCAGTCAGGAGGAATGGCATGGGGAGCAGAGAGAATTACAGCACAGTTCATCCCACCCACCGTCTCTCCTCTTTTCAGTGCTGCTTTGCAGGAGAGAAGCGGTGCTCAGTGTTTGGACACACAGCATGGCCATGTAATGTGCAGCGCAGCCTTTGCCAACTTGCTGACCTTCAGATGTTTTGGATTACCATTTCTATCAGCGGTGCTGGCTGGATCTGATGAGAGCTGTAGTCAAAACCATCTGGAGAGCACCAGGTTGTCAAAGACTGGTGCAGTTCCTCTCCTCTGAGCGTTGTGATTTGTGACACAGAAACAAACACGGGGACAAAATTCTCATGGGAAGCACGCTATTTGAAGCATACTTAGGAATTTCTGTTCTCAGGCTTGTCCAAAAATCCAGCAAACCTATGATTTGAGTTTTAAAATGGTTATTTGAAACTTGAATTAAACCCTTCGTTTGTAGGCTTTGGGTGAGTCTGTATGTTGGTGTTCAAAATTTCAATTTACAAATTTGCTTTTTGCTATTTCCCCAAGAAAGTTAACATTTTTTAAAAAAATTGTATGCTGTTGAACACCAGCTGTTTGTAGCAAATGTCTCCCTGTGCATGATATTCAGAGTCCTTTTTGCACGTGACTAAGAAATTATTTACTAGGGAGTCTGGTAGTAACTGCTGAAATGAACTTGAGGTGGTAAAATGGGGCAGGGAGAGGTGATCAGATTTTCTCATATTGAATGCGTGTGTAGGAATTAGTTAAATTATTCTTTATTTTGTAAAATTATATCTTACATCTTCAGCCACCATGGTTTCTGGGGCAGAAGACTACAAAAATACAATGAAATCTTAAAATTCACCTGTAATTTGGGGCAGAAATTCCTGATGGAGCTGCGTAGCCTGAAGTTGGGCTTGAGCCCTGCCACTTCTCTTTTCAAACATCAAATCTTGTTTGGTCAATTGCAAATTGAGGGCTTATGGCTCCTTGGATGATCCTTTCCTGCCTGCAAACCTCAGAGATGCCTGGGCTCAGGGCCAACAGTACCTTAACTCCCTCATATTGTGGTTTTGGTTGGACTGTTCTTACATTATCTGAGCAAGAATTCGCATGGCGTGAGAAGGGAAGGATTGATACGATCTCTCTCTGGATTTCAAGGTGAGAGCGCAGAGCCGCGATAAACAAGTTGAGGACAGAATGCTGTCTCACCGACAAGATGATAACAACAGACATGCTACCAGACATCAGGTACTTCCATCTTACATTTTTACTTTTGCACCTTTATCAAGTATGCACTGGTTTTAACAACCCAACAGGACCATCTTTTTTCTAGTGATCATTGACATCTCACTTTCAGAAGACAGTTAAAAAATCCAGAATCAAAAGCAATTTTGTGTGGAAATTCTGTCTGAACCTGTGTCTACTTATCTTGCTGACCACATTTTCTGAGTAATCTAAAACTCGGGGGGGGGGGGGAACAGACACGTTCCATTCTTCAGTTTTACCAAGAAAAGAATAAATATGTTAGTTTCTAAAACAATTGAATATAACTTGCCCCATGATAACTTGAGAAGAATTCATGCTTTGTGCCTTGTTCACGGGATGTGGTTCTTTAGATTGAGATTACTCTGTGCATGTTCATCCTTCAGCTGTAGCGATAGGTATGTGTGAAACCCCACCAAGATCTATGGGTATAGGGCAGTATACAAATTTAATAGATCATAATAATATGTTTTGTATCCTTTCAAATGCCATACACTTCACTGAAGGCAGTTCTCACAGTCATTTCTCTATTGCCAAGTGAAGGACATGTAAATAATCCCTGATATTTTTCAAGCACGGTCCCAAGTATACCATCTTGCTATACCAGGATAAAACACACATAATACAATGCAGTGTGGCAAGAGTCCTGTTCTGCCATCCAGTAATAGTTCCCAGTGTTCAGGCTCATGTTGGTTTGCAAGGGATGGTCTGGACCAGGGGTAAGCAAACTTTTTCAGCAGGGGGCCGGCCCACTGTCCCTCAGACCTTGTGGGGGACCGGACTATATTTTGAAGGGGAAAAAATGAACCAATTCCTATGGCCCACAAATAACCCAGAGATGCATGTTAAATAAAAGCACACATTCTACTCATGTAAAAACACACTGATTCCCGTCTGCGGGCCGGATTTAGAAGGTGATTGGGCCAGATCCGGCCCCCGGACCTTAGTTTGCCTACCCATGGTCTGGATTGTTTGACATGGAAGTGCAATAGACGAGCATCTAACTCCCGCAAAAGCATACTCAAAATAATAGCAGGTTAGAAACCTGACAGTGCCATGGTCCTCTGCACTTGCCAGATTGCTGGCAATACGCATGTTTCTGGGCATGCTCAGCAGACTTCACAACACCACAGCCAACACCTCTTCTCCATGGAATTTGGTATCTGGCTTAGTGCAGTTTGATTCAGAGTACTTTTTGCTACATGAGCTGATGTTGTGTGTGAAAGAAACGCATATCCCATTATGTACGGAGTGAAGTGCAAGAATCCATTTCAGCGCAGACACACTTGAGCTGCCAGACCCATGCGGCGGGAGCAAAGTATACGCTTGTGCTATATTGCATATGCGACATTCCGTGTCAGAAAGGTGTGGCCTATAGCACAGAGTCGGGGAAACTGTGGCCCTCCAGGTTGTTGCTGGACTCCAGCTCCCGTCAGCCCAGCAGAGGTCAGGAATGGTCAGGAATGATGGGAGTTGTAGTCCAGCAACACCTGGCTTTCCACCTCTGTTATAGCATATGAAGCAATAGTTGGCCTGCTTTGGGGTCAGAGGATCCTAGGCAGGTTGCCGGCTCCTATGCATGTCCTGTGTTTGTCATCCCCTGTGTAGGCACCAACTGAAAGACAGCTAAGGTACAAAGAGAAAGTAGCAGAGATGAGGAAGAAGAGGAATGCTGGGCTGACTAAGGAGCAGAAGGAAAAGTACATGGTACAGAAGCTTTCTCTCTCTCTCTCTCTCTCTCTCTCTCAGGAGTGTGTGTTTGGCAGAATCAGGCCACCCTTAATGTCATGGCGTATTTCACACCCCGCATAGAGGGAATAGTTAATTTCTAACTGCATCTGATCCCAAGATTCTAGGTCATAGTGCTATACAGTAGAACCAAAACAAGAATAGGCAGCCATGAGCTAAACACTCCTCCAGTTATTTTGATTCAGTTTGTGAATTCCAGCCTTGCTGCTTCCCATCCCTTCTTGCACACAGACCTTCGTGTCCTTTGGCCCTGCGCGAGGCCATAGTTGGGGTGGGGGGCTTATAGGCCACCCAGCCCAGCCCCCTGTGCCATGTAAGAAATTAAGTGCTGGAGCAACCTCATCCGGTTCCTGCCGAGCCTCTGCATTGACTGCCTCCAACAAGGGAGAGCCCACTGCCTCTCTAGGTAATTGGTTCCCTTCCTAAACTGTTCTTACCAATAGGATATTTCTCTTAATGTTCAATCAATATTTATCCTCTAAATCCACTGGACTTAGTCCTGCCCTTTTGGGCAGTAGAGAACAAGCCTCTGCCCTCTTCTGTTGAACAGCCTTTCATGCAGTTGAAGAGTGCTTCTGTAGATTTTCCCTCTATTCCCCCCCGCCCCCGGGTTAAACATAGTTCCTTCAGCCTTCCATCGTAGGAGTTGTGTTCCATACCATATCTGTTGCCTCCCAGTTCATACGGTCTCCACTGAGTGGGAAAGCTGTAGCCCTCCAGATGTCGTGGAACTACAGCTCCCATCAGCCTCTGCCAGCTGAGCCAGTGGTCAGGAATGATGGAAGCTGTAGTCCCAACAACACAGAGGAGGGCTGCCCCTTATCCACAGGCTTCTTAAAATGTGGTACCTAGAACTGGATATGGTACAGTGGTACCTTGGTTCTCAAACGGCTTGGCTCCCAAAGAAATCTGCTCCCAAACGCCGCAAACCCGGAAGAAAGTGTTCCTGTTTGCGAACGTTTTTCGAAGCTGAACATCCGACATGGCTTCCGCTTGAGTGCAGGAAGCTCCTGCAGCCAATCAGAAGCCGTGCCTTGGTTTTCAAACTGTTTTGGGAGTCGAACGGACTCCCGGAACGGATTAAGTTTGACAACCAAGGTACTACTGTATATGCATCATCTCCGTATTGACTCCTTGCTTCTGCACTCACAACAGCCCACAGCTCTTCTTGTCCTTACAAGCAATCCTGCATGAAGCTTTCCAGGCTCCCTCAGCCTTCTACTTCCCTCAGAGCAGGAGCCAGTATAGTTTCACTATCCAGCAAGAAAGGGCAGAGAGGGGAGGATGAGGGGATCCACTTTCCCCAGGACAGGCAAACTATTTCTAAGAGATTATTTCTGCTGTTTATTGTAGGAGCACCGGCAAACCTACGGCAACACCAGAGAGCCCCTTCTAGAGAATCTGACCAGTGAGTACGACCTCGAGTTATTCCGACGAGCGCAAGCAAGAGCCTCTGAGGATCTGGTAAGAGGACTGGGCTGGGTAAGATACACATCCTTCCACCTTCTAGGCTTGAAGTAAAACCATTTGTACTCTTTTTTTGTACAGTGGTGCCTCGCAAGACGAAATTAATTTGTTCCGCGAGTTTTGTCGTCTTGCGATTTTTTTCGTCTTGCGAAGCACGGTGTCGGGAAAGTTTTGGAAAAGCTTCAAAAATCACCAAAGTCTTTAAAAACCTCAAAAAAAGGCTACCACACCGCGTTCTATGAGTTGCTCCTCGAAGTCAAGTCGCAACTGTATTAACTGTGTTAAGAAAAAGGAAACAAACTTGCAAGACGTTTCCGTCTTGCGAAGCAAGCCTATAGGGAAAATTGTCTTGCGAAGCAGCTCAAAAAACAAAAAACCCTTTCGTCTAGCGAGTTTTTTGTCTTGCGAGGCATTCGTCTTGCGAGGTACCACTGCACTAAGCTGAGTGTGACTCGCTTGTGACTCCGTTTGGACAGAATCAAACTTCTGAGCAAGGGGTGGGGAGAAGTGAACAGAAAGAAGGAAAAGTATTCCTCAAAAGGGCTCAGAAATTCAACAATATGCATTGCATGGAGGGAGAAACCAGGGTACGGAGAATCTGAGGCAACTGTTACTGGAGGCATTTGGCAGTAGGCCGTCACCAATCACGGCAGCTGCGAGGGGAGGACAGTTGGGCAGGGGGTAGAAGCTGAATCAGCAGAATGGACAGAGAGAGCTGTGTGGTGTAGAGAATCTTGGTGGTCTCTCTTGGTTCCTGAGCCAGCGGAGGATTGGAAAAGCAATGATGGATCTTTAACTAGGTCTAGGTTGTGGGTTTCTGACTCCTCAGTTCTGAGAACAAGGTATTTGAGGAGCTGTATGTGGATTTTTTGTCTTCTGAGTTACTGTTACTACACATGTGCTCAGTATTCCGAGCTAGGCTCAGCCCACTGGTCCCAATCTTTCGCTAGTCCGTTTCACTTGCTGTTTTTCCTGGGAATCAGAGCTCTTGACCCCACTTTTGTTTGTGGGGATGGGGACCGCAAGCAAGTGCCTCTCCCACTGTTATCAGACTTAACCTTGAGAAAATGAGGAGAGGGTCTCGGTTTCCAAGTGCGGGACACGCCCCACCTCTCCGTTCATTGACGCTTTTAGATTAATGTGAACTGAAGGCTAAGTGTATTGATGTCAGAACAGCAGAAGGAGATAAAGGAGCACCGTGGAACCATTCACATAGCAGAATGAAAGAAGATTGCCAGCTTCTCATCTGCTGTGCATCTGCTTATATTTTTAGAGTGTATCTATTGCCCTTCAGGAAACACTTCAAGACAACTTACAAATAAAACCGTTTTTAAACGTATAGAGGTACAGCAGGCCATTTCTTGGAAGCTGGACCGCTTCTGTCTGCTGTGGCCTTGATCAAGGTAAACTACGGTCACTCCCCTATTCTTATCTTCTTAGTGTCTTCTCTCCACCCCAAAATTTGGCCCTTTCTTGGATGTTTCCACTGCAAACCATTCATTAGATCAGTTAAGGTTTGCTTTTCTTTTTTATCGTATCTTTCTTTACAGTGGTACATTGGTTTAAGAACAGCTTAGTTTATGAACAACTTGGATTAAGAACGCTGCAAACCCGGAAGTAGGTGTTTTGGTTTGTGAACTTTGCCTTGGAAGCAGGACATGTTCTGCTTCCTGTTGAGCGTAAATTGAGTCCCCTGCTGCTATGGGAAAGCACGCCTTGGTTTAAGAACGTTTTGGTTTAAGAATGGATTTCCAGAATGGATTAAGTTCATAAACCAAGGTACCACTGTATTTGCAATTTAGATCACTCATAAACAGTGATTCGTACACAGCTGATTTTGTTTTTTGTTTTTACACTCTCCCCACCAGCATCAAATATCTATTTAGTTTTCCCTCCTTGTTGGGGGGGGGCAGGTGAATTCTATGTCTTTGACCAGGGTTTCGAGCTTTTTTTGGACTACGACTCCCATCATCCCTGACCACTGGACCTGTTAGCTAGGGATGATGGGAGTTGTAGTCTCAAAACAGCTGGACACCCAAGTTTGGGAAACCCTGTCTTGGATGAAGGGCAGTTATTAAAGACATTGCAGTTGCAGTTGGAGGGAGCCTAATGCAGTGTAAGAGCTGCGACAAATGTCACATAATGTTTTGCATTGGCCCCATTTTAGATTTGTGATGAAACAATCAAAGCATATTTCCCAATGAGACCAAACTCAAACCGTTTTCTTTTTTCTAAAAAAATAATAATTAAGAAAATGCTAACAAAGGGCACATTTTAAAAAATGTCAACGAAGAGGCGTGCGGAAAGTGGACCGATCAATTGTGTGGGAAAGCTCTGGCAGCAGAACAAGTTTTTTTAACCTGCCGATGGCAGCAGAACGTGGATTTAGTTGGACCGGGGCTATGTCAGCTGAATGGCAGTTTCGCTGTAGATGCACTGGTCCTGCCAAAGGACCTCCAGAAAGAAAATGCCTAGAGAGAAAAGACGATGCTTTTGAAACCTCACTGCCTATCTGGAGATGCAGGTTTTAGGTTGCTTGAGGCTTAAGCTACGTCTTAAGCGGAGTTGCATCATTCTGCTTCTTTCTCAAACTCAAAGCAGGCTGGGGTGGGAGACTGTGCCTGAGAAGACATTCAGGTGGGAATATGCACCCTTTCCCTCCTGGTCCTTTCCCAGCTCAAAACTTCCCTCCCCAAGCTTCTTTTCCACTTGAAGAGGATGGGGTGGCTCCTTCCCACCTCCCCAGAGTGAAAAAGCAGCTTGAGTACAGCAATTTTGAGCTGCAAGATGACAAGAGCGCCATGGAGTTAAGCAGGCTCTCTTGGCCTGCCCGTTTTCTGCTCAGAGCAGACCGAGCTGCTTAAGGTTTAAATAGAAAAGAAAAAAAAGCCTGGAGGAAAGTATTGCAGAACTACATGTGCCATAATCTTTGGAAGCCAAGATATGCAGACGTATATGCCCAGCCCCACTGTTTCTGAGCCAGCATTTCTTGGCCCTGCTGTTGGGGTGTGGATGGCTGTGTTGACGTGCCCCCGAGGACCGGCGCTGAAAAGTGTGAGAAGATGAAACAGCTTCGTAAGTGTTCTCATTTGTGCCACTTTCTTTCTGCGGTGACAGTTACACTGAGTGCAGGCCTCCACCTCGCTGTCTTTCGCTGCGTAAGGAGGTGCCAGACTTCCGAAAGCAGTTGCCGGAGGTGCAGTCTGCATCTCTTTGGTTTCCCAGCTTAGAGAGTGCCAGAAGCCCTGGGGCAAGAGAATGGATCCTTTTTCATGTTTGATTGAAGCTCATTTGATGCTTTCCTTGTGATATGACCCCTCAGGCCCATGCTTCTCCCCCAAAAGATTAGGGAGAGACTTCTGGCAAACGTAGATCAAAGCATATAGAGTAAATCAAAACAGCAAGAAACTTGGGGTTCTGCTGAGAGTGGACCACCACTTCCAGAATAATGCTTTGGTACTTCTGTTAAGTCACTGAGCTGAGCCCCCTATTCCACGTGGCCACGGCGGCTTTGAGAACAGCACTTTCTTCAGATTTGTGTTGGGAGTTAATCTGAAAAAGACTGCAAGCTGCAGGGACCTCCAAGCTCTCTGCATTGTTCAGATCTTGGGGAGGGGAGCTGATTAACTGGCCTTCCAGATTTCCCGTCTCCAACGGCTAACTGTGATCAGAGCTGCACAGCGGGTCAGGTTAACCACCGTGATGCCAAGGAGCCACGATTTACCACCAACTTCCTCCCCACAACCCCAGTCCTCGAGCCTCAGTGTTAAAAGCTACACATATGCCAGCTCACCTCCGCTGCTGTGCCCCCATCTTGTTCACAACGAGAGAGGAAGAAAATACACACAGGCTTCGAAAATGAAAGGCAAGCGGGCAGTGTCTCCTGATTTTTCTCAGGACTTCTGAAAACCAGGCCCAGGATGTAAAACATGGAGTCAATGGGATCCAGGGCAGAGGGAAATCACAGAGCCCCAATAGCTGCTTGTTAACCACGCCTTCACCCACTTGTGCCTTCCTGCATCCTCAAGGAATCCTGCCTCCAATGAATGCCATTCAGGGGAATGTGGGTGGTATCTGGGTTTACGAACTTAATCCATTCCGTAAGTCCGTTCTTAAACCAAAGCGTTCTTAAACCAAGGCCTGCTTTCCCATAGAAAGTAATGGAAAATGAATCTAGACAATGCAAAACAACCCCTAGAACAGCATTTTAATATGAACTTTACTATCTAACACAGGCATAGGCAAACTCGGCCCTCCAGATGTTTTGAGACAATTCCCATCATCCCTGACCACTGGGTTCTGTTAGCTAGGGATGATGGGAGTTGTAGTCCCAAAACATCTGGAGGGCCGAGTTTGCCTATGCCTGATCTAACGAGACCATTGATCCATAAAATAAAAGCAGTAATCAATGTACTGTACTATAAAATAAATAAAACAGTATTGTAGATTAAATAAATTAAATTATTTTTTTTTCTTATGTGCACTGGTGATAGTCATTGTTTGGATGGGGGGCTTTTATCCATTTCTGCAGTCACACAATCAACCAGTAGCTGAACTGGGTTCCACACAGTCACAAAAACAAGTCACAGAAGCGAAGTCACAAGTCAGTCCCATAAAACAAAGAACAAGTCACAGTGAAAAAATGAAAAAGCCACACAAACAAAAATGCAAAAAAATAATAATAGCAAAATCAAAAGATCCAAATATCACCTCTGTGCTGTGTGGGTGCTTGGTACTCAACAGCCGACAGACTCAACAGGAAGCCTCTGATTAGCAGCGGGGGACTCAATTCACAAACGGAAGACACTCAACAGGAAGCGGAACATGTTCTGCTTCCAAGGCAAAGTTCACAAACCAAAACATCTACTTCCGGGTTTGCAGCGCTCTTATTCCAAGTTGTTCATAAACTAAGCTGTTCTAAAACCAAGGTACCTCTGTACCTGGGACACAGAACCTGCAAATACAGAGAGGCGTGAAGACATTGAGTGAATACTGAATAGAGGTCTTTGAATTGTTATTTTTTTAACTTGCCAGAAGACTCCTCTAAGACGCCCCCAAACACACTGGGAAACTTTGTACAAGCAGTGAGAAAAAATTAAATCCTTACTGCAGGGATGGGCTGGAGTGTGTCCTGGGACTCTGATGATACTTGTTGTTTGCCTGGCTGTAGGATGATGATGATGATGATAATGATTACGATTATTTGGTATACATGCCGCCCACCAGACTGGGTTACCCTACCACTCTGAGGGGCTTCCAAAAAACTAAAACACATCACATAAAACATTAAAAAGTCTGTAGGTGAATGTGAAAAAACCCTCACTACTGCACAAAGGTGTAAATGACATGTTTTGCTCTGTCTGCATTTGTTTCTGGTCTCATCCCCCACTACCATGTGATCCCAGAAGGTTGTTCAGAAGGGAATGGCCATCTGCCATGGATGCTTTAGCTGAGATTAATGGGGAGTTGGACTAGATGACCCTTGGGTCCCTTCCAGCATTCGATGAATGTTGCCCTCAGGCCGAAGACAATTCCCTCCACAGCTGTTCTCAAGGCACCATGGTGAGGAAGAGGAGACAGAGGCTGCGGCTGCTGTCCTCTACTAGACGCCTTCACATAGAATTTACACACATGGGCTTGATCCAGCCTAAATTAGATTGCCGTCCTTCTTGCACTAAACCGTGGTTAAGTCCCATTGAATTCATTGGGGCTGAGTAGACATGGCCCCAATGCCTTTGAACTTGAATGCCTTTGAATTCATTGGATCCAGCTAGTCTTGACTTTTAAGTTCCGTAGATTTGAAAGCGCAGTTAACTTGGGATGGATCCAGACCGGAGTTGGCCAATTCCGTATTTCACAAGCTGCGGAGTTCAGTTTCCTAACAGTTTCAGTTTTCTGTTTGTAGACCTTAAGGCTAAATAAAGAGAGACTTGAATGTGGGTGGGGCAATTTGCATTTCCAAAGATCGGAGTGGGGCTTTGATGCTTTTTATAGCTCTGCCGCTCCCTGCGATTAGTGAAATAAACTGCAAAATAAGCAACTCCACATAAATTTTCTTAATCTGTGTATCAAAACTCAGTTCTTCCCGATACTGGAGTTTGTTTTGATTTGAGTTTTTGGGGTGGGTGGGAATGTTTTCTCTTTTCACATGGGCCTAGCATAGATCGTATGAATAAATAGCATGGTGAACTGTTTCTTTTTTAAAATAATTTTGATTCCCCTTCTCAATAGGAAAAGCTGCGACTTCAGGGCCAGATCACAGAAGGGAGCAACATGATCAAGACGATTGCTTTTGGCCGCTATGAGCTGGACACATGGTACCATTCTCCCTACCCAGAGGAGTATGCGCGACTGGGGCGCCTCTACATGTGCGAGTTCTGCCTCAAATACATGAAGAGCCAGACGATACTACGCAGGCACATGGTAAGCGTTGGGCACACCGCCTTTTTATTGGCTGAGCAGAAAATGTGTAGCTGCTTCTGCTGCTATGTTATTGTGCCCCCTAGTAAGTATCTTGTTCTTCCCCTCGCGATTCTCTCTTCCACCTCTTTGTGCTTCTGATGCCGTTGGCCACGCTAGGCGACCGTGCTAATGCTTGTGCAATGCTCTCCGTAGGCGAAATGTGTCTGGAAGCATCCTCCGGGTGACGAAATTTACCGTAAAGGCTCCATTTCGGTGTTTGAAGTCGATGGGAAAAAGAACAAGGTAACATACTTAACTGGAGTTGGTTTCGGAGGAGGAGGAGGAGGAGAGAATTTGTGCAACACGTTGTCTTTTGTGGGCCATAGGCAGGCTGCCCAGCTGGCTCTCCTTGAAGTCTGCCACCCCAACCTGTCCCAGCTCTCTCTGAAAAATGCTAATTAGGATCAGTGTCAAGGGTTGGCATTATTGGGCATCTGGCGAGAGGTCACACCCAAGCAGGGGCCCATTGACAAGAGCCCTGGGACCTGCTGCAGGAGGGTATCCTATAGAGGATGTTTTGCCCTAAGACCTTCCAAAACCTGGATATGGTACTGTTCATTATATTGGTCTAACTCCATTGCCTTTGATGGTATTAGACAGGTAGTCTTGCCTGGCTTACTAGTGTCCACAGAACTCCATATTAAATGTATACACTCGTGCATGCCTGAAGCAGACTTTTTCTCAAACCGATACCAAAGTTTCTTTAAATAATAATAATAATAATAATAAATTTATGTGCCACCCATTGACTAGGTTGCCACAGCCAACAGAATATTAAAAAAAAAATCAAACATTACAAACTTCCTTTTACAGGGCTGTCTTCAGATGTCTTCTAAAAGTTGTCCTTGACATCTGATGGGAGGGCATTCCAAAAGGAGGGCACCACTACCGAGAAGGCCCTCTGCCTGGTTCCCTGTAACTTCACTTCTCACAGTGAGGGAACCTCCAGAAGGCCCTCAGAACTAGATCTCAGTGTCCGGGCTGAACAGTGGGGGTATGCAGGGCCAAAGCCGTTAGTGCTTTAAAGGTCAGCACCAACACTTTGAATTGTGCTTGGAAATATACTGGGAGCCAATGTAGGTTCTAATCTTTCACCAACCTGGTGCCCCCAGATGTTTTGGACTACCAGCAGATGTTTAGTCTGAAACATCTTTACCGCACCAGTTTGGCAAAGGCTGATCTGCAGAATCTGGGTCACAGTGTGGCACAATCAGAGGTTTGGGTGCACTGACAAATAATATCTGCAGAGCATCTGGGTTCAGGTGACTCATGCAAGTAAGCCAAGCCGCATACTTCAGAGGATGCCCTCCCTTTGCCGAGCATCATCTGTTTTAGGCTTTATAAAGGTCAACACCAACACTTTGAATTGTGTTTGGAAACATATTGGGGCCAGTTTCAGAAAACCAGAGATGGGCCAGTCACAGCTTCAAAGAAGCAGATTTAGCCAAAGAGGTTTTTCAGGGTTTGAGGGCAGTGAGAGGGGTGTCTAGAATTGGCCGCCTCTTCCCAACACATCTGCGTTTTGACATGCCTTCTGATTCTTCCAGATATATTGCCAGAACCTCTGCCTTCTGGCAAAGCTCTTTTTGGACCACAAGACCCTGTATTACGATGTGGAGCCCTTCCTCTTCTACGTCATGACGGAAGCCGACAACACCGGCTGTCACCTGATAGGCTATTTCTCCAAGGTCGGTAGCAGCCTCTCGAGCTCTGTTCCACAACCAGGGCACTGGCCACGACTTAGGCATTAAATCAGAACGACGGGCCTGCTCTGGAGAGGGGGTTCAAAGGCCGGGCACTGAATCTGTAAGAGTTGGTTCGTGAAATATAGTTAACAGCGGAAAGCAAGCTTATAGTCCAAGGACAAATGAAAGCCAGGCTGCTTACTGGAATCTTATTCAGGCTTTGTTACAAGTGCAAACTTCTGGTGCCAAACAGAGCCAGTTATTCTTGGTATTCATGAGGCTCCTCCACCCCCCTTATAGTTGCATGTGCAAACACCTGCTTCCAGTAACATTCATAAGAGCTGGGTTTCGGAGGTATATTAATCAGAAATCAGGGTTTTGAATGTGCTCTTGCATTGTGTGGCAGGGAGCACCACACCCTGACACACACACACCGTATCAGATCCACAGTGGGATCAGTTCCGACTATAAATCTACTGAGCTTTCTTGAAAAGACTGTTGGGTGGGTGGTGGTTCTGCTCATTGGTTTGCTGGCTTAGAATTGGATCCACATCAGGTTTGTGGACTGAATCCTCATCTTTTAAACTAGTGGTGGCCAAACGGCCCTCCAACTGTTTTGGGACTACAGTTCCCATCATCCCTGACCACTGGTCCTGTTAGCTAGGGATGATGGAAGTTGTAGTCCCAAAACATCTGGAGGGCCAAGTTTGGCCACCACTGTTTTAAACAGAGGAGATGGCTTCTAGCCTGCTCCTCAGTAAGGGCTTTTTAGCCCAGGCAGCCAAGCTCTCCATCTCAATATTAGTCTCTGTTTTGTTGACAGAGGAATATTACAAGTCCAGGTGTGATGTGAGGTTAAATGAAGGCCTGGTGTGGGTTCTGTTTGTTCCTTTACATTTGACCTGAATTCCCAGATACAGTGCTTTGTCATGCTGATCAAAATAGAGCAGAGGAACAATTTGAATTTCACTTTCTCTGGCAGTGTGAGAGGCCATTTTCCAAAACGGCCATTAGAACTATCGATTCTGTTTAACTTTGGTCTCTGACGCGTGCAGCAAGGCCACTAGGAGTGCTGCATCAAAAAACTTTAATAGTTTGCCATTGGACGTGCAGCACTTTCAAGTTTTTGCCTCGTGCATTTTTACATGATAGGTTGATAAAATCCCCGTTTTGGTACAGTTTCTGTGAAAAGATTAAACAAACAAATTCTGTAAGACAAATGGACTGTTTTGCCCAACTCTCAATTTGTGTGGGTTTTGAAAACAGCACCCTAAGCAATATAGACGATGCTTGTCTAAAATTCAAGGGGAGGGAGTTCCAAAGCGTAGATGCCACCACACTAAAGTCCCAATTCGTATATCCTATGGAACAGACCTCCTAATAAGATGGTATCTGCAGGATGCCCTCTCCTAAAGTGTGCAGTGATAGATTGGACATAAGAAGGGGTAAGACAGTCTTTTAGGTCTTTAGGTATCCTGATCCCAAGCTGTACAGGGCTTTGTAGAAGCACCTCGAACCTAGCTCAGCAGTCTTGTGTGCATCCTGTTACAGGTATTAAGGATGAAGTTGAATGTTACGATCACTCACTTCCTTTTCCAGTTTGGCATTTCCCCTCACAAATAGTTTGGAATCTACTCATCGCCCAGGCAGACATTTGCGGGAAATGGCCATCACAGCCAAACAAGGCCAATTCAAGTTGTCTCTGTATGAGCTAATATCAAAAGAGCTTTCGCTGGCATTCCCAAGACCTGAGGGGAGCTGGTGTTTGAGAAATTCAGGCCCAAAGCCAGGGTAGGGAATCTGTTTCAGCCCGAGGGCCACATTCCCTAGCAGGTGGGACAAGAGGGTGGAGCCAAAGCTGTTGCTTTTGTATAGCAGACTGCATCCAGACCATGCAAAAGACGCTTTCTTCACCCACACCTGTCCATCTAGGCAAGCGAGAGACATTGTCACCGTTCAAGGACGCATTCCAGCCAAACAAAACCGGAGAGGGTGCAGAGCAGGACCAGTGAGGACTGTGGCCTGGGAAGAGTCTTGAAGACCCCATAGAGAGGCCTTGAAGGTCACATTTAACTCCTGGGCCCGAGGTTCCCCACCCCTGGTCTCAAGGCTCCTTGGGTGCCCAGGACTAGCTTTGTGATTCTTTGCATTGCAGCCATTCTGTTTTGATCAGCTTGCAAAAGCCATGCATTTGAACTTTTGCCACGATGTGATCAGTTCTTGTCAAACATGACCCTTCGCGGCTATACTGTTTACTTCCAGGAGAAGAACTCATTCCTCAACTACAACGTTTCCTGTATCCTGACGATGCCTCAGTACATGAGGCAGGGTTACGGCAAAATGCTCATCGACTTCAGTAAGTGTGGACAGACACTCGCCTTTGTTCTTAATCCAATGCTTACATACTGCCACAAATCAGATGGTTTCATAGCCTCAAATGTGACACAGAGCAGTTGAGGGGTTTTTTAAATGCAGCATGGTTGTTAGGGTATAACTTTTTGACTATTTTTCTCTCAAAACAATGATTTCCTGTATCATAGAGGGATGAACTTTTGCTTAGAAGCACTAAGCAATTAGGGACTAATTCTTCTCAGTTGTGAAAAAAAGGTCACCCCGAAATGAAAGTTGGAATCACTGTATATGTAATGTTACTACTCATACGTATTAGCACTTTTAAAAACTTTATGGGACTGTTTAGGACTTTTATAGCTGTCTGGAACTTCCTGAAACTGTATTGGAGAATCACTGGAAGCAGGAGCCATCCGTACTCAAGATACCAAGAAGTAATCAGTGCGCAATCAAAGCGATACGGGAACTTTACGGTGCTTGCAGCAGAAACAAAGACAAACTGCAACCTTGGTTTATTCTAAGCAATAAGAAGTAATGCACAATGTACAAAACCTTATACAGTGGTACCTCTGTTCTCATACAAAATCCGTTCTGGAAGCCCATTTGGCTTCTGAAACGTTAAAAAACCAAGGTGTGGCTTCCCATTGGTTGCAAGAGCTTCTTGCGCTCAGCAGAAGCCGCGTCGCATGTTCGGGTTCTGAAATACGTTCGAAAACGGAAGCATTTACTTCCAGGTTTTCGGCGTTTGGAAACTGAAATGTGCAACAGTGGAGCCGTTTGGATCCGAGGTTCCACTGTACAAGTGTTAGAAAATTTGCAAGCTCTATTTTTCCTGTATTGTAATATATGCTATGCATATGACATACTGTAATGCAGTATACAGTTGCATATACAAAAATCAATTTATTGATTTCGGGGGGACCTTTTTTCAAGAGTTTTGGAAATGAAAGTTCATTCCTTAGTTTTTAGGTAAAAGTTCATCTAACTAATCTTAATGGAGCATGAGGTTGTAAAAAAGTTATAACTCTAGTGGTCGTATGACTAGGGTCTCAGGGCTGTTAAGAGGTAAATAAACATGATTGCTGCTTTCTTAGCAATCACCATCTTTCTATAACAAACCCTTTTGATCGAGGGCCAGTTAGCTTGGAAGTAAAATTTGGCCACCTCCGAAATAAGGTCTTTTCTACATATTTTGGAGGTGCTTTAGCTTTGCAGTAGCACAAGCTTTTGTGATGTTAAAAAAAAAAATACTTTAAAAAAAAGACTTTAAAATGAAACTGCCTGACAGGGAGCTACGAGCTTTTGACAGCAGCTAGGGGATGACTGACCACTTCATTCAGGTTCCAGAGAGTCTGTTTTGTTCTCTTTCAACAGGCTATTTACTCTCCAAAGTGGAAGAAAAGGTTGGCTCCCCAGAAAGGCCCCTCTCAGACCTGGGCCTTATTAGCTACCGTAGTTACTGGAAGGAAGTTCTTCTCCGCTATCTGCATAACTTTCAAGGCAAAGAGATCTCCATTAAAGGTGGGTTCTAGATGTTCCTCCCCAGTGCATCAGTAGCAAACAGCACCTTTTGAAAACGACAACAACCACCCTTCTAATCCAGGGGTTGGCAATGTGCGGCCCATAGGCCAGATGCGGCCCACGAAGACCGTTTTACTGGCCCACGAGCCGTTCCCAAAGCAAGCCACCCACTCAGTGAGTCCCCCACGTGCTGCGCTAAACTGGTGCCGCATGGGAATTTGCTGAGCAGCTCAGGAAATTGCATCTGCGCACGCGCACATACCGGAAGTTACTTCTGCGCATGCCCAGATGCTGAAAACCGCTTCTGCACAGGCGTGATTTTCGGCGTCTGGGCATGCGCAGAAGCGATTTCTGGCGCCCCGGACATGCGCAGAACCCCTGTTCTAGTCTTTCTTCCCCAAAACTGTGAAATGTAATTTCTCCCACCTTTGCTCCTCCCTCGAATGCCAAAGGAGCAATGTGGGGTGCTGAACCTCTGTTTACCTCCCCCCTGTATACTGAGATTCTCCTAGCCTTGCTCATCAGCTTCCTACCTACCTTTCTCAGCCATCATGCTCGGGGATCTTGTCTGGAGTCGTGGAAGACGTTCGGTCCTGATGCTTCCGTGCATTTAAAGCTGGAGTTGGCAGGAGACAGCGAGAGCTCTCTTGGTGGTTTGCCCCATATATCCCCCTCTCCCCCAAGGCCCTCAGTAAAACACACTCTCTCTTCTCTGTTTCAGAAATCAGCCAGGAGACAGCCGTCAACCCTGTTGACATTGTTAGCACTCTGCAAGCGCTTCAGATGCTCAAGTATTGGAAGGGCAAACACCTAGTCTTAAAGAGGCAGGTAAGTTGTGGGGCTAATACCTGCGAGAGAGGAATCTGCCTCTCTTGGGTCGCTGTGTTTCTCTCGAGAGATTTCTAAGAAAAGCATCACTCTTTCGCCCGAGATTTGCTGTGAACGAAAAGCAGAGAGCCCAGCTTAGCACAGAAGCCACCTATGGCAGGATTGTTTTCTGCATGTAACCAGTCAATTGCTATGCTTACAGTGGTGTCCAAACTTTTCTCCGAGAGGGCCAGATTTGATGAAGTGAAGGGCCGTGAGGGCCGACCAAAGAGCCGACCAAAGTTGTTGACTTTTTTGAGGGTTGAAGTTGTTGAGGTTTTTGTAGGATTTTACCCCAGGAAATAAACTGCCACAGGGGCCGGATTAAACCGACCAGCGGGCCGGATTAGGCCCCCGAAATGGACTTTGGACATGCCTGCTTTAGGGCTAGGGATGGCTACCAGGAAAAGTGGATGTGTGTAGCTTCCCTGTTCCTTGACTTCCCACCCACAGAGTCTCTCTTTCCTTCCCTGCCTCTGTATTTCTGCTCGTGATGGTTGCTACTGCTCCAATTCCAGCTGCCGTGGTTCTTGACAACATCAGACATGCGCCCAGTTGGTCACAACAAAGCTGCTTTTATGGAGCAGAAAAGCCACTGCAGTTGAAAAGAACAAAGTGTGCCGTACAGACAGACCACAGGAATGAGGTTCCAGTGAGCCAGTGTTTCTCCAGCTTGGGTCCCCAGCCGTTGCTGGACTACAACTCCCATCATTCCCCAGCTAGGAGGACAAGTGGTCAGGGATGATGGGAGTTGTAGTCTAACAACAGATGGGGACCCTAATTTGAGAACCACTGCATTTAGGGAACCCTCTTGTGGCTTCCGTTGCATGCTCCCTCTGCACTGTGTATCTCATTTACCTTTCAGGAGACGTTTGGGTTGTTTCACCCATCAGTCTCTTGTCTACAGTGTCATTTGAAGTGCCTTAGACTAGAGTCAACTCACCTGGTGATAAGGAATTGCATGCCAATGAGTGATGAACCTGCAGAATGGGAGGTGCAATACTGCATCCTTTTTCTGCACCAATCAGGTTACTAGAGAAGACACGGGGCCCTTTCACTCCTTTGTCACCCTCCAGGAGGCTACTAATATTTTTTGGGCAAGCTTTGTGGGCTTAGGCTGCAAACCTAACCCTTTCCACTTAGGAGTAACGCTCCCTGAATTCCAATGGGACCTACTGCTGAGTAGACATAGTTAGGATTGTGCTCACACATAAGTCTCACTTGTTCAGTGCAAGGCTTACTCCCCAGTAACTGTGGTTAGGGTTGCAGCCTCAAATGTTTCATTGCTACTTAGCTAGCACACAGAAAACCCTGTCTGCTAAGCAAAATTGCCTCCTTGCTACATTCGTGATGGGGCTCGGCAAACATCGGGTTAAGACGATAACCAGAATGTGGAGAGATCAACGAAATCAGCCTTCTTCCTTCGTTAAGTCTTCTCTGTCTTCTTCTCCTTCCATCTCTAGTCTCTCTAGCATAGCATTAAAACACCCAGATATTTCAGCCTCCTGCAACCCCCCTCCAAAACATCAAGCCTGAAACCCCCCAGTGACAAGATTTGACCTGCAGAAAACGCAACACACAAGCAGGAAAGGTCCAGCAGATTCTCAAAAATGGAGGTCCATGTTTGCACGATGGAAACTGAAGTTACAACGCGGCAGTTACACAGAAAGAGAGTTCTCCTAGTATGGAAGCCCCAGCTGATTAAGCTGGGTCATTTTGCAGCACAAAACTACTACTGTGCTTGTTTCCTTGAATTTAGGGACATCCTTATCAATGCTAGACGCAGCTCTATCATCTTGTTAGCAGCTTCCCCCAGACGTTTAACCTGTGCCTTCCCTTTTTCTCCCCCCCCCCTTCAGGATCTTATCGACGAATGGATAGCCAAAGAGGCCAAGCGGTCTAACAGCAATAAAAGCATGGATCCCAGCTGTTTGAAATGGACCCCTCCTAAGGGCACTTAATTTGACCAACCTCTCTGAGAAGTGTGGACACCTCCTCGCCGCCGACCACCACCACCACCACCATAACCCCCTTTCCTTTTCCAGCATTAGGAACTGCCTTTGGGATCGCAGATTTGTGACTTGCTGTTGATACCAACCCTCCCCGCCCCTCTTTCACATGCCTTCAGGATGTTTCTCTTCTCCCCGGGACCGTTTTGACCCAGGTCCTTCCTCCGCACTGCAAGGTCGGGAAGATCAGAATGGATACAGTGTTAATGTGGCCCCGTGAAGGGGCAGTAAGATCTTCCATTGCACCGTTGCAACTTGCCGCTCCGTGAACCACAAGGTCCTAGTCCATAAGATGGTGTCGTAACTCGTAATTTCTTAGTTGTTTCAGCCTCCTGCTTCCATGCAGCCTTGAAGGGCCTGGTTGGCACCTGCTGTGAGGTGGTGAAGGTCCTGCACGATACAGAGGGCTGTACTGTTTCAGATTGCAAGTGTGGGGCACCGCGATTCCCCATGTAAAGAATTCCCTTTCAGTAGAAAACCAGCAGTGACAGTGATAAAGATTCTAGCAGGCTCTCTTATCTCCTGTCCTAGGTTTCTACTCACAGGGTTTTTTTTTTAATACAAAGGAGAGTATTCAGAATCAATTATCTCCCATCAGTCATAAGAAATTTTGGCCCAGTCCATTCTACCCCACATTCCCACCCCCCTCTTATTCTGCTGCACCTTTGGATCCAGCCTAAAGGTGGGTTTGCGGGACCACCCCCCTCCCCCCGTCACACTGCAAGTGGAAATGATCAGACACCCCCTTGGGCTCCTTCGAGACCATCAATTTCTCATACCCGTTTGCAGGTCTGAGCGCTAACTGGATATTGCACACCAAGTGTGTGCAAACAGCAGTTATTTCTTCCTTCCCAGCAGGCCAGGAAATCTCCGGGAGGTTCTGACTGAATGTGGGGACGTCCTTTGGCTGCTTCCCCTTCCCTTCCCTTGAAAAGTTTGAACATTAAGGCCGTGCTGCTATCTCTGTGGGCCACACAGCTGAGTCCCCGGTGGGGGAAAGCGGCCTAACGGGGAAAAAAGCACCACTTCCCTCAGTCCTGCAGTAGTTGTGCCCTTGCCCAGTGTCGCCTGACATGGAGCTCCTTGCTCTTCCTCGCAGCTGCTTTTGAGTGCTCTGACCACAAACCCTTCTGAAGAGCCAGCTATAACTGTTCCTTTGCAGGAGGAGAAATGGCAGGACCAGCAGCCCTTACCAGCCCCCTTGTCCTGGTGCCTCCACGCCGCTCCCGACATTTTTTGTCCTTTGAACTTCCACCCGCTCCAAAAGAAACCCGCACCTAACAGGCCAAGGAGCGTGCATTCAGCCACACTGCGGCGGCTGCTCAGGGAGCACTGCCAGCCGGACGCCGCTCCTTTTGCCAGCCTGCTCCTGCGCAGCAGCTTTTACTGCCCAGCTTTGGCGCTACTTTGAATTGCGGCGGTGATCCGATAGTGCCAGATCTAGGCAGGAGTTAGCTGCAGTCGGCTGGCTTGCCTTCATGCAGTGGTAGTTTTAGTTCCCCCCGACATGTTTTGGCTCCTTTTGCAATACATGCTCCTGCATCTCTTGAACCCTCTGTGCTCATCCGGGGACAACCCTGGACCTTTCCCCACCTCCATTCTGGCCAAGGCAAACAGCCGTTGTTTTTAAAGGATTGCCGGGGGGGGGATCAACTTCCATTTTCCAGAACGTGTGCTTATTTCACCCATAGATTGCGAGAGCCCCTAAGGGCCACCATGGCCAGGCAGCCTACCCCATTCATTTCTGACCTTCTCTACTGGTTTTGTGTGATGGTCTCGCAGAAGCATGAGGTCCCCCAGAAAGGCTGGGTTTCTCCCACACTTCTGGGATGCCGTACCTGGTTGCAAGCGGGTCCTCGTCCCAAGACAAATTCGCCCTTGGAAAATTTGTGAAAATAGTTCCAAGAGCCTGGAAAGTGTGTGTGCAAGCACACATAGCATCAGTTTGACAAAAATAATGGGTGTGCCCCTTTTCAAGGGGAGCCCTCCCATCTTTTAAGGGATCGTCACTCCCCGGCTTGGGATGGAAACTCTTGCCTGAGCTGTGTGGCACTTGTTCCCAAGGACTGGGAGGGGAAAGGCAGGAAGCTTGTGCGGTAGGTGGACCTGATGGGCTGTCTGTTAAGGGGGAGGGCGCTTGGTCGTTTTAAAATGTCTTGTGAAGTCAGAGATGAGGACTGCAGCTCCCATCAACCCCATGCTTAGGGGATGGTGGGATGAGCCACAGGTTCCCCATCCCTGCTCTAGGTATTAAGCTCACAAATACGCCTTAAGTGTTCAGAGACCAAAGGGAAGCCTCCACCGAGCACACTTTGCCTAACCTTGCTATTCACAGAGAGGACAACCCATTGAAAAGCTGCAGCCAGAGAGGTCCCTTTGCTTACAGAGTCAGAAACCTCTTGACAGGTTTGCTCTTTGAAGGTCTGTGCCTCTCACACGCCATTGGCGTGATTTCAAAATTGTGAATCGTCGGGTGGCATTTGCCCTGCGCTGCTTCCGGTGAGCTTTTGTGCAGGGCAGAGTCGCCTGGTGACACCCCAGCATTTGGGGGGCCAAAAGCCCACTCCCTTGAACGCTGAGGTGCTTTTGCACAAAGGGTCCAGGGTCCGAGGGCACATGTCACGAGCCACAGACCAAGCTGGGGCTATGTGTGTGTGTCACATGCAGCACAACCAAAGAGGCCACAAAGGAGACGGGTGTGTGTGTGTGTGTGCGCGCGCAAGTCACATATTTGCCCCCCTGCACCACCTCACTCCAGGCTGCATCTTAGTACTGTTTGTCATCCCTAGAACATAATTTTCTTTCCTTCCTAGAAATTACCTTGGCACAAGCCTTTGGACCTTGGGGATGCCTGGCCAGAGAGCGCAGTGTGTTTTCACCTGTCTTTCAGACTGCCGTCAGTTGGATGGATGTGTTACGATCCATTTCCAGAAAGTCTGTTTTTCGATTGTAAGGTTTGGCAAACAAAACAAAAACCCTTCCAACTCAAAGCAAAACACCCTGAGGGCATAAATAGCCATCCTTTCGCCATGTCTTTGGCCTCTAGTCTGCTGCGTGTGTGGAACACAACCTCTTTGTTTCTAGCTGAACTTCCCCCCCCCCCCCAAAAAAAGAAACGCCTCTCCTTGTCTCCCATCTTGGGACAAAATGGATTCCAGTTGAAAGCCGATCCCTCTAGCACAGATCTTTCCGCAAGCACTCCTGTGGTTGGCTCTCGTGTTTGGTTTTGTCTTTTCATTGCCATCCTAAATCTGCCAAAGTTTAGATTTCTGTGCACATTACTGGCAAGTGTCATCCAGCACCCTCAGCTTCTAGTTTTTAGCAAATGGTGAGGTGGCGCCCTCTCAGGTGGGGAGGGGAGGTTGGCCATTCTTGTACAGAAGTGAATCTCTGTTTCCTGGATATGTTAGAATATGCTACCAGTGTATCTACTTCTCAATAAAGCATGTTCTCTGCTCTAGTATTCCAAGCACAATCATTCCTGGGGGGAAAATGTCCGTTCAATGTGTTGATCTGAGCTTTGGACTTTGGAGACTTCCCTGCCATTGCCCGTTTTGCAACAAACAAAACTGATCCCCTATAAACTACGCAGGGGAAGCCATTTGCTTGTATCGGCTTCTGGCACATGTTTCTTTCCTTTTTTTCGCTCACATTCTTCCAAGTTCGGGAATACAGTGGTACCTCGGGTTACATACGCTTCAGGTTACAGACTCCGCTAACCCAGAAATAGTACCTTGGGTTAAGAACTTTGCTTCAGGATGAGAACAGAAATTGCGCGGCGGCAGCGGGAGGCTCCATTAGCTAAAGTGGTGCTTCAGGTTAAGAACAGTTTCAGGTTAAGTACGGACCTCCGGAACGAATTAAGTTCTTAACCCAAGGTACCACTGTACAAAGGGAAAGATAAAATCTTATCAGTGGCACAGCACAGTTTTGAATGCAGAGAGTTCAGGTTTCGGGCCCTGGCATCTCTGTTCAAAAGGATCTCAGGAAGCAAACCTGGAAAAATCTTCCACCTGATAACTTGAAGCCAAAGCCATTAGGAGAGGAGAGTACTGAGCTAAATATCAGTTCTCATATCTGTGGCCTGACAGTGTAGGGTAATATGGAGAAGTGAGGCCAAGGCCAATTTAAATGGTAAGCCTGGGATACCTATGGTTTTCTCAGTGTACTTCATTGTCTCTGACCATTGACCATGATGATTGCATGCTGAAATCATAGAATTGTAGAGTTGGAAGGGACCACGGGGGTAATCTACTCCAGCCTCCTGTAATGCTGGAATCTTGGCCAACGCGGGGCTCAAACCAGTGACCCCAAGATGAAGAGTCTTCATACTCTAGCTATCCAAGTTGTGGAATCCAATAACAAGCTTCCTATCCCTGTTCTAAGCACTGGCCTAACACAAAGGAGCCCTGGGCAGTGCAGATTCCCATGGCCCCCATTTTTTATTGGAAGTCCAATTCTAGTAAAGCTTGAAGGTGAAATTGGTTTGTTTTTGTACTGTGAACTCCCACCGTCAATTGAGACATCCATGTAATTCTTTGGGGGCTAATGTTTCTTGTCTATGCGCCCTGTGACTTGAGCCATGCCGATACACAACTCTGGATCTTCCATTAGGGGAAACAATCCATTTCTTATTAAATGGGAGGCACCGTAGAAACATCAACCATGGGACAATTTGCAGAGATTTCAAACTTTCCTGCCAGAGTTCCCAGGGGTGATGGAGATCGGGTCTTAAACTTCTCCTTTGATCAGTTTAATAGACACCTGTTTTCAAGCTGGCATCAAAGCAGTTAAGAGCATGAGCTGGAAGATTTTTGGCTGGTGTGGAGGACTCCCTGGTCCTGAATGGGGTAACTGCCCCTGAAGGACCAGGTGTGCAGCCTGGGAATCATTTTGGACTCACAGCTGTCCATGGAGATGCAGGTCAGTTCTATGTCCAGGGCAGCTGTTTACCAGCTCCATCTGTTACGCAGTCTGAGACCCTACCTGCCTGCGGACTGTCTTGCCAGAGTGGTGCATGCTCTGGTTATCTCCTGCTCGGACTACTGCAACGCGCTCTACGTGGGGCTACCTTTGAAGGTGACCCGGAAACTACAACAAATTCAGAACGCAACAGCTAGACAGGTGACTGGGAGTGGCCACCAAGACCACATAACACCGGTCCTGAAAGAACTGCATTGGCTCCCAGTATGTTTCTGAGCACAATTCAAAGTGTTGGCACTGACCTAAAAGCTCTAAACGGCCTCGGCCCAGTATACCTGAAGGAGCGTCTCCACCCCCATCGTTCAGCCCACACACTGAGGTCCAGCTCCGAGGGCCTTCTGGCAGTTCCCTCCCTGCGAGAAGTGAAGTTACAGGGAACCAGGCAGAGGGCCTTCTCGGTAGTGGCGCCCGCCCTGTGGAACGCCCTCCCACCAGATGTCAAGGACATAAACAACTACAGTGGTATCTCGGGTTAAGTATTTAATTCGTTCCAGAGGTCCGTTCTTAACCTGAAACTGTTCTTAACCTGAAGCACCATTTTAGCTAATGGGGCCTCCTGCTGCTGCCACGCCGCCGGAGCACAATTTCTGTTCTCATCCTGAAGCAAAGTTCTTAACCCGAGGTACTATCTCTGGGTTAGCAGAGTCTGTAACCTGAAGCATATGTAACCTGAGGTACCACTGTATCTGACTTTTAGAAGACATCTGAAGGCAGCCCTGTTTAAGGAAGTTTTTAATGTTTGATGTTTTATCGTGTTTTTAATATCCTGTTGGAAGCCGCCAAGAGTGGCTGGGGAGGCCTGGCCAGATGGGCAGGGTAATAATAATAAATAATAATAATAATAATAATAATAATTACTACTACTCTCAACCCCAGTGGTGGCTGGTCTAATGGAAACAATGGAGCACCTACCGGTACCTCAATCTGTCCCCACCTATCTGCCACCTGACAACTAGTTCTGCTGGACAAAGGCTATTATCTGCCAACTTCTTAGTTTTGAGCAAATTCAGCAAGGAGCAGGCGGCAGACAAGACTTGGAATTAGTTGACTGTACCTGTCACTGGCTCTGGCTTGACCTGCTCGTCACCTGACCAGTCCCAATGAACGCCAGTCGCCACTGCCAACCCCATTTAAAGTCACAAACTCTACGATGGCCTTTTTTTTTCTTTTTTAAACCTGCCGCCTCTCCATCTTGGCTTTACTTCACAAGAACATGGTGGAGAGAAAGAGAAGACAGCCCACAGATTCGCAAACACATTTATGCTACCAGGCTGGCGCTTAACAACGGAAGGAGATATAATGGGAACTGTAAAACACACAAAATGTTTGCCATTCTTGGCTACTCAAGAAACAGGCGACATAATATCCACAGGGGCTGTAGAGCAGAGGAGGAAATGGTACCAAGCAGTAGATCTCGCCTAAGATGCCCAAGGTGGAAGTAGCTCTCTGCTTGCCCCTTCCTGTGCCGGCTCTGGGAGAAGAGAAGAAATTGGGGATCAGCAAAAAAATAAAAACAAAATACGTAATTTTTTTGTCTTGCCTGAGGCAAAGATGTTGCTCTCAATAAAACTCCATAATAACAACAATACTTGACCTATTTAGACAAATTCAGTCTAATCACTAGGAGCATAATAACCAGTGGCAGACTTTGTGCTTTCAAATTTTAGCAGGGTCCTGTGCAACACCAAAGTTTGGCACCTCCCGTCCCCCGCCTCTCCTTCCGTTGTAAGTCATTGTTACGGCGCCCAGTGCTGGAGAATCAGTCACGCTCCCCTAAATCAGCCTCTGATAATAACACCACTAAAGGTAAAGGTAAAGGGATCCCTGACCATTAGGTCCAGTCGTGGCTGCCTCTGGGGTTGCGGCACTCATCTTGCTTTACTGGCTGAGGGAGCCGGCGTACAGCTTCCGGGTCACGTGGCCAGCATGACTAAGCCGCTTCTGGCGAACCAGAGCAGCGCACGGAAACGGCGTTTACCTTCCCGCCGCAGCAGTACCTATTTATCTACTTGCACTTTGACGTGCTTTCGAACTGCTAGGTTGGCAGGAGCAGGGACCGAGCAACGGGAGCTCACCCCATCAAGGGGATTTGAACCACCAACCTGATTGGCAAGCCCTAGGCTCTGTGGTTTAACCCACAGCGCCACCTGCATCCCAATAACACCACTACTAACCCAAATACAAGCAAACAAATTAAGTTATTTCTTTGAGCAGATCGACACTTGTGATTATCGAATTCCTTTGTTGCATAGCAGAAATTTCTGTTGCTATTGTCTTTTTATTGCTTATTGCGAACTCCCTACATATTATCAATGAAAAGGGCAGAATATATATATATATATGCGCATTAAGGGGTTGGGTGGGGTGGAAACGATAAGAAATGTAGGGAAATGAGACCCTCAGTCTCAACCCACCTCAAGAGGAGCATCATCATCCCATCAGCCCTCTAAACATCTCTCCTTGGTGCCCTAGGGTGGCAAACAGAGGGGCACAGGTTGGCACAGAAATTAGGTACTTTCTGAGCACTCTCAGATGCATTTGGGGAGGAAGACAGTTCACAAATGTAAGCAATGTATTTGGGACACCCCTTTGGGTGTGCTTCTGCTGGATATACCATACCTTGACTGTTCCCTGTGAAAGCTGGACGTCTCTCCTCAAAATTATGAATACCAGAAAAAGTGGAGAGGGCCACATTACATGTCACAAACCTAAAATACATATAAAGCAGAGTGGAAGAGCGCCTTAGCATGCAGAATGGGTCCTAGACCAGTGGCTGATCATCTACTTTGCATGCAGAAGTCCTCAGATTTGATCATCTCCAGTTAGGGCTGCATGTCATGGACTGGTTGGTTGCAGAGGAGTGGCTGGAGGAACCAGCTAGGGAACCCCCAAGGGAAGAAGGCTTAGAGCCTGGGGAGTGATGGTGGGATGATGATGAGTGGTGGGAGGCAGCAGCGGAGGAAGCCTCTCGGGCACCTGGTGTGGCGCACCCAGGGGCGGTGTGGCACCCATAGCGACTATCTGGGACTGTCCCTGGAAAATAAGGACCTATGTTCCTTCCTACCTCTCTGCAACACTTTTCCAGAGAGGGGAAAATGCATTCTGCCTCTAGCAAGATCACGGAGCTCATCTTAGATGAAGGATCCCCTGGGGAAAAGGTTGCCTTGCCACCTTCCCACCCCTTTCTGAAGGAAAAGACAGGGATTCATTTGGCACAGCTGTTCCCAGCATGGAGGTGCCGAGAAAAGCAAGGTTTGGTTCATTTATAACCGCTGGCTGTTAAAGGTACAGGTGTAGGCATGAAACCGGTGTGTGTGGAAACTGAAGGTACATTCTTTCACTTTTGGTGGACGTGCCCAAGGATTAAGGCTTTCTGGGAGATGATCTATAATGAATTGAAAAAGGTATTTAAATATACCTTCTTGAAGAAACCAGAGGCCTTTCTCCTGGGCATAGTGGGCCAATTGGTGTTAAAGAAGGATAGAACTTTCTTTATGTATGCCACAACAGCAGCAAGAATACTTATTGCAAAGTATTGGAAGACACAAGAACTACCCACTCTGGAAGAATGGCAGATGAAGGTGATGGACTACATGGAATTGGCGGAAATGACTGGCAGAATCCGAGACCAGGGAGAAGAGTCGGTGGAAGAAGATTGGAAGAAATTTAAAGACTATCTACAGAAATATTGCAAAATTAATGAATGTTAGAATGATGTTAGAATGAAGTTAGGTGGTTTAAGCAGTAATGCTATAAAGGTGTATGTAAAAATGGATCGATAACAGGTGAAAATTTAAAGTTATAGTATATTAAGTTAAAGGATTAAGAGAAAATAAAGAGGGAAAGAAATTGCTGAATTAACTAATTGAATTGGAACACAAAAAGGGAGGTATGAGGAGGTCAGGGAAACAAGGATATGAATGTAAGGCATGGAAAGATTGATCTTTTTTTAAAGTGTTTTTATTCTTTTATTCTGTATTTTGTATTTTGTATTTTTCTTGTATTTTTACTTCTGTCTTTTGTTTTTGCTTTTCTTGTTTTTATGTAACTCTTTTTTCTGAAATTTTAATAAATATCATTTAAAAAAAGAAAAGAAAGAAACCGGTGTGTGTGTGTGTCTTTTGCAACCCAAGGCCACAGGCCAGCAGTGGTTAGAGCCCAGAGGCAAAAGTGTGCAGGGCAATGAATGGAAATATTATATTTGTAGGCTAGTTTCCACACACGAACACACCCCTCCATTTTGGCAAGCTTGAGGCATTAACAGAGTGGGGTTTTTTTTAAAAAAAATTGTATTTTTCTGTTGCGAACCACCCTCAGATCTATGGATAAAGGGTGGTACACAAATTCAATAAATAAATAATAGAAACACTCAATACGGATTATATGGAAAAATATTATAGCAAGAAAATAATCATAACAGGTTGAAAAAATACTCGGTAGTAGATGTTACAACGTGAGATTATGCAAGGTAATGAAAATAATTTGGCAGAGTAAGAAAACCTCAGTTAAAAGAATAGATAGGAAACCATGGAAAGAGTGGAAGGGATATGTAGGATTTAAATAATATTGGAAGAATGTAAATATGTTATTACTATCATATGATTATGTTTTATATCCGCACTATCTTCCTCTTATTATTTTATGTATGACTGTAACGTAGTATGTATTGACGGTGAGATATAACAGAAAAGCAAGCAAGCAAAGAAACAAAAAAACAGCAAACAAACAAACAAATAATAATAATAATACAATTGTAGCTTGGATCCTGAACACCTTGCAAGACGAATGTTTCAGCTCCCAAACACTGCAAACCCGGAAGTGAGTGTTCCGGTTTGTGAACATTCTTTGGAACCCGAACGTCCAACACGGCTTCCGCGGCTTCCGATTGGCTGCAGGAGCTTCCTGCAGCCAATCAGAAGCCACGCCTTGGTTTCTGAACATTATGGAAGTCGGACGCACTTTCGGAACGGATTCCGTTCAACTTCTGAAGAAACACTGTAAGCAACACTCAATACCCTCCAACATTTCTCTGATGAAAAGAGGGACTTCCACCTTCCGGGATCAAATCAGAAACCAGGACGGCTTCTGCAAATCTGGGACTGTCCCTGGAAAATAGGGACACTTGGTGTAAGGTTACCAGATTTTTTTCAAAGAATCCAGGGACACTTTTTTTTAAAAAAAAGAAGTAGTAATATCTTCTCTTCTGTGGTCTCCTTTGTCGCATGGCCTTCCTCTGGGTCCCTGCCTGCTCTCTTGGAGTGTTAGCCACCATGGAGTAGACTCGGGTCGGGTCTGGACTCGGCCACGTGTCCTTGCCCTCCCGGTGCTTCCCTACCTCTCCTCCTCAGCGGCGGCAGCGGCAGGGCAAGGTCGGGGCTCCCCTCTTTCTTCTCCTTCCTCTTCCTCTCTCTCTGTTCTCCTTCTCCTCTCCCCCTTCTCCCTGCGTCAGCTCCAGGGTTTTCCTGGCCCCGGAGTGCCACTGGGCAGTCGGCCGGGTGGCTCGCTCCCGGCTCGATTTGGGTCATGGGGTGTGTGTGTCAGCGGTTCCCCCAGTTGACGCACTGGGAGTCCCTGGTTCCCCCTCAGCACTGACAGTGGCAGCGGCAGTCTCAGCAGCCCAGAGCCAGCCTGGCAGTGCAGTTGGCTCTGGCTGGCTTCAGAAGCTGCTCGCTGCTGTGGCGCCCGCCATTTTGCCTCACCGGAATTCCCCATATGATGTGTCTTGTGCCGTTGAACCAACCACACAACATTCATTCCCTACTAATAAATCTACAACACTTAAAATATAAATCCGGGGACATTAAATGAAATCGGGGGACATTCCGGGGACAGATTTTGTCCAGGGACAGATATGTAAATCCGGGGACTGTCCCCGGGAAACGGGGACATCTGGTAACCATAACTTGGAGAGTCTTCACTCAAGGAGGGTGCAAGGCAAGTCTCATGAGGGATATGGCCTGGGAAGAAGGGGTGGGATTGAAGAGAATCCAGAGGGACACATGGAGGGTCAAGGTTGCCCTCTGGGCTTGAGGCACCCCACCCATTGTTTAAAATGAAAAAGTAGCCACTCTAACGGAGCACTCCCTGCCACAGACAATGCCCAAAAGCAAGGGGCTTCTGCTATAAGGCCAACTTGCAAGGACTCCTTACTCACCTCTGGCCCGTTTCCCCATCAAGCCGTAGAACTGCTGGAGTTTTCCCCTCTTCACCAAGTCAGCGAAGTCCTGGAAGGCTCTCCTCTGCAGACGGTCATCCTGGAAAAGGCCAGAGGGTTTTTTGACTGAGGAGTGGCTTGAAAAGTAAGCAAGAACCCACTCTAGGGAAGCACTCCAAGGAATGAGGCCAGGATCACACCTCCTGATTGTTTCTTGGAATCCGCACAGCAGACGCAGGTTCTCCATGTTTTCAAGAAGCAAGTCGCTAGTCCTCATGGCATGAACGTGCCATCAAACCTGATCCAGCAAGGGAATCTGATCTCTATAGGTGGAGCTGCTGCTCAAGGCACAGTAAAGCTGGAAGCACAGGCATCTAGCCATTCTGGTAACACAGACAAGATATCCAGGGCTGCCACTGCCAAGTGGAAGCCTGAACAATTGTGTGCTCACAGCCTCTTCTAGCTCTCTAAGCTGGGGCAAGTACATACAGTGGTACCTCAGTTTAAGTTCTTAATTCGTTCCGGAGGTCCGTACTTCACCTGAAACTGTTCTTAACCTGAAGCACCACTTTAGCTAATAGGGCCTCCTGCTGCCGCCGCGCCACCGGAGCCCGATTTCTGTTCTCATCCTGAAGCAAAGTTCTTAACCTGAAGCACTATTTCTGGGTTAGCGGAGTCTGTAACCTGAAGTGTATGTAACCAGAAGTGGATGTAACCCGAGGTACCACTGTATCTGAGAAACAGGACCCCGTCAGACATGGATGCTAAATTTGTGCCTCCCATGAGATATGGCTGGATGTCAGCTCCTATCATACCTGACCATTGGCTATGCTGGATGGAGCTGGTAAGAGCTGGGAATCCAGCCACATTTGGACGGACACACACACTGCACTCTTGGACCACTTTAGAAGGCAAGGCGAATCCTGGGAACTCTTGAGGGGTGCTGGGAGTTGTAGCTCTGTGAGGCCTGCACCCTGAACAAACTGCACTTCCCAGGATGCTGATCCATGGCTGTTAAAGTGGCACAAGAGTGTTTCTAATGGGTGGTGCAAATGGCGCATAACAGGTTCTCCAGCCCTGAGGCAGGAGGATGTCGTACAAAAGAGCCTGGGGCAAGGGGCAGGAAAATGATATGTTCATCAATGAGGAAATGTACACAGTACCTCTGTGCCTTGTGTTTTGTGCTAGGCATGGTTAGGCACTGGTTTCTGGTTCAAAGTATGTAACCTTCCGAACAGCACAGCACACAGCCACCTGATCAGGCATTCTTTGTAACTCGAAAGTGTGCCACCTTCTGTATTGATGAAAACGGTTTAAGGCAACCTCTCGGTTGACCTCTTTTGTGTTTCAGGGCTGCCTATCATGTAAGATTATTTCCTACCTGACTGTCAACAGGAGAGCTACTTGTACACCACAGCCAAAGTGAAACACAGCGACCGATTTCTTTCAAAAAGTCATACACCCCAAGTTTCACTCAGAGGACTTTCACTGCAGCTTACAATTAAACAACAACAACAACAACAACACGAAACATCACCAGTGGTTCAACGCACATGCACAAAGGTCTATCTTGTCATAACTGACTGTGCAAAGCATCCTATTTATAATTTACACACTCCCGGCTGCCCGAAAATAATAATTTGAAATTTTGGAAAGCCACCTTGCTGGCTATTAGTGAAGCATAAATATATAATTATTTGACTTGTACCCCTTTATTATTATTATTATTACTTTTTAATTTAACAGGTGTAGAACTTATAGCACAGAGTGTTGATTTGTCCAGTAAATCGATTAATGTATTAATCTATTTAAATACTTAAAAATCATCCTGGGGGGTTGGGGAGAGGGGAGAATGTTAGCAGTCCTGATGTTCTGTTTCCCCACATTTGCAGTAAAATACACCCATCAAAAAATTCACCACTACTTTCATTCCTTCAGTCTTTAAAACCACGAACCCCGAGGCTGCGATCCGAACCCCACTCGCTTGAGAAAGGGAGCCCCACTGATTTCAATAGGATTTGACCCTGAGCTGGCATTAATGTTTTATCGAAAGAATTTCTATCGTAGAGGAACAAAGCGATACAAGGCAAAAAAGAAAAGAGGAAAAAAAGAGAAAAGTTGACACGGTTAAGCTCGTGCTCTCGCGAAATACCTCCCGTGCCCAAATCCAGGAGTAACCCAAAGTTACCTTGGGGGCTAGGTCTCTCAAAGAGAGCTCCTCTTCTTGCGATGCTGGCACAACCACTGCTTCCCCTTCGAAACGAAACATCTGCAAAGATAGGAAGATCAGAGCCAAAAGTAGTTTGAGAGTGCCCATCTTGCCTAGCTGATGATCCCTCCTTCGACACTGTCTTTTGCCAGTAATCAGAAAAGCAAGGGAATTTTAAAAGAGGGGAAAAGCTGCTGCTTCTCCCACAGTCTCCTCTCTCTCTCTGTCTCTCTCTCCCCTTGCAGAGTTCAAAGGCTACAAGTGCATCAATTTATGTCTCCTGCTCTCTTCTTTGCTCCTCCCAGTCTTGTCAGTGTCCCCTGCTCTGAGCCCACCCCCTTTCCCCATCTTCTGGTTAGTTATTTAATTCTGTCCAGAAGACCTTCCCCTTCCCAGACCTCCCAGACCTCTATTCCCCCCCCCCCCCACGTACTGAACTCAAGCTCTGGTGTGGATTCCCCTGGCCCCAACCCCACAAAAAAGAGCAAGGCAGAGCCCTGTTGGATCCATAGTAGGTTTGTCATATTTCAAGATGTGAAAATCCAGACACAAAAGTTCTTAAGCCTTTGAAGCGTTTGAGCTGTTTTTAAAGAAATTCGCCAAAATCTACACTTCTGACATGGGTTGCAATACGTCAGGACTTTCCAGGACACTTCAGGAATTTCCACCCGGACACTGCTTGCGACTGCTGTGGTCTAAACCACTGAGCCTCTTGGGCTTGCCGATTGGAAGGTCAGCGGTTCAAATCCCCACAACTGGGTGAGCTCCTGTTGCTCTGTCCCAGCTCGTGCCAACCTAGCAGTTCGAAAGCATACCAGTGCAAGTAGATAAATAGGTATTGCTGCAGCGGAAAGGTAAACTGCGTTTCCGTGTGCTCTGGCTTCCGTCATGGTGTTCCATTGTGCCAGAAGCAGTTTAGGTATGCCGGCCACATGACCCGGAAGGCTGTCTGTGGACAAACGCCGGCTCCCTCGGCCTGAAAGCAAGATGAGCGTCACAACCCCATAGTCGCCTTTGACTGGACTTAACCGTCCGGGGGTCCTTTGCCTTTACCTTTTACTCCAGTTTTGTCCGTGAAATTCCAGATGTATGGCAACCCTAATTAGCTCCAGAACCTTCCACAGGGCTGGTTTCCTATCATCCTCAGGCCAAGGTAGGGTTCTGTGTAACTGAGGATTGGGATTCAAGATGACTGTGACAGACTGGAGAATTGGGCCCAAACTAACAAAATGAATTTCACGAGGGACACATGTAAGCGGGGGCGGGGGAGTGGTCCACCCCAGGGGTCACCCTGATGGGAGTGACAAAATGGCCAGTGGCATTCACCTCAGGGCCTGCAGTGTGCCCGAGCCACGTGTCTCGGGTGCCCGCAGGTTCTGCTCTATCTGCCCGCTGCCTCCCCCCCAGCTGTAGGGCGGCTGAGGCCCTGCAGCGCACCCCATCCTGTCCCTCCCAAGGGTGCTGTGCACCCTGTCCCTATCGGGCCATGTGCCTCATCCTGACCCTATGGGCACCATGCACCTTGTGGTGTCCCGTCCCTATGGGTGGTTTGCCCCTCCCCTATGGACATTCCACCCCAGGTGCCCAAGAAGCTTCCTTCGCTGCTGCACGTAAGGTCGTTGTGCTGGTCCCGAGGGTTAACCGTGAGGCGAGGTCCAATCCCAGTCCGTGGTCGAAGGAGCAATATGGAGGCAGTCCGTAAAAGCTGAAGCTGGGTGCAGGGCAGGGTTCAGCAGGAGCTGGTGACCAACAATGTTGCTTCCACAACTTGGGACTGGGGCTGGCTGGCTTTTATCTGCCCCGAGGCATAGGGCGGCCCCGGTCCACAGGTGACTCGCCTCTCCTGGCCTGGAGGCGAGCACTCCTCTTGCGGGAACTTAGTTACCTCCGCCTCTCTGCCCTGAGCCTCTGCAGAGGCTCAGGAGAGACTGGAGGGTTACCGGACCCAGAGGCAACCTCAGCTTTCTTTGACAGGCCTGAGAATGGAGCACCTGCAGGGAATGGGTCCTCCATCACCTCAGGGGCCAGAGCAGACTCAGCTGATGCCTGCAGCTGAGGATCCAGCACAGGTGAGGACCCTTCAGGCTCATGCCCCAGCCCTGGCTCAGCTGGTTCTGGAGGCGGGGAATCAACTGCAGGTTGGGATTCCTCAGGTTCAGCATCCGAATCCGAATCTCAGGCCATCACAGAAGGTTAAAAAAAGTGGTTATAGAAATGCTAAGAAATAAGTAATTATGTGTCAAAGTCAGAAAGAGGGGCAGGGGGAGGTCGATGCTCTGCTAGAGCAATGCTTGAATTTATTGTATTGTGTATTGAAACTGTGATTATGATAAAAATGAAAAAGCAATAAAAATTATTATATATAAAAAAGGAATAGGTGTCCGATTCTGGGCACCACAATTTAAGAAGGAGGTTGACACGTAAGAGCTCTTTGAAGCCCTTGTAAGGTGATGGACTCTCCTTCACTGGAGATTTTTAAGCAAAGGTTGGGTCACCGTTTGCCAGGGATTCTTTAACTGAGATTCCAGCATGGACTAGATGAGCCTTCCAACTCTACAGTTCTGTGATTCTAGGATCCTGATCCAAGCCGAGCATATGAAGCTGCCTGATAACCGGATCTGAAGTGGTGGCAGGTGGCAGGACTCAGGAAACAGCCAAGTGATTAGCTGCAATTCCTGCCTTGCAGGGGGTTGGTCTAGATGACCCTTGAGTCCCATCACTGCACTTCTAGGATTCTACAGCAGCTGCCTGCCATTAGACCAGGAGGTGGGCGGCCTGTGGCTCTTGGACTAGTTTCAAGTGGCTGGTGGACTAATTTCTAAAGCACTCTTCATGTTCTCAGTCAGACCTCTGGCAAGTACCGGTATGTTCTGTTCCTCTCCCAACGCTTTGCTTGGCATCAAGAAAAGGGAACTGGGCAGGGAAAGAGAGAGAGAGAAGGGGGCCAGAGAGAAAGAGAAGTGGCAGAAAGAGGGTGAGAAATGGCCTTGGTCCCTTTTAGCTCTGGCCTAACCCACCGCTGGGTTCAATCCCATCCACCACCAGCACATACCCCTAAGAGATTAGAGAGATTAACAAAAAATTGCCCACCCCTGCGTTAGACAGATGGTCTCCATCAATGACTGCAATGTGACCAGGTTACACAGATCTTGGCCGGAAAGAAGAGTTCTGTGTAATGCCAAAGCCTGCATGCTGCATTGCGAACATCCATAGACTGGTCGATAATTTAACTTGCAGTTGTTGGCATCCATCTGTGTTGAGCATGGGTAGGCAAACTAAGGCCCGGGGGCCGGATCTGGCCCAATCGGCTTCTAAATCTGGCCCACGGATGGTTCGGGAATCAGCGTGCTTTTACATGAGTAGAATGTGTCCTTTTATTTAAAATGCATCCCTGGGTTTTTTGTGGGGCATAGAAATTTGTTCACCCCCCCAATATAGCCGCCCCCCCCACAAGGTCTGAGGGACAGTGGACCAGCCGCCTGCTGAAAAAGTTTGCTGACCCCTGGTCTTGAGATACAATGGGTGGTAAAGTCAAACCACCATGTTAGCAGCATCCCTGGTGCACAAACCTGGGCAAGTATGTATGGCAGCTCTGGGCTGCTCAGATGACAACATCTCCCTCTCAGCCTCACTGATGTGGTCCAAAGGAAAGCAGAGCAAGACGTTCGGGACCAGTTGGGATACAGGAGTTGCCGGAAGGAAGTGTACAAGGAGCCACCCAACTGTCTTAGGGACTCCACTTAGGGTTTCCTCCAGAGCTGTTTCTCCTCCCGAAGATATCCCACAAGGCAGAGGAGGTTGAGGATCAGAGCTTTTCCTTTCCTAGATGTGCTTCCCTTCCCAGGTGGACGAGCCCCACTTGCTCCTCACTTCCTTCTGCAGCATGTGCAGAAACTGCCTTCTTGACCATTGGACCCACTATTGAAGAAGAAGAGGAGTTTGGATTTGATATCCCACTTTATCACTACCCGAAGGAGTCACAAAGCGGCTAACATTCTCCTTTCCCTTCCTCCCCCACAACAAACACCCTGTGAGGTGAGTGGGGCTGAGAGACTTCAGAGAAGTGTGACCAGCCCAAGGTCACCCAGCAGCTGCATGCGGAGGAGCGGGGAAGCGAACCCGGTTCACCAGATTACGAGTTTACCGCTCTTAACCACTACACCACACTGGCTCTATTGGTCTTGTCCGCTCAATCTGCTGGAGCCTGTCCTTGCATGCAGGAGAAATCCCTCTCATTGAGTGTTGGAGACCCATTGGCTACCCTCTCCTGGTTTAGCCGGCCAGCCGAAGCCGTTTCCCACGGTGTGGCTGCTGTCGCATGCTGGCAGCTTCCAGAAGCCACAGGTGAGAGCTGAGTCTGGGACGGGGAGCCAAAGGTGGACAAGCTACTCCAGGAGGAGCACAATATTGTTCTTTCTAGCTGAGTAGGGCAGGTGGCATCTCTCCAGGAAGAAGGCAGGCAGGTGAGGCAAGGATGAGGACCGATGGACATTGGTAGGGCAGGGCCCAGTTTGCCCTAATAAACCTGCCTCCGTGGTCCACACTCTGCAGAAAGAGATCTTGTTTTTACTAAGAACCGCATTGTATTTATGCAGAGCTTTTGGGGTTTAATGGAGCCGGTGGGTTTCAGCATCTCTTTTTAGAAATGAAATCACAGCTTCTGGGTCAAAACGATGCATCACTCCTTTGGAATGTGTCTGCTTGGGATGCTGCTATGGAGAGATCCTTGTATGGTGTGGTTTCAGCCCAGAACAGACTGGTTCTCTGCTTCAGAGGACAGGAAGGAAGCCAGGAAGCGGCTCAAATGTGCAGGTAGCGTGAATGTGAGACAGCCCAGTTCCAGAATGCAAGAAGAGCCAGTTGGATCAAGCCAACGGGCTGCCTAGTCATAGAATTATAGAGTTGGAAGGGACCCTGAGCACCATATGGTCCAACCCTCTGCAATGCAGGAAATCTCAGCACATGGTGCCCCATCCAATGTGAAACCATACCAGACCCTGCTTAGCTTTGCAAATGTGCCAGCAACTTTATTGCTGAACCACTAGGAGCTACATTGATTTTGATGGGTCGACTCGGAGTAAAACTTAACCTGTTCTGTTCTATTTTGTTTTTTTCTAGTGAGAAAAGAGAAGGGAGGAAATGAAGACCTGGTATATAAAACATTAATACCCTTTTTTGTTATTAGCAGCATGCCTGGAAATTGCAAAATGTTGGAAACCAGCAGACAAATGGACTT